GGAGTCTTCAAAGGCAGGAAAAATTTGCAGAAAACATTTAAGACAATGACAATGCTTGGAAATATTGTAAATTTCTGGTAATATTTTTAGCATCTATAAATAGGGTAAAACCAAAAGTTTGTCTAAGTACATACGAACATATTTGCGTACAAAACTTTCAAGAGTTTACAAAATAGATATATGTATTATAAATAATCTTATCTAAAAAGAAACAGAAGACTATTCGCTTTCAATTCTCAAAGCTTTTAAATAGGAAACGCTAGTAGAGATTGTTGTTCTTTCATTCAAGATTCACTGTAAAGAAAACTTTATAAATTTGAGATTTTCCAATTTCTAGATATCAGATTATATTGCAGAGATCAGAAATCGAATCATGCACGAAATCAGATCGCAATTGATTTAATTAGAATCTAATTGCAGAGCACTGAATGGAATCAATTGAATTGAATGCTTCTGTCTAATGACAATTGATATTTATTGAGAACTTTTTGTTTGTATGTGAGATTTCTCGTTTGAAAAGTCTGTGTAAATATTTATTTTCGTTCTGAAAATGAAATTTTATGAGTGGATCTTGAGCGAGGCCAATAAAAATGAATGAACGTAAATACGAGTGACGCAGCAAAGTGAATGACATTGCTAAGACATTTATTGCCTAGTTGGCCTAATTATTAAGTTTAAAGACTCTACCACCATTAAACACAAAAACGCAAGTACAACTGGCGTAGGTCAGCATCAAATCATTTTGCATTGTTATCTGTCAGTCAGACGATTAGTAGATTAGCTCTAGTAATTAACAGCAATGAAAATATTTGGCGCTTATCACACATATTTGGTTTATCACACCAAAACCATAAAACCTTAAATTACTCATAAAGAGGTTATCTCAAAATTTATAATTTACCTGTCTGCTGTTTATAATTATTGCACTAATTAGTTGACTAGATTAGTCGGACACATTTAGATTTTTTACCTCCAGGCAGTATTTTTTACTCTGATCAAGCTACATAATTCAGTCAAGATAAATACAGTAAATATTATATTAAGGGCTGGCTCTATCTCTCTCTGTCTGTCTTAGATTCAAATAAGCTTCAAGGTTGTCGGCAGACACTTTGATTGAAAACTGTCGCATGTTGTTAGTGTAACAACATGAATTAGCCCAAAGTACGTTGTACATATTATACTTTAATTTATTTTGTAAGCATTATCATTTATATGACAATTTGTCATCAACCAACAAAAGCACAGCATAAAAAATATGCTAGATTGCTCTAAAAAAGTTCGCTTGGCTAGAATATACCTTAAGTCTAGTAGTTAAGTCTAGTATTCGATCTCAATATATTTGCATATATATTAAGATTTAGTTTAAATTTTTTGATTACTAGTTCCATTGAATAATAAAAAAAATGTAAAACATACTTAATCTGGAACAGTAAAGCCCGCTATGAAAAAGTACAGACAGAGAAAAAAAGCATTTGTTAAAATTTTTACGGCAATTTTTATTGTGGTGCTCTGCATCGGCTACGTTTGAAAATGAATTTGCCAATTCAAAATTACAATTTTTAAAAAGAAGTATAAATTTACTCGATACGCAAAAGTGCGATTAACGTCTGTGTTTGCAGACTTGACAATTTTTCACCTTAGATTATTGTCTGAGATAACTGGCTCAAAGTGCGTTCAACCCCATCATTCGACTACCAAAACGACATTAATAAATTTAGGGTAAATGTAAATTCGAGTTGTGTAAATATTATATAAATTTCGCTGTCGTTGAGTTAAAATGTTTCAAAAATATAATTAAAAGTTATTATTTTCAAGTTATAATTAAGTTCTTTCGGATAGGGGATGTTTGGTATGTTTCCTGCAAGACCAGTTTTCAAAAAGACACATCTGTCACTGAAAGGGAAAAAATTGGCATCTCTGACAAAAGATGCTGGTGAAGAATAGTTACCCTTGTATCCATTATAAATGACGTAGTATATACGACCCAATCTTACTTATAGTTACAGAGCATACAAATCAAAGATAAACCCAACGAAAAAGGGTACCTTCTTGGCAGGCATCGCGAGGGGGATGTGAAGTGGCCGCATGTGGGGCAGGTAATGCGATAACTATACACATACATACCTATCTTAAAAATAAATTAAAATATATATATGTATATATATATATATAAGTGTATGTAAGTAATCGTAACGCTCATATGCACGACGCTTGCTGCTGCTGATAAGAAATTTATTAGATTAAAGCAAACGATTGCCGCGATTACAGATCCGAGTTCGCCCCGGTTGTCATTTTCATTTTGTTCGTGTTCTGTTCTGTTCTGTTCTGTTCTGTTCTGTTCTGCTCTGCTCTGCTCTACTCTGTTGTTCTGTTTTGTTCTGTTCTTTGCCGATTTGTTTCAGTGTTCTGGCCGAGGCTTTTGTCGCCGAATCTTTTTGCTCATTTGTTAGTCTGGCAGGCAACGAGCCACAGAACTGTCGGCGACTGCAGTCGGCCAAAAGATAATCTCTCGTCGCGTTTCTGAAAACATATAATATAATCCATTAAGTGGTTAACCATGTGGCTTGAAAATTGTACTTTTGTTTCGGCGTTGAGCACGCGACGTTTTAAGTGTTTTAAATTTAAAATATAATTTTTTCCCTAATTTTTGAGTGAAAATTAATTGACAAAAATTAATGCATACAAAGAGGCGCAGCTAAGACATTCAATCCAAAGATTACACGTGAACAGAAAGTGTTTCAAGTTGTTTCAAAGTCAAAATTAAGTGAATTGCTTATTTAAATGCGATTTACACGATATAATCAGGTAAATCTTTAGTGCCTATTGAAATTACCCATATAAAGACTATAATCCTTGTAGTTTGTGTGAGTACACTATTATCTGGTCAATAAACTTTAAAGGTATATAGTATATAGTTCATATAGACGCTTCCTCAAAAATCAAACAGAAAGCAAGAAGTGTTGACAGATAACAAAAGTGACTTGATAATTTTATAATTCAGTTAAAGTCGTTTTGTAATTGGTGCTTACAAAACATTTAAAACGCTCGTGTTTGGATCTGTAAGCGAAATCGACTTATCAGTTAATGTTAAGCTCTATTGCCAAACCGTATTATAAAGATAATACACTTAACGCTATTTTTGCCCGGCATTCAATTAACCATGTGTCTCTAGTATTTTAAGCTTATCAGCTCGTCATGGGGCTAATTGACACTTGATAAGCCACATTGCTATAGTGGATAGTTTAAAAATCGAATTTGCTTGATTCTAAACACAAATCATAGCAAATATAAAATAAGCAAATAAATAATATATACTTTCTTGTACACTCGGTGTAAATAATAATATGCAATTGCTATCGAGCATTGAACTTGGCACGGCTCGTGACGTTTATTCAACCAGTCGAAAACAAATACGTTGAGTGGCTTTCAAGCAGCTGCGTTCGCTCTCATTGATAAGTCCACACAAACTCGGTTGGACTAGCCTTTGTTTAAGAATTGTGCTAATTTCGTCTGTGTTCCAGGCACTCATTATGAGAATGAATTCGGTCCAAATGTGTACACAAAATAAATGACTTGCTTTAATAGCAAATAGACCAACTGCTTAGGACATAAATACAAGACAGTTTGACTTTAAAGGTTTTATGTGCACTCGTTTGCTTGCTAAATGAACACATAATTTAACACATCTATTATAAAGTATAATTAGTTTGAAATTGATAAGTTGTTAATGATGGTTAAAAATAGAAAAGAGGACTCTGAATTGATTGCATGATAAGGTATATTATTATCATTATAGAGTACTCGAGTTAATGCAAAGATTATCATAATTTAGACATGAATATTGTAACGCATTGCTTTGATCAGTATTTTAGGCCGATTCGATACAGCCATGCTCCTGTGCTTGTCCGTCTATCCGCCTATATCTATGCCTAACCGGATCACTATATCATATAGCTGCACTTGATGCAATCATTCAAATGATGAGGTCTTGCATAAAACACTTTTACCAAGATTCGGATCTAGTTAAGCAGTTAAGCTAGAAGCTTATGTGATGTTAAAATACTTGATGCTTCTTAAGTGGTATTCTTTCGCTCAGTGGATTAAGACCAACACAGCAATTGTTATTTATCGGCTGATATGGACAATGGGCGAGTGCACTTGTCGTATTCAAAATGAATTGCAAAAAATGTATGGATACCACAGATGTACATATGCATAGTTATGCGTTGAGTTTATTGGCTGGCTTGAGACAAATTAAGATACATATATTTCCCGTTGTTTGCTGCTGTGATTTACGGTCAGTGTATGTCTGTCTATCTATTCAGTTATTGATGAAGGTCATCGGATATAATATATAGAAATATATATGATAAAGAGATGGTCTTAATGGTTTTGGCGCTTGTCAATTTGGAATCATTTATTAAAGCGTTTACTACAAATCGCAACTAATATCCCTATCTCTCTCTCTCACACTCTCTCCCTCTCTCTTTATCTTTGTGCTTGCAGCAGAGACTGTGGCTTAACAAGCAGCATCAGCTGCTAATCGAGTACAACAACAAACATAAATCATCATCAACACGCACAACGAGGAGAGGAGAGGAGCAGAAACAACAATAACAACAACAACAACCAAAACAACAACATTATTGCGTTAAAGTTGCCAGCCTAAAAACACGAATATCCGCCAAAATACGCATTTATCATACGCCGCGTTCTCCGCCATTCTGAAACGCCCTGTGAAATTTAAACATACGATATGCTTGCGAAAAGGCCGCACAATGCGCCGCGCACTTGACACGCGTTGATTTACCGTTATTGCCAGCAGCAGCAGCAGAAGCAGCAGCAGCAGCATCATCAGCATCAGCGTCACCGTTACATTTCGCCAATCGATCAATCGATCAATTTGTCATCTTTGTTTCGTTCGTTCATTTGAATTTTTCGTTTTTTCCGCTGGTTTTTCATCTGTGTGCATTCGATTTGTTTATTCGAAGTGGTGCCGCATGTTCGTGTCCGGGCTAAAAACGTTAACTGGCAGCTACAACTGCAACAACAATAACAAAAACAACAACTTCCACAAAGGCAGCCAATTTAATTTGCAGCCAAAATTTGGTGAATTGATTTTTTGCTGGTCTGTGTTAAATACGTTAACGTTCTTAATGAATGACTACCGGTTAAAGTCACTTTATCGTGCCACTAAAACGACATCCCCAACTAAGACAACAGCAGCAGCAGCAGCAGCAGCAACAACAGCAGCAGCTGCAGCGGCAACAACAACAACACCCGTTGGCAGCTCCATTAGAAAGTTAACTGGCAACAATAACAAATCATCAATAACATTTGACAGCAATAACAACAACAAAAATCCCCGTACTTACAACAACAGCAGCAAATCGAATAAAGTGTTTCTACATTATATACCGCGCGATCCGCGTCTAAGAATTTTTAATAGAACCGCCACGCTGAATAAACACTTGGCCGCCCTCCATTCACAGCGCACCTTAAGCGAATTGAATATAACTGAAGATTTGTGCAATTATGGTGAATTAATCGGCGGCAGTGATTATTATAATTACGATAATTCCAAACATTATAAGAGCCAACAAGAATTCAAATTTCAAGTTTCCCTGTTCAAGTTTTAAACAAACGTTTCTCGAGTTACTCTTCTTTTTTTTTTTTTTGTTTGAGTCGACTCATCATTACAAAAGCGGCGACTTTGACAGTGACAGCCTGTGAAGCTAAAGGTAAGCCCAGCAATAAGTTGTTAAACACAACAATTTCAATCATTCATCAATCATATTATTTTGTTTGTCAAAACTGAGCCAAATTTAATATTTATATTTTTAATTTAAAAACCAATCAGACTGAAAATAAAAATGCCAAGACAACGTAAATTAGTTACAAAGTACTCGAAAAAGGTTAGCAAAACAATAATTAGTACTAAAAGGGTAAAAAACAAAACAGAAAAGAAACCAACGAGAAGGTCTTGAAATAAATTAAAAAGTAATTTGGCTCATCAATGCAACCGAATCGATTTCCTTATTTAATTATTAAACTACAAACATAACACCAAGCATAATACGACGACTAGCTAGACAGGTCCATAAGGAGGAGTTAATTTGTCATAGTCCATAAATCTATTATGTATATAAGCCAATACTTGAGCAATTTCCATGCTGAATGCCTCTTTGTGCATTATTTATATAATTGAATATAAAACACTTATTTCCGTTATTTTTCAAGAGTCTTAATTTTTCAACGATAAAACGACATTTCAATTTGGAAATTGCGAGTCAATATATAATTATTAGCTAGCTAGCTGGCATGCACTATTATTTTGGGCCAGTTGTTTGTTTTAGACCCCCAGAAATCACAAGTCATTTTGGCCTGGCCCCTTCCTATAGACTGTATAGCGATCTATAAATAGCTGCAATCGGGCACTTTGAGTGCCAAATGCGAAAAACATAAACAACGCTGCAGAATACAAAACAAACAAAAATAAAACAACGTTTTCAAATTGAAATTCATATTTGTGATATTCAGCAAAATCAGCTGTTGTTTCTCTGTGTGACGCAAGTGAAGAGTGCGAAACGATCTCAGAAGAGTCACCACAAGCGTTATTTGCTCCACGGCTCTTCTGCTTGTGCTTTTGGCTATTTATATGGGGTCAAGTTGAAGGCGATTGGCGAATTCATTTTCGTCAGCGGAGGAAAATGCCAAATTCAACAAACAGTTCCGACGCGAATTTGCTAACGAAATGAGTTGTGTTGTTGGGTTTGTTGTTGATGTCGTTACAGTGGCAATAAACACGAATTGTTTGCAAACAAATAAGAAGAAAACTGAAAACAATACACAACAAAGTGTGACGACTAATTTGAATTGTGTTTAATCGAATTTTTGGCGGATGCCGATTTCGTTTTATCCTTAGTCCGATGCTTCTCGCGTAAGTGCAACTTATGCAACATGGAAAGCTGGCAAACAAAAATTACAATAATTTTCCAATTAATCCAAAGTACTCAGATCAATATAAACTTTTAAAATGGACTCAAGGCACTTTGTCACAATTAAAATGTACAAATTGGAAGATCAAAATCAATGCTATTCTCCATTAATTAATTAAAATGTTTCATTTTCATTGTATAGTTATTAAAATTATTTTAAATTTATTAAATGTGGTCGCTCTTTCCTTGATGAAAATCAAATTTGAAAACCACTTTCCGAGGGGATTATAAACAACAATTTCTATTATAAATAATTGTTTTAAAAAAGTTTTAGTTTTATTTAAGTAATTAGAATTTCAATTCTTCGCACCATCAATTTAGGATTTTAATGTATATAACTGTTTTCATGTGTCAATAAAAATTAATAATAAAACAACAAATTGCTTCAAAATCTAGATTTTCTTATCCGTTCCCATCACGATATCGAATATTAAAGCTTGATTTTTAACTCATAACAACAACACTTATCAGTAATATTCAATACTAATTTCAATATTTCTGTTTCGCAGTGTTGATCATTTGGAAATCGGATTAGGATTAGGGCAGAGCGTAAAGCAATCCAAACCCAAACACAAACCCAAGTCCAGCTACTTAAAAATACAGAAATATTTTGCTGAAATCTATGTAACTGTGTGTTCACAATTAATTGCAACAACAAGTGCAAATTTTTATCAGAATTAAGAATACAAATTAAAGAAACAATAAAATCACCCACTCCTCACACACACACACAGACAAAGTAAATATATACAGAGCCCAAGACAAGATGGCCAAGCCCACAGCTGCTGAGCAAAGTGAAGGCAACAATTGCAGGAACAATTCCAACAGAAACAGCAGCAGCAGCAACAACAACAACAGCGCTGCAGCTGCCAATAAAAACAATAATAATATTAATATTGATATAAATACGAGTAGCGGTAAATTGAATGGCAACATTTGCCAGCCAAGCCTGCCGGCACCGGCGAACACACCACTCAACAAGGCCATAAGACATGACCTGTTCCCGGAGGTCACATTCTGCAATCTGTCTGTCGAGGAGCTGCACAAGGGCCCCGGTCACAGTCGGATGGTTCACAATCGGAATAGTGTCATTGCCGTCGATACGGATGGCAGTCTGTTGACCAGCTTAATGAATGGCAACCAGGTGAAGAAGCGCAAGCGTTTGATATCGAATGAATCGGGTGACTCCATCGATTCGAGCAGCACCGAAAAGAAGACGCCCAAAATGCCCGATGGCGGCTATGGTTGGGTTGTTGTCTTCGCTTCGCTGGTCGTTTCACTCATTTGGGATGGCCTCTCCTTCTCCTTCGGCCTGATCAACACGGAACTGTTGGCCTACTTTGGCGAGTCGCCATCGAAAACGGCATGGATTAGTTCATTGTATTTCTCGGTGCCACTGCTCATGGGTCCCATCTGGTCGAATCTGGTGGATAAATACGGTTGCCGCAAAATGACCATATTGAGTGGCATCATCTCCGGCTTTGGTTTTGCCATTTCCTCCGTCTGCAATTCCATTGAAATGCTGATGGTCACGTTTGGCATTATTAGCGGTCTCGGTTTGGGCATTGGCTATGTCACCGCCGTTGTTTCGATTGCCTTCTGGTTCGATAAGAAGCGTAGCTTTGCCATGGGCATTGGCGCCTCTGGGACTGGCATTGGCACCTTTGTCTATGCCCGTCTCACGCAATATCTGGTGGATTCGTATGGATGGCGTGGCGCCACCTTAATCTTGGGCGGCACCATTCTGAACGCCTGCGTTTGCGGCGCCCTGATGCGTGATCCCGACTGGCTGATCGAGGAGAATCGGCTGGAGAGCCGTTCGCAGAGCGTTACCACCTTTTCCAATTCCAGTGTGTGCTTGGAGGAGATCAAAAAGCTGCTGGACACCGGCATCACCAAGGAGGCCGTACTCGATACGCTCGTCACGAAGAACAACACGGAGGCCAATCAGCAAATCGATGATCCACTCGATTCGGGCCTGAAACGCTATCGCAGCGAATTATTTTTGCCCACCTTTCTCAGCGTCCAGGAGCTAGACAGCATCTGTGAGGTGAAGAGCTTGAGCCGCCGTTCACTGAGGCACAGAGAAGGCGCCGAGGCGCCCTCTCGCGACAATCTCTTGTCCATGTCTTCCGGTACAGCGGCCTATGGAACAACGGCGCCTATTTTGGGTTCACCGGATGATACGCTCATGGGTGGCATAGCGCCCGAAATTGTCGAGGCCTCCAAGAAGAGCTATTTGGCATCGATAGAGACGCTGTCGCCATCAGAAAAAAGATCCTCAGTTGCGGCCTGCTCACCGATTGGCTCGCTGCGCTCCTCGGACGAGGGCTATCTCACACAGAAACACAACGAGGCGACATATGCGAGTTCGCGGTATTCCCTCAACGAGAACATGTTCATGGCCAAGCACATCACGCCCTCGATGTCCAATTTGAAGCTGAATGGACTGCGCCACAATTCGGTGGATATTTTGAGCGATGACATGCACACTTACTACATGTCCGTCAAGGAGGAGTCCTATGCACTGCTCGCCCAACATCCCAAGCCGCACATAAGGCCGACAGTAATTGCCATTCCCGAGCATGAGCAGAACAGCGAACTGGCGCTGAGACGCGCTCGCCTGGACAGCATTACGGGTATACGGCGTCTCTCCCGCTCCAAGAAGCCCAGCCAGCATCGCTCGAATCTGCGCCGCAATATCTCCATTCGGAACTCGAACTATCTGAAGGACATGCGCATTCATCGCAACTCCATACACTATCGGGGCGCCATGCTGAATACGCATCGATATCATTTGCGAGCCTCTTCCTGCCCGAACATCTATCGCAACTCGATGACAACCATTGCCAAGGAGGAGGAAGATGTGAGTATCTATATACATTATATTAGATGATACTACGATTAACAAATATTCACCCGTGCTCCAATTTAGAATAGCGCTCGATCTTTGTGTTTCCAGAGTGTGTTTCCAAAGCTTACTTTTAGGTGCTCTAATTTGCGAAAGCGCAAAACGTTTCCATTTTGAAAATGGACTAAGATGGAAAAGCATTTGCAATTATCTATAATCAGTTCTGTATTATTTTAGAATTATTTAACCGTAGTCATTGGTGCAAATTAGCTCATAATAATTATACTTTTTTAAATATATATATATTTTATTAGTGTAACAATTGTCAACAAAATAAATCACTCCGTTTTAGTCGCATTTATAATAAGTTATATATGTGAGCTGTAGTTAATAGTAATTAATTTAATGGAACAAAATAATCGAAATTAATTGAAACCCTATCAGCTGCACGTGTGAACCTGAGTCTGAACCTTTAGGTAAATTAAAAATTAAATTGTTTACGTTGACATTGACATTTTAAGTGCACCCATTGCAATGGCAGTTTCTGATTGAAATTGAGAGCGAAGTCATATCAGTTTTCTGCCATTATCTCTGTTAAATCAGTAGCAATATCATATCCTTATTTCAATTGCTCTTGCTGCAAAGCACTTCTTAAGAGAGAGTACGGAAGAATTTTATTAAGCAGGGGAAAAAAAAGTTTTGCTTTAATTTTACCACGCCAGATTATGAGCAAGATGTAAGGGTTTCAGAGTTCTTATAATCCCATGCTTATCTCAATGACCTGCGCCAAGCCTTGAATAAAATTGAGTATATTATGAATAATTATTTAGAATAATTGAAAAGCTTGATAATGTATTAATTAAAGTTATGGTTTTATAATTACAATCCATCGTCCATTCAAACAAACAAAAAATAAAATAATTTTTAAACTTAAGGTTAAACCTTTTTTACATAATTATCTTCATTCATGAAGCGAAGTTTTGGTTTCAAGATTAAATATATTTTTCAAATTTGTATATCTTAATGTAATTAATTGGCGTGCCAACTATCAATTGTCATTTCTTTACTTATAAATTTTCTTAACCTTTGCAAATAGAGAATTTTAAGGGTCTATGCAATCCAATTAAAAACAAATCCAGATGCCTAATCCAATTTGTAATATTAAAAATGTCATATTTGAAAGGCAAGTTCTTATTATTTCGAAGTTTTGTTAGCTAAAGCTACAAATAAGTAAAAGTAGTAATTTTTTCTACGATAGGTTATTTGTTTTTAAAAAAAAACATAATGTTTAACGTATTTATAACTAAGCAGCTCAGAAGTTAACTCGCTCGTCTATTTTAGTACTTATCAGGCGAGTCCAAGTCCAAGTTGGGCACGCTTGACAACAGCTGTTCCGTATTGTATATATTATCGATGCTCTACAAGTAAATAAATAAATATAATATTTATATATATTATTAGACCTACACATACTATTGGGTTAAATGTGTGTGTTCTACATCAAACTGATAAGCGGACATTCAGACTGAGTTTCGTTTCCGTATTTCCTAATTTCAGCTAAAAGTAAATCATTGATTTTTGTGTTTATTTTCTCTTATCTGTACAGACCTGGTATGATAACTTTGTGGACACCATGAAATCTGCCTTTGACTTTTCACTGTTTTTGGATAAGAAATTTGCGCTCTTCAATCTATCCACATTGTTTTTGTTCATTTGGTAAGTGTTAAAGGCCTCAAACTGCGCACTGAAATAATTGTGTATCTTGTGGATATGTTAGTGCTAAAATTAATTAATATATTCGAAATACCAACGGCCTTAGCAAGTCGAAAACTGTCAACTACAAATGTCGCAAACAATTTTTGGCAAACTCTCAAAATATCTAATGTATTATGCAAAATTTATGAACGTGAATTCAAATTTGAATTTCTTTTGAGACTAACTTTTACGACTTTTTAATCCACGACCAATTTGCAATTTGTAAGAGCAGATTATAAAAGTCGACCAGTAACCATATCTTTACAATATTCAATGGTAATTGTCTAATGAAACACACGTCTCGCAGGTTCATCATACCCTATCTTTATCTGCCCGAATATATGAAGCAATATGACTACGAGGTGAGCGTTAGCGCCGTTCTCATATCGGTAATTGGCGTTGCGCAAACGGTGGGCATGATTGGGCTTGGCTATCTGGGCGATCGGCCCTGGATGAACATCAATATATGCTACTCTCTCTGCATGCTGGGTGAGTGATTGATTGATTGCCTAATATATTTATCCAATATAAAAAGCTAAAATTTCGTGTCATTTATTATTGTTTTAGTTTGTGGTGCTTCGGTGTTTTTTATGCCCATGCTGATCACCAGCTATAATGGACTAATGACGATGTGCATCATCTTTGGCTTCACATTTGCCAGCTCATTTTCATTTACGCCCAGCATACTGGTCAGTATTGTTGATTTGGATGATTTCACTTGTGCCTACGGTTTGGTGCTGCTGGTGCAGGGCATCGGCATGATTGCAGGTCCGCCCTTGGGAGGTGCTATCTATGAATTGATGGGCAGGTATGTTCCACAATTGTCATCATCATCTAGTTCAGCATCCGTTATTGATTTGATTATTTTTGTGTATTTCGCAGATGGGACGACTCATTCTATTATGCGGGCATATTTATAGCACTCTCCGGCGTCTGTTCGTATATGATTGAGTTTTGTGAGAAGAAAGCAACTAAGGAGAGTGATAGTGATGTCTCAGAGACTAAAAAAGCTCAACTTTTACATTAGTTTACTTACAAATATAAACACACAAAATGTCTGTAGAGAAAACCAAAAAAAAAAACAAAAAACAAAAAACAAAAACAAATTAGAAACAAAAATCACAAAAATATAATTCAAGGTACTTCAACTGACAAATTTAGTGCAATTAAGCAGCGCTGCGGCCTAATAACAAACACAAAATAATGGACTAGCATTAAATGTTATCAAGTTTCTTATGTCAAATGCTGTTGCAGCTAAAAAAAAAAAAAAAAACTCAGAGCGAATTAGTAGATAATTTATTAATTAAATACACGTTATTCACATATAAGCAAAAAAAAACAAAAAACAAAAACATAAAATAGACTTGAAAACCAATCACAAAGAAGCATATTAGATAGTTAACGCACTAGGACAACTACATTGTACGTTTGTATGTATACTCCAATAAAACAAATAAACAAACACCTGCATACTTATACCATGTGGCTCAAACTAACCAATTATATATACCAACATTTAATATCAATGCAGTGCATCACTGCCATGCGCAAAACGGGTTGCCCAATTTGTCTTCTTTATAAACGATTAGTTTTAATTGTTGTAAAATCATATTTCAGAAATGCCTCAAATTAACTGGAACAACAAACCATAACAAATACCAATACCAATCTATGTAACGTATGCAATAACTTAAAAGGCAATTTGCAATCAACTTAACTCACAAAGTCTTCAAACCGAAAAATAAAATGAAATGATTAGAAATAAAATAAATAGCTTTTGATTAAGTAAAACTTATGTAAATATGACAATTCTAACGAAAAATCCAGATATTTATAAACAGCACCCGAATTGCAAATGATTCGCAACAATTTAGCAGTTTTCCCAATTTGTCATAAAACAAAAAAACTATACAGTTTAAGTATTATTAAACAATTAATTGAGAAGTTTACGTAGCTCACTGAAAACCATTTAGCGTATACCTAACAGCATATAGATTTATTTTACTATGTAGCGCACTTCAATTTAGGCTAAAAACAAATTAACTAACGTCAAGATACAACATCTACGTATGCACAACTGTAGCCTAGATGATCTTTCAAAAAAATCACTAAAACATTTGTTTATATCCCATAAGCACAACTCTTAGCAAATACAAAACAAAAAAAAATTAAAATTAATTGCAATTCTAAACTGTTTACAAACATCAATTAAATAATCATAAATATATACATATTTAGAACACATTATTCAAATAATAAATAATAATAATAATTTTGATGAAATTGCGTTTTCCTATCCGTACTTTGATTATGTCAGAATTAAAGGAATATTGGTTTGTATTTTTATAATATTTATTGTGTATATTAATTAGGTTTTAATGCTTTGGGTCTGGCAAATACAAATGTTTATAAATAATTTGATTTTATTTCATTTTGTTTACATTTATTTTTCGGCTTTTATTTAATTATGTAAACTTCGTAATTGTCGGCGACATAATCAAATTGATTATGCATTATCACCACGATTTGTTTTTGTTTGTGTATAATAATTATATATATTAAACTTATATATTATGTATGTATTTGTTTAATTTTTATGCATGTCTGTGTTTGTATATATCGTTATATGTTATGCAAATTATACAAAAACAAAGCAAATGCGTCCAAAAACCAATCACAAAATCCATATGTGTATAAAGTAGTAGAAGAAAAGCAGCCACCACTAACGGGAGAGATGTGGTTGATTCATTCATGAAAACGAATCAAAATAAGAGAAATTCACATAGTATGTTTATATGTTTATATAGTATATATATTACACTCCACTCATCATCATCGCTACTCATCCAAAATGTAACTAGCAAACTAACTAAATGTACACAAAAATATTTGTATTTAATATACGTATCATTTTTTGTTTAAAGTTTATAAAATTTTAGAAATCACGTACGACACATTTTACATACACATATTGTTCATTAGTTTATTTAAAACTGGATTTAAAGTTTTTTTTATTTTTTTTTTTTTTAATTTTTCTATTGGATTTGACTTTCTCAGCGAACATAAAGTTTGTTTTCATGCTTGTTTGTTTGTTAACATTATGCTTAGTGCTGAAATGTGTTCAGTAATTGTGGTTTACTAGTATCGCCGCTAAGTTTATTACGGTTATTATTCTGCTGGAAATAAAAATATGGAAACAATAAATCTGCTACCACTACCTTCTAAGAGTTAGTCACTAGTAGCTTTTACAGAAGCGGCTATCGGCTATCGGCTACGGCTATCCCAAGTGCAGGCATCGGCAAACAGTAGTTTATTCCTAGCAGCAACCGCTATTTACTGCACCACCCGCGCCGCCAGATCCGGGCAACGCTGGGTTTGTGGGCGTTGCCTGTTGCCCGATTTTAATGCCGTTTGCCTGCAAACAAAAAAGTAGTCAAATCAATCATGATGCAATAATTATGAAACAACTAATTGTATACCTCATTATTTATATCAAATACACCTTCCTGTATCTTCTCGTAAATCTCTTTGGCTGTATTTATGAAAGCCTCTTCCACGTTAGCGGCTGTGCGCGCCGATGTCTCCATGAAGACGAGACCATGCTCGCGTGCGAATGCCTCACCCTCCTCCTTTTTCACCTCACGTCTGGAGTCCAAATCACTCTTGTTGCCAATCAGCATGATCACCATGTTCGAGTTGGAGTGCTGGCGTGCATCTTCCAGCCATGTGGTCAAATGATTGAATGTCTCGCGCCTCGTGATGTCATAGACAAGCAAAGCGCCAGCAGCGCCACGATAATAAGACCGTGTAATTGATCTAATTTGAATAATAAAAAATATAATCATTTTCATACAATAAGATAAAATAAAAATAGCTTAGAGTTTGTCCATATGCACCTGAAAGCCTCCTGGCCGGCTGTATCCCAGATCTGCAGTTTGATTTGTTTGCCATCGATGGTAATCATGCGTGCACCAAATTCAACGCCAATTGTCAGATCGTGCACCGGCTGGAATCGCTTGTCCGTGAACTGCAGTAGCAGACATGATTTGCCAACGCCTTCAGAGATAAGCAGAATACAAAGAAAACAACAAAATAAATATTGTAATTGCCCCTTGTAAAACTTAAGCGGTAAAGTGAAAGTTTTCCATTCATTTTCACAAAGCGAAACGAAATGAACAGCCAATCAACAAAGGCAAATCGTCGACAACTCAACTTTACAAAAATACCGAGATAAGACCACCAACCGGGAGAAACGAGCTTTGTCTCTCTAGGTCAAAGAAGGCAAACGAAACGTATTTTTTCTTAGGGCGTCTCCCCAAAATCCATCCAATCCAAAATCCAGTGTGACTGCTCCATACTCATCAGCACAACGAGCTCGATATCTCAGCAAAACTATTATCTGAACAGTCGGACAGAGAGACCAAGGATGTGTTCATTTTCAAAGACTCAATAGCATCTCATCCGACAGAATAAAATACATTTTGTGAACAATATAAAATCAACCATATGGCTGCAAGGTGCAACAAAATTATGATATTGTCCTAGGTCCTATAATCATGGTCCAAACTAATGTTATTCGAGTATTTCTTCTAAAATTTTGTATTTTAAGGAATGCTGTCGAAAAATGAAAAAAACGAGAGCAACAGCTGTTTAATTGCTATCAATCAAAAGCTCTTTGCTTCTGGACACGCATACTAACAAACATTTGCATATGTGAGTTATTATTCACAGTGCTGATAAGCGAAGCAGAATTTGTGACTCTCTTTACAACATTCCCTCAACACCAAACACAACAATATGCTAAAATACAACCGAATAAGTTTTTGGGGGTGGGGTGGGCGGTCAAACAGCAGTTGAGTCAACAGCAACAGTAACGGCAGGGCTGTAAAATACAGAAAACCCCCCGTTAACTTCAATAGTAGTGTGGAGTAACGCCCGCGCTTCTTCGTAAAGAGGCGTTGTTATGGTTTTATTGATTTTTCCTTGCTGCGCGTTTGATCTTTTCCACAAAGCCAGCAGACGAGCATACTGCGGAGTGGGGACGGGCAGCAGACAAACTTAACTCGACTTTGGCATTAGTTGCAAACAACAACAATATGGATGGATGGATGGAGCACAACGCAGTTTTCAGTTTATAAATCGCCTCTGTTTTGTTATTTTGTACTGCACAATTAATTTTTGTATGATAATCGCACGAAATTTTTACACACTCATATGGAACTCGTCAGCAGCGAACACTCACCAGTGTCGCCAATGATAATATATTTGAACAGATAGGCGTAGGACATTCTTGCGGCTGCTTAGTTTTCAAAATGCGTTGATTATGAACTTTTTAAATAATTATTATCGTAATATCTGACAATAATAATACGCAATTGCAAATTTGTGTAGATTTTGCAAGCTGACACTGATGATGACGACTGTGGCTGGTTATCGACAACGATAACGATTCATTACCAGGGCTGCGGTGAACAGGGTTGTCAGGGCGCAACAGTCTGTGGTCGGTTTATCGATAACCCAGCCCTATATGTATGTATGTACAATTTTTGTCAGAAATTTTCTCTCGCACAAAGCGATGTGTTTTAGCTCAATTTGTAATTAATTCAAATGTGAAATGTATAAACGAAAATAGTTATTATTATTTATTCTGAAACCCAAAAAACTAAACTGCATTTAGCTAGCGCTTTCGACTTGTACAGCGTTTGCTTCCGGGTCGCCTTCTCCACTTTTTTGACTTTCGTGGTCCACACAACTGGCCCCAAAAGCGTAGACAGAGGTGTGTGTGTGTGCGAGTGTGTGTGTGTGAGCAAGTGAACCTGTGCGTGTGAGTGTGTGTGTACGTTGTTTTGTTCCTTCCTTACTGAGGCTGAGGCAAGGTGAAACATGAAGATGGCTGACGGCTCGACAATATTGCGTAGAAACCGACCGGGCACAAAATCAAAGGTAAGCGCTGCTCTATGAAATATATAATACACACATAAATATGTATAATATATCAAACAGGATTTCTGTCGCTGGCCCGACGAGCCGCTGGAGGAAATGGACAGTACACTGGCCGTGCAGCAGTACATACAGCAGATGATCAAGCGAGATCCATCGAATGTGGAGCTGATATTGACGATGCCCGAGGCACAGGACGAGGGTGTGTGGAAGTATGAACACTTGCGGCAATTCTGCATGGAATTGAACGGGTTGGCTGTGCGGCTGCAGAAACAATGCTCACCGTCGACGTGTACGCAAATGACGGCCACCGATCAATGGATATTCTTATGTGCGGCCCATAAAACGCCCAAAGAGTGCCCCGCCATTGATTATACACGGCACACACTGGACGGCGCCGCTTGTCTGCTGAATAGCAACAAATACTTTCCAAGCAGGTATGTTTGACGGAGCGCGACAAGCAACTAGCCGCATAATGAGTCAAGTGTTATGCTCACCCACAGAGTTTCCATTAAGGAGTCGTCGGTGACCAAGCTGGGGTCGGTGTGTCGGCGGGTTTATCGCATCTTTTCGCATGCGTATTTTCATCATCGCCGCATCTTTGATGAGTTCGAGGCGGAAACGTATCTATGCCACCGATTTACACATTTCGTCACAAAATACAATCTCATGTCCAAGGAGAATCTGATTGTGCCCATCAACGAGGAGGAGAACGCGGCACCCGGCGAAAGTGAAGCTTAAACAAACCACAACAAACAACCACTGCAGAAACAGCAAAACAATAAAAAAAAACCACAAACAACACAAATGAAAAACATACAGCATAAGAAATTATTGACGGACAAAGCGCAGTCATTCTCATACACAACTCACTTAAACATATTTATAATATATATATATATATTTACTAATAGCTTGCATTAGATTCAACGATAAAGGCATCATTCTGTTCTATTTTCTACTGAGAGAAATGAGTGGGCCGCAAGAAGAAGAAGAATGAAATTGAAACTCATTTGCAAATTTCTGTGTATGTAGTTCAATCGACAAGTATAAACGTATAAAGCTCTATGATGAAATTAACAAATTGCTAAATTCAGACAACTATACAGTTTCCCTACATAATTCCGTTACGTTATAATTACGATTATGTTAAAATTCTTATTTTAAATAAATTATATGTAGAAACACACGCAAAATACATGAACACCAAATTCGAAATTTCTTTACCGAAAACCTCCCAAAAAACAAAACAAAAAACTACCAAAAGAAATGAACAAAATTTTATATACATCAAATGTGGAAACGCAGTTGTACCAAAACTAATAAGTGAAGTTTACTATCAAAGCCTATTTAAAATAAAATCGAAACAGCAACAAACCAACACAAATTGGTTTCCAGTCTCGTCTAGACAATATTCACCTCCAGCATTCGCTGCTGGGCAACCAGACGCTCAAATCCCAACCGGCTCAGATCCAATGCGCCATATTTGCCATCCAAAATTAGCTCAGCGATGGCTCGGCCCACCGCTGGCGTCTGCTGTATGCCATGGCCACTGAAACCGGTCGCTATATACAGGTTCCCATAGTGTGGATGTCGACCAATGATGCCATTCGCATCGAAGGTGTTGTGTTCGTAGTAGCCTGCCCAGCTGCTCTGCACTTTAAGCGACTCGAAGGCGGGCACCCGACTGGCCAAGGTGGGCCACACATTCGACTCAAAGTAGCCATGATCCACGTCCAGAGTGTCGCAGCTTGGGCTCCTCATCGTCGGCGGGACTGCGACCACATAGGAAATTACCGCCCAATCCATCGGGACGAAAGTACGAGCCATCAGGATCGATAGTTAGAGGTGTCTCCACTCCTGGACAATTCTTGCCTTGGGTATTGACGACATAGACATACCGCTTTCGCGGCTCCACGGGCAGTGCCACACGCAGTAGGTCTCCTCCCATACCAATCTTGGCCAGGCGCGCCACCTGGCCAGACCAGGGACCAGCAGCCAGCACACAAGTATCAAATTGCACGGTGCGTCTTTTGCCATCGGCACTGGCCACCACTGCGGCGGAGAGTGCACCAGCTGGATTCCACTCAAAGCCCACAATATCGCCGTTGGCGAACTGGGCACCAAGCGAGCGCGCCTGCTTCTTAAAGCCCATCAGCAGGGCCCAGGGATCGAACCAGCCCTCCTTGTCGATGCCATAGCAGCCCAGCTCAATGTCCTCGGTGCACATCCAGGGAAAGCGGCGACGCAATGCCTCCGCGCCGAGCAGCTCATTGCGCGCGCCCAGCTCATTCTGCAGCTTGGAGTTGCGCGTCAGCGTTTCGGCGCCCTTTTCACTGGCCAAGACGAGGTAGCCGTGCGGCCGAAAGTTCAGATCCACATCGCCCAAATGAGTGCGACAGCTTGAAATGAAATTGTGGCCAAAGAGCGACATTTGTATATTCTCCGCCAGCGAAAACTGTTGACGCACACCGCCCACGGACAGCACAGTGGATGCCGTTGCATACTGCGAATGGATTCAGTAATATATATATTCTCCTGTGGCTATTCAATGGAGATAACTCACACTCGCATCCCGCTCCACGACGAGCACGTTGAGCTTCTTCTGCTCCGCCCGACGCTTGAGCCAATAGGCCGAGGAGGCGCCCATGCCGCCGCCACCAATGATCAGCACATCACAACGCTCGGGCAGCGGATCTCCGAGAACACTCGCTGCTGCACCATCGATTTTACTACTGCTCTGGAAGCGCGATTGCTGCAGGGCAGCAGCCGATCGCAAAACACGTCCCAGTCGCAGCATGATTCGCACTGAGCAATTGTGCGGGGAACCCAGCACCGCTGAGCTGGTTGTAAGCAAACAATGTGCGCAACCAGATTAGATTCTCGCTTTGGTTATCTAAGTGAGTAAATACTACAACAACAATGCCAGCTTAACAATAATACAATTTAGTCTATCTACAGCTCGCTTATCAATCCAGTAATGAGCGACAGTCAAGTGTTCATTTTGGAATACCCTCTACTCTAATATAGCTGTGATAAGCTCGGAGATCTGTTCCAAGTTGCTACGAATACATTTTTATTACAGCATTAACTGATGCAAAATAGAGTCCAAGGGGATTTTAAACAAATTCAGCAAATTTCTTTTTTGCAAACTTGAATTCGCAATATTTTCTTGCCTTTTTTCAAAACTATCTCTCTCTGTATAAGTGATATACTCAAACCGCAAAAAGCTTAGGAATCTGTTCCTAGTTGCTGCGAAAACAGTTTATTAAAATTGCAATATTCATATATATATATATATATATATATATATATTGTTTTTGTTGCGAAATTGAGTTCCTATCAATTTTAATCTCTTTTTGTTTTTTTTCGAACTAATTAGCAATTCCTTACTCATCATTTTAGCATTTTTTAAAAATTATCTATCTCTTTCTCTCTGGTTAAGTGATCCGTTCCAAGTTGCTGCACAATAATTTTAATTACAGCAATAACTGAAGCCAAACAGAGCACAAAAGTCTGCTAAAGTTGTGAAATTGATTTTGCACTAATTTGACAATAAATTCGCTCTAAAAACTTATTTTAGCATTGTTTAAAAACTCTATTTTTGAACGAAATTGAATTTACACTAACTTGTCAATGGATACTTTTTAGCATTGACTCATCATTTTAGCATTTTCTAAAACTCTCTCTTTAAATAGCGTATATCAAAGTCGAACATAGTCAAGTAGATGCAGTGTCTACGTCCAATCTTATCATAAGTCATGACAAAAAAAAAGTATAAAATGTAGTTTGTTTTATTGATTGGATCAAGTGGGTAATTATCCCTGACCGCTAATAGCGTTGTCTCCGACAGGTTTGCCTTGTGTTGTCTGCTGCTGCTGCTGTTGTTGTTGTTGTTGTTGTTTATTGCGAGCAAATCTTGGACGTTTATTTGTGCGTTTGGCACTGGATGCGGATGCAGGCGATGCTTCATCGTACTGCCAGAAATCGCTGTTCGTATTCGGTTTTTGCAGTCTGAAAATGAAATAAAAGTCATATGACAAGATGAGAGCAGATATTGTTTTTAGTTGTGACGAACCCCTCGATGCTATCGGACAGCTCATCCAGGCTCATGAGTATGTGCAGGGTGGGTATTTGGCGGGTGACAATGATTTCTTCCAGCCCGTCCATTTGTGGCTTCCAGTGCTCCTCGACGCTGCACAGGAATACACTCTTATTATGGTGACGCTTAAGCAATTTAATTGGGACAAAAACTCACCTGGTGTAGCCCATGCGTGTGACTTGATACAGCGGATGACTGCGCTTGAGCACCTCGGCACAGGATATGGTCTTGACCACACCACCGCCGGAACCGCTCCACACCAGACTGCGATATTCGCCTTTGTCCAGCGCCGCCTGAGCAAATTCTATAACATTGCTGACCTTAGTGCCGCCCTTGACCTAGATGGATTGGAATGTAAATACAAAAGTCGATCGGGGCCAGAGTCAAACTCATTTGCTACTTACATGCATCCATAGAAAATCCTTGTGCGTCTTCGGCATGCAATTCTCAAAGGGTAAATCCGTTTTGCTTAGCTCCTGCTCCACATTCTCCGCCTTGCGATAGTGCATCATTTTGCGAACCTATAGGCATTTGATGAAACCATTAACTTTATGCAACTTGATTAGTGTATGAATTTGTGGCTGCCTCGCAGCGATAACCTTGAACCAGAATTTGTAGTAGTTCTATGCTGGATGTACTAGAAGCATGCCTTATAAGGGCCCATCCATCCACTCATAAACTGTCTTGCACAGTTATTGCCATGACAGTCTGTGCAAATTGAATAATTGCCGCATTATGAGACGAGAGCGACCCCTTCGCCCACAGGCCAAAAGGAAAAGCACTGAAAAACCCCACGCAAACCATTCAACTTCTTAACAAAAAATTTCATCCGGCTATGGTGAGAAATAAAAGGCCCTGCTTCCGATAACATCAAATATACATGGGCAACACCCAGACAGAGAAAATAAACCAATCTTCGGATTTAATTTCAAATTTTAAATACCCAAAGTTTTACTATAAGTAAAAGAAATCAATCAACCAAAAAAAAAGAAAGAATTTTATAAAAAACTTATGCTTTTTATATTTAAATTAAGAAAATGTAATTAACTACTTTATTTATTAACGTCGACTAATATCAGTCAACACAGAAAAATACACAAAATATAAATACATTTTTTTCCAACAATATTAAAAATTTAATTCGAATATAAATTTAAAAAAAAAATACAACAAAATGTATAAAATTTCTGGTTGTGTTTAATAGCAAAATTGGTACATTAAAAAATGTTGTATATAGAATTTAGATTCCAAAATACAACAAAATAGCAAATGAAAGCTTTACATTTTATGAGGAGACAAACTACGTTTTTTCTATTTTGAAAGTTCGTTGATTAAAAAAAAAATGTATATTCCATTCGCGAAGTGAAAGCGTATCAACTTTTCCCGTGCAGCCATCAGGAATTGCGCATGAAGAGGACTCCAAGTAAATGTCAATAAAAAAGCATTTCTACAGCAATTAAATGCGCACGGCTGCAGCACAAATTTCCCATTAAATAAAATTCTGCTGGTGTCGGGCTCTAGACAACAAGGATGACAACCGGCAGGAAGACAACGGGAGCAACCAAGATATACACGCACTGATAGAATACACATTCCCCTTCCGTCTTCAGCGCGAAACATCGTAGCATGCCACTTGTTGAAGCTAAACAACATTTGGTTGAGCAGCAGGGGGCAGGGGCAAAGAGCTCTGAATTCGACAGCAGCAACGAAAGTTTATTAATGAACTTTTCACAAAACAGCGGTTGTGGGTGGCTCCTCATGACCCACAAACACACCCACTCACCCACACACGCCCACTCATCCACTCACCCGCACAACCACACAACCACACACATACAGACAATTATCGCATGTCCTATTGAACGATGGAAACGCAGACAATTCCACAATTCAGTGCAGCGGAAATAGAGAAGCAAAAAAATGTGAGAGAACTTGGGTGGTCGTTTTTGGAATGTTACGAGGAATGCCTTCGAAATACCAAATGACAGGCACTGCTCCGGACTGTCTCATTGAGAACGTCATCGTTATCATCAGCGTTAAAGGAACATCATTATCATCTGTGGCATGGCATCGTCGCCATTCTTTTCAAGTACGTTACGTACTACAAAACACAGCGCAACAGGCAATCCATTTATTTTTAAACCTCTACACTTATATAAATGGTTATCTCTCAAATGCAATTCATACAACAACAAAAATGAATTGTGCATAAATTAGTCGTTTGATTAATAAACGAATTACACAATTTAAAACATAATTTCTAACAACAAATTATATCTGCGCTTACTCAATTCATTAAACATTGTAAGCATATTGAAGTAACTTAAATAGTTGTAAGAAAAATAAGTCTGAGTTTCATTTTTTATGCAGATTTCAGTTACTTAAGCAGTTCTTACTCCAATTGTATATAGTTAATCAAATAATTAAAATTGTTGCGTTTGTGTAATCAAGTAATTAAAATTCTTAAATATATTTTAAAACAAAGCCTGCGTTCACTCGATTAGTTCACCTTTGTATGCATATTTGATATAAGTAGAAGAGGAATGGTTTACATCTCGAGGAGTGTGTACCATATTTTATATATTATTTTATTTCCAAGAAAGACTAGAAAATTGCATTGTAGAGCAGCATGATTTTGTTGTAATGTGTGATTCTATTTGGTGCGGAAGTTATTAATAAAACGAGTGTGGCACAAAAGCAAAAGGACATGATGCCAGCCAAGTGTGTTCTTCTTATTTACCAGCAAAATGTATTGTATGGATGTGGGTGTTGAGTCCTTGTGGGGGAGTGCGACTTGTTGGTCTTGTCTGTTGACAATGAATCCACGTACTTTGAATTAACATTACATACATTTGGTTAAATACATTACATCAATTTCAGCAGTTGGATGCGAACAACACTTTAAATTAGATTCAAGATGTGCAGAGCATTTAACATTTCTCTAAATTGAAACTGGCGACTCTCTCTATATAGATATATATATATATATATGTCTTTTAAATGATTCGCAGCAGTGCTGCATATTTTCACGCACACTCGCATACTTCTCCACACACCAACACACACACATATATAAATATATTAGAGGGGGTTCACCATAAGTGTTGTGCTATTGGGGTCATTTCAAAAAATAATGCTAAAGAAATTATAAGATTTCTGGGATCAACTTTGAAAAAAAAAAGATAGTTGTAAAAATTGTCCTTCTCCAAACTTAATTTATCTGCAATTTATTAAAACAAATAATAAAATTAATTTCATTATTTTTAAGAGTTGTCTTCGCTTCAGTTGTTGACTATTTTTATTTGGTTTTTTCACATCGTTTCCACTGTGCACCGCAAATATTTCATTTATTTCCAAACCCCACCCTCAATGGATGCAAACCCCATTCCGCACTCTAGCTGAGTCGACTCTCACTTGCCCCGGCCATCTTTCTCTGTGACTGCGAAAGTATGCATTCATTAGACATGCCAACAGGCAGCTGCGAGCAACCGAGCTTAGTTCTTGGCCAAACCGCGGAGCCAGGATCATTTGAGGTTTGCAAGCCGTGGCCAACGGTTCACAGTCGCGGCCATAACGACTTGGCTAGCAGTAAGTGGCAGTGGCAGCAGCAGTGGCAGTGGCAACAGGCCATTTTTAGTGTTCATCATAAAGCAACAAAGTGGCTGCAAACGACATTTGGTGAAATGGTGCAAAGCATTTTGAATTACCGTTAATTACGTTGCAACCCGGAGTGGTTTAAAAGCCCATTTATTATCATAATAAACAAAAATACAATTCAAGGCTCTGCTATTTATTTATGCCGCAATTTACACAGGCTACGTTGTAAATAAAAATAAACAACAATAAAGTTAATGAACTTGGCGGCTGTTCAGGTTGCAGGTATTTGAGCAGTCTAAACAAACTATAAATAAATCTACTAAATAAACTAAATACAAAATTAAATGTGTGTTCAAAATATATTATGAAATAATTACACAAAAATGTCGAAAGTGCAAAACTGAACAAATTATGTACCGGATGTATACGGTTCTTAAAAAATTTAAATTCAATTCTTGTCAAATAGCTTGTCAAATATGCTTATCTAATAATTTAATATTATTGGAGACAGATACAAAACTTCTCCGAAACTCTACAATTATTGACAAAGACAAACAGTTAAGGAAAAAATTAAAAGAACAAAAATCTATAATAAACCAATATTTGTAAAACAAACAAAAAAACATATATAAGAAGTGACAATCCATCAAAACCACAATTTTATAATAATATATATATAATATATTAGTTGCCCATTGATTTTTATATATTCTCATTTTCATTATATCCTTTAATATATTTTTTTATTTGTCTTTTTAATTTAGTCACTCACTTTTAATTTATTTTATTTCATTTGCAACTTTAATTTCAAGCTTGTAAATTTTAGAAACCGCTCCGAAATAAAATAAAAAATAATTTGCTAATATGCATTTTTTTTGTTTAATTCGTATAGTCGGAAATTAAGAGCATTTACCAAACGACTAATAGAAAAACTACGAAAATAGTTATACGACAATTAAGAAGAAGCAAACAATACAAAAATGGATAGTTCTGAATTTCGAAAACGTGGCATGGAAATGGTCGAATACATTTGCAATTATTTGGAAACTTTGGGCGAACGGCGCGTTACGCCCAGCGTGGAGCCCGGATATCTGAGGCATCTGTTACCCAGTAAGTAGCCACGATTTTTTTTTTTAATATAAATCCTAGCAAAATGTATTTATAAATAAAAACAATTTGTTAATCGGAAACAATTTAAGGGCAATCCATTTGCTATTATTGACCCTTAACCCAGTTGTGACCACTGAACACCTGCTGGGGTACAAAAATTTGACTATATTAAAATAGTTGTATTTCCAAGCAAACACAACATTTTCCCAATTCTTTTGTGCAGTTTCATCAAGCACAATGTGGCTAATATACCCAGATGGAGAAATTTGAGATAACGAATTACGGTATTCAAAATGTTGAATTGTTTTTAGTTCTGCTCTGCACATTTTTCGTAGTTTTAGCAGGACAAATCAAAATAAATCAGATCCCTTGATTTGTATACTAAAAAAATGCAATCTTTTAAATTGTGAAGATTAATAATTTAAAAAGTTGTTGGTCGTTGACAATTACTAAAAAAGGTATGCAATTTTCTTTTTGTTCTTTTCTTCGTATTGTTGTTTCTTATTCTGAGACAAACTCCATGATTTTTTAGTTAAAAAATTATTAATAATAATATTATAAGTTTCTGCTATGTAAAACACGATTAGATTAAACAAAAAATCATAACTTAACCCAATGCTTTGAAAATGAGAAATGGAAAACTCTTTTAACTTTCGCATATTTATAAAGTTGAAATATTTTTAGTTTTATTTGACTAATTATCTTTCATTATCTTTCGATAGCTGAGGCACCACATGAGCCAGAGGATTGGGATCAAATTATGAACGATGTCGAGGATAAAATCATGCCAGGAGTGACGCACTGGCAGCATCCGAGATTCCATGCATATTTCCCGGCGGGAAACTCGTTTCCCTCGATACTGGGCGATATGCTGGGCGACGGCATCGGATGCATTGGCTTCTCGTGGGCGGCCAGTCCCGCCTGCACCGAACTGGAGACCATTGTGCTCGACTGGCTGGGCAAGGCCATTGGGCTGCCGGAACACTTTCTGGCGCTCAGAGAGGGCAGCACTGGCGGCGGCGTTATTCAGGTAAACACTTTCGATCTCATTGTATATGTGTAGAAATTGATAGATGAAAATTGATGGCACAGACATCGGCCTCGGAGTGTGTGCTCGTCACGATGCTGGCGGCGCGTGCACAGGCGCTGAAGCGTCTCAAGGCGCAGCATCCGTTCGTGGAGGAGGGCCATCTGCTGTCCAAGCTGATGGCCTATTGCTCCAAGGAGGCGCACAGCTGTGTGGAGAAGGCGGCGATGATATGTTTTGTGAAGCTGCGCATTCTCGAGCCGGACGAGAACGCGAGCCTGCGCGGACAGACCATTGGCGAGGCCATGGAGGAGGATGAGTTGCAGGGTCTGGTGCCGTTCTTTGTGTCCACCACGCTGGGCACCACTGGCTCCTGTTCCTTCGATAATTTACCCGAAATCGGTAGCCAACTGAAAAAGTTTCCCTGCGTCTGGCTGCACGTGGATGCGGCCTATGCCGGCAACAGTTTCATCTGTCCCGAATTGAAGCCACTGCTCAAGGTAAATGGACAAATATTTGCCACCGCTCACAAATGAGAAATTTCAGTAATTGAAATCGTTTTGAACATTATTACTTATTAAATGATGTTTTAAAATAGATTTCTCGAAAATGAAACTGAGAAAGCAAAATATTTGAAAAAAAAACTGCTGGAAAAAAGATCTATCATTTTTATCGCAGAATTTTATGTGCTGTTTTACTATTAAAAGTTCACAAGAAATTTCATTTATTGTTATAATTTTTTATGTTCGTTGTCGACATAAAATCGCATGGCTTCCAATTTATATTTAAAGAAAAATGTACAATCTTAGCAGCACAATATTGTTTTGAAAAATGTCCGAAAAACCATTTTTGTTCTTTTACACTCAGAAAAAATACGCAATAAATGGTTTGTATATCGTCATAATTTTGGAGGCACGGTTAGTTTACCTTATTGGTCAGAAAGTGTATTTCTAAAATGCCAAAAAATGTCGTTTGTTTCCAAGAATTAGGGTTTTGTCTTCCCAAGCCGATGTTCAATATTTCCAAAATTTAGGATTAATATGTCTAATTTCCAGCGTGTTTGTGAAAGTGTAAACAGAATTTATACAACCGCATTTTTGTTACTTTAAGATTTCACATAGACATACACTTTAAATAGTTTATAATTTCATTTAATTTAATTTTAAAAAAATTAAAACTTTACAAAAAATCAAGCAATTTACTATCGGCTGCTCTTGCAAAATTTCATTACTTATTTCTGCACTTTAGAAAGAAAGTTTTAGAAAAATATACGGATTTTGCCTTTCTAATTTTTATACTAATTTATTTTCATTTTGGGAAGACATTCTAAATTTCAGAACGATGTTCTGCCTAAGATTCCAAATTCTTTTTACAAATATCAAAGCATTTTAATCATAATTCAATATATAGAAGATTAAATATGAAGACAAATCCTGACGGGATTGGAATACATAAAAAAAAGGGGGTCACTAAACAACAAACAATAAATGATTGATAATTTTTTAAGGATTTTCATAATTGAATTTAATTGAAATTTTCGCATTGGCAACCGAAGCGTTCTCAGTTTCAAGCAAGCACTGTAATCAGGCAACACACACAAATACATCCACATATGTATAGCATGCACAATGTACACCCATCCATCTGGCAGTTCAGTATGCTAATAAACTCTAATGTTCGGCACAAACAGGGCATCGAATATGCTGACTCATTCAACACCAATCCCAACAAATGGCTACTGACCAACTTTGACTGCTCGACGCTGTGGGTGCGCGATCGCATCCGTCTGACATCAGCGCTGGTCGTGGATCCGCTGTATCTCAAGCACGGCTACTCGGATGCGGCCATCGACTATCGTCATTGGGGAGTTCCACTCAGCCGTCGCTTTCGATCACTGAAACTGTGGTATGTAGCGCCCAAAAAAAAAACAAAAAACAAACACACAAAATATATATCGAACCCATCTATAAAAACGGACTCTTGAGTCTTCTCAGGCGTGAATGACTTTGTTGACTATTGCCAAATAATTATTATTATTTTTTTTTCCTCTTTTCTTTTTTGGCTTTTCGAGTGTGCCAAACTTGTTGCTTAGCTTTGAGTGCGCTTGTCATGAAGCATGTGCCTTTATTATTTACATGCGACTTAGTTGTAAAAACATCAAATAAATGAAATAAACTCATGTTAAATATGCTTGACAAAGGCACACCTCAACATAGCATAGCACATATAATATATATTATACACAAAACAGTTTTTTATATACGAGTATATATTTATATGTATATTTCCGGCAATATTGAGAGTCTTGCACTTCTAAATATTTTATATGAATCGCAAAATGAAGACCAAACTTATTCAACAAATCTGTTTTAATGGGTAATTTTAATTTCTGATCTGATCTAATGAAGAAATCTATATACCATAATATTTATCAAAATTTTAATTAGTGCTTCTCTTTTTTGCAACAAATGTGTTAAACCATTTATGGAGTTCTTAGATAAATTATTAAAAAAGAGTCTACCAAGTAACCAGTTTAATAAACACGAATCCGGGTTTCTTCAAATTTTTCTGCTCACCTTAATTTTTATTTGATCACTTTTGTTATACAAATCTCATCTTTATGATATATAGTCGGGCCTCGATGAATTTTTGTGCAAATAATAATAGCATAAAAATGCGAATAATTGATGAGTATTTTTTAGGCTAACTGAAATGACATAGTAACCTGATATGTCTGTCTGCAACACAAAATACGAAAATATGCCAATTTTTAACTGACAGTTTCAACTAGTTGAGGAACTAGTTTGCACATAAACAGACAGATGAACAGACACGGCTATATTGACTCGGTTATGATATATATACATATACCCTTTATGGCAAAACTACAATACCCTCTATAAGGGTATATACAAAAATTCAAAGTTATATTTTGTAGAAGTTCTTTGGTTAATGTTTTATATTGGCAGGTTTGTTCTACGCTCTTATGGCATATCTGGACTACAGCATTATATACGACACCATATCAAATTGGCCAAACGCTTCGAGGAGCTGGTGCTCAAAGATAAACGTTTCGAGATCTGTAATCAAGTCAAGGTGAGTTACATTTAATTTCAATTTCGAACTGCGCCCATTACAGCCACTATTAATCATGTGACGGGTTCAAAGCACTTTTTTGGTTTGTATACACAACAACTTTTTATGTCCATTGTTGCTCTGCGGTGATTTTTACAATCCAAATGTGTGGGTGTACCTATGTGTGTGTGTGTGTGTATGTGTGCGTGTGTGTGTGTGGTCTATTGTTGTGCATGTTAAACATTCATCGGCGATTTTTATTTTTTCTCTCTTTTTTTTTTTGGGAAATTGTTTTGGTTGCGACTGACGCAAATAACATTGACTTTGACTTAACTGAAATCAAATTATGAAATATGTCTTGGCTGTTTTTGCCAGAGCTAATAAACTATTTCCCAATATTACTATTTCACGTAAACCAGAGGCAAACGTGCGGAATCGCACGTTAAATGCCAAATTCCGAGAGAGAAACTGCTGCAAAAATCTGGTAATTGAACTAATTTGGCATAATTGGCATACAAATTTGTTCAAATACGGAAAGAAAAAAAGTAACAAGAAATCAGTTTAATCTCTTTGACAGTATTTGACTAGAAAATATCCTGTAAAATGATTTCAAAATTTGAAATATGTTAAATACATTCGATTGCGATTCTTCCAATGTTAAAATATAAATTTAAATGTTATCAATTTTAAACATTCTTCCCACTTTTTTATACTCTGTCCGTCTGTACGTTTTTCTCAGCTTTATTAAGAGTACAGGGTATTTTAGATTTATACATGACGTGTCAGCTGACAGCTGCTTTGGGCCAGTTTCTTAGCCACTAAGTTCAATTGGCCTTTTTCTTCAAAAACCAAAAAATAAATAAAAAAGTCTCCACATCACGTAATAAACCGTCCAAATTACGTATACGCAATGCCTGAAACTGAACTGTTTTTGCTTTGTTTGGCATTTAACAATTGCGATTATACATATTTGTTGGATGTGGCATATATTGTTGTCTATCTGCAGCTGGGACTGGTTTGCTTTCGCCTCAAGGGCAGCGACAAGCTCAACGAGAAACTGCTGAGCACCATCAATGAGTCCGGAAAGCTGCACATGGTCCCGGCCAGCGTCAATGAGCGCTACATCATCCGGTTCTGTGCCGTGGCGCAGAATGCCACTGCCGAGGATATTGACTATGCCTGGGACATTATTGTGGACTTTGCCAACGAGCTGCTGGAGAAGGAGCAGCACGACGAGATCACCGAGATCATAAATCGCAAGAAACAGGACACGTTGGCGCAGAAGCGTTCGTTCTTCGTGCGCATGGTCAGTGATCCAAAGATCTATAATCCGGCTATCAACAAGGCCGGCACACCGAAGCTATCCATGGAGCTGCCCTCGCCGGTGGTGAGCCGCGGCAGTGCACCCATAATACGCACACAAAGCTCTGTGGATCACAACTCGTGGATATCGTGGCCCTTGGCTTTTCTCTTCACAAACAACGACGACAAAGGCAACAATTGCTCGCTGCGGTAAATTCTGAGTTCAATTTCTCAATGTTTTTTTTTAATAGGTAAAAGGGGTATATTGGTTTTGTGCAAGCTTATGTTAAATGTAGAAGGAAGCATCTCCGATCTCAAAACGTATTACACGTTTGCGGAATTTGGAATACACGCAGATCAAGTTTATTTTATTTTATTGATAACTGCACCCGATCGCAAATATCGATATATATCGTTTTCCGATAGCAATAGAAGCGACAATTTTAAAGGCCCTTCCAATTGATGTATAATATTTATTGCTATATTATTGACTAAATGCACAATTTTATCAAGATCGATTAAGGAACATCCAAGCCGTGTTTTCAAATCGAAAAAAGTTATCGATAATGAAAACAATAATTTTTGTTATGGTTTTGAGATGGCAAAACTAAATTCAATACTTTTAACTCACTATTACGGTGGTTATCGGCAATACTCCTCTTCTATTCCAAATCTAAATGCATACAGTAATTTGTGAAAGGGAAAAAATATTCAATTATTTTAATCAAGAAAAAAAAACGTAAAATCGCGGATTTAATTAATTTTTTTTTTTTTGCTCTCAGTAGACCTTATTGTTTTTAGGTTCCAGAATTTAAATATATTTTCTAAAATGTAAAAACAGGGCTAACTATTCAGTGCCTTTGCCGACAATATAAAATTTTTTAAAAATGGAAACAGTAATAAAACTAAGAAATATATTTAACAGTTGGATGCAGGGTATATCAGAGTCAAACTCACTCGACTACAGCATTCTAACTTGTTATTTTTTAATGATTTTTCGCAACAGTTTCCGACATCTGGACACCCATGTGCGGTCATCGTCTTCGCGTCGCAATTCCGGCACTGGTTCCTCCCCATCGCCAGACAGCGAGACGGGCCAAATGAATGTGCAACAACAACAACAACAACAGCAGCAACAATCGCCACGTAAATCGCCCATGGTTCTTCGAAAGGCATCTTCCTCTCGGGATAATCGCGATTGAACGTCTTACAGCTTAATGGCAAAACAAATAATACTATGCAAAACTATTTAATGCGCGCTGCACATGTAACTGTGGCGCATAGTTGACTTCTAGACAAATTTATCAATAGCGATCTCTCCTAAACAAATACTTAAATAAATACATAAATAAAAAAATTTACATTCAGATACAAAAATCGACCTGAAATTTACAAAATCGTCACACTTTCGGCGCCAAGGGCAGCTCACCTTATTATTCAGAAATTATTTGTGTAAAAACCAGGCTAATCCTGTTTAAATTCCCTATAATAAGGGAGATATATGTATAATTTCCAGCTTTATTTTTTTATTTTATATTTTGGATAGCCTATAAGCTTCTATAATTTAATTTAAAAAAAAAACTTAAAATTTTACTTCGATTCAAACTCAAAACTTTAATTTTAAGACTTTGTTTTTCTATATTTTGAAATTATATTTCAAAATAAGAACAACTTTTTATTTTTGGGCAATTTTTGGACAGTGTAGTAATTTGTAACTATTTAGTATATATATCCCAGTCAATCTAAAAGTTTTGTTGCTACTCAACAGATCTATTTATGAATTATATATATAATAAATAGCTTATTATTCACCGTTTAAAGTTGTTTATTTAAATTGATCTACTTCAATTGTTTTCTATACATGCTGCTCAACTTTTCTATAAGATATAAGCAGAAATAAAGTCAGATCGTAGGACGCTTAAATAGTTTAAGCTTCGCTTTTAGAACAAATTCCATTAGAATGAACCCAAATCAATTGAATGAATTTATAAGCAGCACTAAATTTATTCGATTGACTTATGTTAATGGGTAATAAAAGGATAATTTAAGTTGGTGAACTTTGTAGATCTACGACTACTACTACTTTGTGCAACACAAAAATATTCACAAGATATTTATAAATCAGCAAATTACAATTTTAGTTTTTAGCGCGAACAATGAGCAGTTTGATAATTATAGAACAGATGTCAAATACCCAGTAAAATATACACTTTACTAATCTAATGCGATATTTAGATTTTCCTGTACTTTCGCTGAGGCATCGCCGTATTTTGGACACCAGCAGCTGCTCACACACCCTCATAATCCCTGCACTGATTTACTTCTGTGTTGCTTGGCACCTCGTGCCATAAACACAACATAATTATTATGACTACGGAGCGTATACGTAATTCTGATGATGCCATGGATATGACGTCGGAATTAGCAGAAAATGAATCGTAAAACATCCCCTTCTGCCCTGATGAGTCAGGGATTTGTAATTGGCAGCTCAACACAATTTACTGTATACCAATTATGGAATTTGCATAATAAATGGGCATATAGCAATTAACAAACATGCACAGATTGAGATCTTTAAGTGTTGTCGCTCTGTTTGTTTTGTAATATATTCAGTGCTTTCTGCCTCTTGACAAATATATCCACCAGCTTATCCACATAGGCATCTTTGGCAAAGGGCGACGCTTCTTTGAGTTTTTTGTTGGCAACGTCCCAATTTAGATATTGTGGTGCTTCAATATCCGGCAGCACGTTGATTTTGGGCTGCGCTTGATCCTGGCCACTACATGCGAGGCGTATGAATATCGAATTTAACATTGGATTTAAGTAATTTGCCATACATACTCATCGCGCTGTTTGCCCCACTTTCCGATATTCCACTCAGGATCTGTGTTGGTTCTTTATCGATGTTGCCACTCAAGAGTTTCAGCATTGCCAACTTTGGCATGAGAGTAAATTGAGCACTCGCTGCTGCCGTTGCAACTGGCCCGGCGGTGGCAACATTATCCTGCGCCTGCTGCCCAGCCGGACTCGTTTTCTCCACCAGACGCTGCAGCAATTGAGCATTTTCAGCCTGCTTCAAGGCGCTCTGATCTGGCTTGAAGTGCTGTGTCATCTCCATCAGCTGATCCACAGTGGGATAGTCTACGCTTTTCATCTCTCGTTTCTTTACCATCTTCTGGTTTTTTGTGTCTACTGTTCCCCAGATGTGCTCTTTGGATTTGTCGACCTGGTCAGCTGAGTTGGGGCTTAATGCTTCCAGCTGATCGTATCGATCTATGCGATCCATCAGTGCATCCAGATTGGGTTTGATTTTCGATGTATCCACATAGTCGCTGGGCAAATAGCCCAGCTGGCGCAGATACACAATTGGTGACTCCCAATTCTTGATCAAATCACGCACAATATCATTGTAATTGTGTAAGCCAAGTTTATCCATCGAACTTTTATTTACACTAGCCTCAACATACGGTTTCAGCAATGTCCACAGCAAGAGACACCAAAAGTGTGGACTCATTGTGATTTAGTAGAATTTATGCATAAATCAGTCAGGATATTTACATATGTTAATAAGTGTGTTCAAATATTTGCAGAGCTAATGCTGAGTTTTGGGTCAAGGCTACAAAGAGACTTGTTCCAATATAATACAAAGCTAATCCAAAGTTCAGCTATCGATTACGTAGCTCTCTATAAAAGTATTTATTGATTACTATTCAATTGTGGATTTTTGGATTATCGATAATTGGCTATCGATAATTGTCTTTTCTTATACATACCAAGTCAGTACTATTATTGAACTTGATAGTGAAATATTTGCTTTGCTCAAAATAAATTCAACAACAACACAAGAAAGTCAAAAGAGCAAAGAATAGCCCAATAAATTCTAATCTTAACAATAAATCGCTAGCCTCACTTAACTTAAGCGATTCCCTGGAACTCTTTAGTTAATAAATTCACTCACGATTTTCCAAAATTCACGAAATACTTTAACGAAATCAACTTCAAAGCTGGCCCAAAGATTTCAATTAACAAGCAAATTAATTTAAAAGCTACTGGTGCCGATCGAAATTTGCATTAATCACAATGCGGACAGACGGTAAAAAGACCAAATCAGAATGCTCTAGTAAAGAAATCCCGACTAGGAAATACACTTAAATATTCAAACCAACATGGCAAGAAATGCCTAAGTATAAATATATATTATTCTTCCGAGTTTTTTAACCCAACTTGATGATATTTTGTACAGTTAATCAATATTTAGAAAGAGCTATAACAGTAACTTCTGTTTTAGTTTTGTGTCCATAAATGACTTTAAAAAAGTTTGAGCAGAGGATGTTAAAGAATAATATATTATGGTAAAGTGATTATAGTGAAATATTCGAAAATATTATGGATCTTCCAACAGGAGAGGACCATTCCATAATTTCATAGAACTTAACCAAATTAAGAAATTTTGGGTTGACGTTTATTTATTTATTTATTTAACTGAAAACAGTTTAGTTTTGTAAAAAGGTTTTAATGTAGAATGCAATAAACTTCAAATGAAGAAATTAAATTATTAATTTTAAATAAAATAAAAAATAAGTAAATAAAAAAAAGGATATAATCTCAAAACAATATTTGATGTAGGATATGCAGATATTGTTGCTGGCAAAGGCTAAAACAGTGTCTTAACCATTGATAAGAATATATTCAGAATCTGTGCTAATTCCTCTTATGAAGACAGACTTATAATTTTGTTTTCATTATTATGAAATACACAATATCTTACATGATGTTCTCCAGGCCCTTATAGTCTCTGAGGTCGATGTGCTCATGGAGACAGACACACGGATAGCTACTGAACAAGAATTCAAGTTGAGACTATAAAAGCCGTCACACTTTGTGGAATTTGAGGTGAGTTGTCATGTCGATGAAATAATGAAATGCCAAACTTATGATTTGGCAAATTCAAATCAAAAACTTAAGTGGAAGAATAAGAAGTAGTAATTTGATGTCAGACGATTTGACAATAGCGAAACAAAATGCATAGAAGAAGGCAAAAAACCAAAACAAAAAAAATACAATTTTGAAAAGATGACCCACGTTTTGGAAATGTTTCGGTGTTTGTCCGTGCCAACTACATAATACCTTATTATTAATGACCAAGACGCGGCGAAACTTGCTAAAACTGCTGCCCCAGCTCACGTATGTGTGTGTGTGTGGAAGGCGGATGGGTGATTTGGTCGGGCCTCGGGCAATTTGAAGTGTGACCGCGTAAACTGAATACTCGATTTATATTTAGACAAACGACGTCATCCAAACGCTCGCCCGCCTTTTGCGCTTGTGAATGAAAGTTTTGCGCTGTGCGAGCCGACAAAGATCACATTGTCAGTCTAGGCCAGGCCGGGCCGGGCCAGGCCGAACAATTTTTGCAAAGTCATGCTCTATCAATGCCTCGCAGAGACCGCACTTTGCCCGCAGTAGACCACGACGCGTGCGCGAATGAATCAGCGCGCCGCACGCACGCAGCAAATGTTCGTTGGGATTTGGAGGCGGGAGGAGAACTGTGGAGTCAAACTTGGTTAGAGTAGCTTGTATAGATTAGCAAATTAACACATTCGGGCACAAAGATCTCGCATTCATCATTTATTCATAAGCATTCATTAACTAATATATGTACAAGCCAGACTAAATTCCATTTTGCCATAGTTAATATAGATTTCATTTGGTCTTTTTCCGCTGAGTTCGACGGTGTGGCAACTACGTCACTGCTGGTTGCGGCAGCTGCCACTTGTCGATTCCGTGGCAACAGTCAACTATGTAAAACAGCTGACTTGTTAACTGCAAACAGTTTGAGCCAATATACGTATTTGCACAACTATTTGACACATTTGTCCCATGTGCTACGAGTTATTCCCCGTTGCCAAAAAAAAAATCACTGAATAAATAATATTAAATACGCATCAGAAGAGATTAGTGAGAATTGGTTAGACAATTTCTGCATGTTGTATAATGCCTATTGAAGACTCGTTCCCTAAGTAAGTTGGAAATTTGCGCCATTTATAAAAGTTCCCCCAAAGCGACCAAAAAAAAAAGGGCGACGGGCGAAAAAAGAGGTAACGATTGCGCTGCAAGGTATTAAAGATTCCACTCCAAGTAATTAAAAGAGGTAAAAGTGGAGGAGATGGAGCTGAGGGGTGTGCCAACTATCGTGTTGAATCAATTATAAGCAACAATAACAATAACTAGCATGTATAATGATGTTAATTTCAATATTACGCGTATCAAGCAATCATAATAATAAACCGATGGCGAATTAATAATTGATTGCGATTTGAAAATCGTTTGTTAACGAATAAGTATTAAAATATACGAAGGAAAACAAACTATTATTTATTTCTTCACATTCATCGTTTACACTTAAATTATTATTTTAGCATGTGACGAGTTTTATTGTTTTTTTTTTTTAATTTATATATATTTTAATATTTTTTTTTTGTATTTTAGTACTTTAATTCATTTGTATATAATGCTAATTATGATTTATAATTTGTATAAATTCGGCCTGGATTACTCAAAAACAATTTTCCTTACCTGGTTTTTTTCTTTCTCGGGTTTCCCAAAACAATTTTTGTAATCAAATCGAAATATCCAAAAAGTGATTTCCCCAACTACCTTTCTAAACAATTTCAATTTACCCAAATTGAAAGCAATTTAAACACATGAATTAATTAATTCATCATAACTGTCATGTGCTATTAATAACGACATAAATCAGTTTCAAAATTGTAGCATTTGAACCCGATAATTATGGCAAGCACACAATACAAAAAACGTTTCCCGGCAGGTAATATTTTTTTTGTTTTGTTTTTGCTACACTAACCCAAACAGCCCACACAAAAAGCACGAAGAGAACTGAGGGCTTGTGCGACTCAACAAAAATTTTACAGCGAGCGGAGCGGGTTTCCCAGCGATCCCCCAATGACAGAGACAGAAGCCGACACGCCGAAGGCGGCAAACTACAATGCAAGTAACTTGAGCTCCGACAAAGGAAATAAGACAACAATCATGAGACACTACTAACGTCAATACAAAACAACAGTAACAGCAACAACAACAACAGCAATACGCACAGGTGCTTTTACCAGCCGCAAGAGAGAGAGACAGAGAGAGAGAGAGAGATAGAGAGAGGGCAAAGATCGGTCAGGAGAGCAATCGTTGGCGAATGGAGTGTTTCGGTATAAAAACGAATGCAGTAACAAAGTTCGAGACATTCGCGCAAAAGAAGCTGCAACGAGCACAACGTGATAAGACGGATAAAGGTGATAGAAAGAGAAGAAGAGAAGAACAGTGTTGCCTAGCGCATTGGGCATTTTATTACGTTATTAAGTGTCAAAGTATTAAACGAGGTGTTGCCAATTACCAACAAAGTGTTATATTGAATTCTACACATAAATAAGCACCACAAAATAAGAAAGCACAATGAATGTGGAAGAGTTTCGCAAATACGGTAAAGAAGTGATCGATTATATGTGCAATTATAGCACCAATATTGAGGAACGCGATGTGGCGCCAACATTAGATCCCGGATATTTGAAAAAACTATTACCAGGTAATCCATCAATCAGACACAAATTTCTTTATAAACAATAAGTGTTGCTTATACATTTTACAATGTAACTGTAAAATATTTTACTCAATGAAATCTAAAAATGCCACTGAAAAATTCATTCAAAAAATATTTTAAATATTTTGGCAACCCATTTTGCGTACATGCATATTTTGTATATACAAATATTTTTGGCCAGTCTGACTGGCAGCACTCTTGAGATATTACTTGAAATTAGCGCAAGTGATGTATTGTAAACACCAATTAGTTAAATTCTTCTAAACAATTTAGCAAATCGAAATAGAACAACAAATATTTCACTTCGCACACTAAATATTCAGGCAGAAAATAAAATTGAAAATCCGTACAAAATTTGAACAGCAAATAACAAAAAACTCAACTCAACAGGCTCTTCAGAAACTTGTGGATTCGTGTTGACTAATTGTATGCAAACAATGCGAATTGACTTGTACCTCTCCATAAGCCCACATAGTAACCGTGAATTCGAAAAAAAAAACTAAATAAATAAAAAGTGTAGTGTATTCGTATTTTTTTTTTTTTATTTCTTTGGCGTGGGCACAATTTGGGGCATCAAGTTTTTGAGCTAAAAGATTTTTGGTTTTCAAGCGAATTGTACGCAGTTTGTTAAGTTAAATATTTACGATTGATGAACACCACAATCTCTATAGTTCAACTAAACAAATCAATTAATTATGCGAACAAACACACACACACACACTAAACACACACGCACACCTCAGCTAGAAGTACACAAAGTATGGATTGTGTGCGCTGATCTTCTCCGCATACAGCCAAAAATAACAAATAGTATATAAATATTGATGTGTGCTGATTTAGCATCTATTTTATAGGTGCTAAAATACATAGACATTCAATGTGTACACTGTACAGACATCTCTCAAGTTTCTGCACTTTTCAAAATGACAATTATAAATATTTATTCCCAAGAACATTATTTGAATCTTCAAAGTCCTTCAGAATTGTATACCAAAAAATCGTTAAACTTTAAATGATTTATTTTTGGATTGCTTTAAAAAATATATATTATAGTTTCGTTAGTATTCACAATCAATATTTAACAACCAAAACAGCAAATATTTTGTACGCAAATGAAAATTATTAATTATCATAAAAATACAAAAAATAAATTAAATATAAACAAATCTATAAAAAAAAACAGGATTCATTTTACAAAATATAAATAACATATATTTTTAATAGCAATTAAGAATCATAAACATGAAAAAAAATGATTATCGAAATAATATAATTATTTGAATTAACATTTGCTTGAACTTAAATAATACCAATAAATACCAATGTTTAGCAGCATTTATTATTATTATAAGCAAATAAGAATCACATAATGGGGGGATTACTGTACTTCACTGTATTGTGTACACGATGTAAGGCACACGGATCTCAATTAAATATTTCTATATTTATTTTACAGCTGACGCGCCCCAATCGCCGGAATCGTTTAAAGATGTGCTCGAGGATTTTGAGCAAAAGATTATGCCGGGCGTTGTGCACTGGAATCATCCGAAATTCTTTGCGTACTTTCCATCGGGCAACTCATTTCCATCCGTCCTGGGCGATATGCTGAGCAGTGCCATTGGCTCCATTGGCTTCAGCTGGGCCAGTTGCCCGGCTGCCGCCGAGCTCGAGACGATTGTGATGAACTGGTATGCAAAGGCACTGGGTCTGCCCAAGGCGTTCGTATCCGATGCACCCGGCAGCACTGGCGGCGGTGCCCTGCAGGGCTCCGCCTCCGAGTGTGTCCTGGTCTCCCTGATAACGGCCCGTGCCCGTGCCATCAGCGAGCTGAAGGGTCAGACCACTGTCCACGACAGCGTCTTTCTGCCCAATCTGATTGCGTATGCGAGTCGCGAGGCGCACTCCAGCGTGGAGAAGGCAACCAAAATGGCGCTGGTGAAGCTGCGCATCATCGATGCCGATGAACGTGGTCGGATGCGTGTGGATCTGCTGGAGCAGGCCATACAAAACGATACGAATGCGGGACTGACACCATTCTTTGTGGTGGCCACGGTGGGCACCACCGGTGGCTGTGCCTTCGATGATATATCCGAGATTGGCAAAGTGTGTCGCCAGGTGTCCAGCATATGGCTGCACGTGGATGGCGCCTACGCCGGCAACTCATTCATTCTGCCCGAGATGCGGGTGTTCTCCGCGGGCCTGGAGTACGCCGACTCCTTCAATACAAATCCCAACAAACTGCTGCTGACGAACTTTGATGCCTCGGCTCTGTGGGTGCGCGACGTGATGACCCTGAAGAGTGCGCTCAATGTGAATCCTTTGTATCTGAGGCACGAGCACATGAATGGCGTCGACTACAGACACTATGGCATTCCGCTGAGTCGTCGCTTTCGTGCTCTGAAATTGTGGTTTGTCTTTCGCACATACGGCGTGAAGGGACTGCAGGAGTACATACGCAATCACATGGTCTTGGCCAAGAAATTTGAGATGCTTGTGCGCAAGGACGAACGCTTCGAGGTCCGCAACGACGTCCACTTGGGCCTCGTCTGCTTCCGCATGCGGTAAGTTCAACCACTAGCTTCACTAGATCAATACTAAATTTAATTTTTTTAAATAAGAATCTAAAGTTACGTCGAAAAGACAATTATCTGATACTTGAGCGTTTGGAAAAAAGATTTTATTTATTTAAAAATATCAAAGAAGCAGGCAGGAGTACTTCTATTCGAACGAAGAATTTTGCACAGATACCCTTTTTTAGATTTGCCGTTAAAAATAGTCTTAACTAATTCAATCAAATATTTAAAATTAATTAAGAACTTCAAAATTGGATTCCTTGTTTTGCCTTCTTAGAAAATGTGTTAAATTAAAAGTAACAAGTCACAAAGCTAATGAGCAGTCAAGCTACCCTACTCTCCATATTTGAAAACTAATTGGTAGCACACGTATAGAAAGTCTTGCGGCACACACACTATTAGCTCTGTTAGATCTGCTAGAAATATTGCTACTATTTTCGCACACATTTATGTAAGCCTTTAGCCCCTAATAAAAAAGTGTTGCTGCTCACTCGCACCACTACGCAGACAATACATGTATGTACGTATTGGTGCTCGCACACATGAGCATACACATAAAAGTAACGGGTTCACTTTCTAACAGAGAACATTCGCTGCGCGACTCACTACTAATCCTGAAAAATGTTCGGCTGCTTGCGATCGGGTTCTCGCTCTCAGCACACGAAGCGCAGCGGCTGAAAGAGACAATTTCACCTCAGCTCTCAGTTCAGTTTTTAGTCCATTGCTCGCTTCTATGTATTCTTCTAATGTAAGTTAACATTTGGCGCACGCAGAAAAATAATTTTTGTTTGTTTTGTTTGCTTTACTTTTTAGAACGGGCGATGAACCGAATCATCTGTTGTTGGCACAAATCAATCACTCGGGCAAAATGCACATGACGCCGGCCAAGTTCAATGGTCGCTATGTGATACGTTTCTGTGTGACGTATGAGCATGCCACGGAGAAGGATATTTTGGATGCGTGGAGTCAGATCAAGGGATTCGCCGAGGAAATCTTAAGGGATGCACAATTGGAAATCAGCTCGGCACCGACGACACCGGAAACGGAACGCACCAGCTCCGAGCCTGTCGTTTCCGGCAAGCCACCGATCAAGAAGAAGCTGACGCGAACCAAATCGTTGCGTTTCTCCTTCACCCGCAGCATTTCACGGGAACAGTTCCAGAGTCAGAGCGAGCATCTTATGGATGGCTGTACGCCCATTTTGGTTGTGGATCCCAAAACAATACAGCTGAATTTTCAGCAGGCAACAGAAAGCAATCAAAGCAACAATAACAACCACAATAATAGTAATACAACAAAACTGAAGGATATTTCCGATGTGGACACGGATGAGGCGAGCAACTGATCAGATCGTGCATAAGGGAATAATGCAAATCTGTAGATAGTATTAGCTGTGTTTATATTTCGTTTTGTATTGCTTGGTATTACAAACGAGCTGAAATGAGGCCTGTGTATCCACAAAATCACTCGATTTGAAATTGCTCAATTGAATTTAAGTACATATTTATATAGTTTGTAAGTTGCACTGCTGAATTTCATATCATTTATTGCTGGGTTCCTATTGCAACCAGTTTAAAGTTAAGTTAAAATCTCTCATGTACCACAAAAACCCCACTTATTTATAAACATAAACATTTACTTAGCATTTGATATGCGCATTTTTTAAAAATACATATCTACCTGAAAGTATTTTTTTGTATTTTTTGGTTTTACTTTAATATTTCTCTTAAATACTTAAGAGTAACAGAGACAGCAATAAGATGCTTGAGATGTGATGACATTTAAATAACAAACAATAACAACTCAAATTAAACAGTTTAAAGTGCACTTGAAGTCTGCTGAATTCAGCAAGCAAAGACGGATATCATCCAAGTTTCATAAAGATAGATCGTGACGACTTATTATATACCCTATGAGATCGAATACTTCTCTTTCCTAATATCCTCTGCAATGGAACTATAATAATAATAACTACAGTTATGGACTTACCTTCTATTTTGCATACGCAAATACCAGTTCCACTTATTATATAGGTCTGCGAATATTTTACAGTTTGCAAAATACACAATTACACAATTAAATGTAAATTGAGCACTTTGAGGAATATCAACACAATTTCAATAAGGTAAACATTAGCCACATGTTGAAAACGATTGCCGGCCTTTGCATTATATCGATTGTTTGGGCAGGACTGTAATTTGCTGGCCATTTGAAATATATCGATAGTTTAGGCACGACAATGGTTCAGTTAATCGATACATCGCTGGAAAACGTAAACAAACTGCAACCGGCGCCTTTTATTGTTAAACGTTTGCATTTCGTATATTATTTATTAAATATGCCGAATTGGAATCAAATTCAATCGCAATTGCGCAGCTCAAACAATCCCGTTGTCTTCTTCGACATAGCCGTGGGCACAACCGTAAGTTGACACAAATAAACACAAATATCTCTGTTCTAAAAGTCTCTTTTCTTTGGCCAGGAAATTGGACGCATGATTTTTGAGTTATTTGCTGACACTGTGCCACGAACGGCGGAAAACTTTCGACAATTCTGCACGGGAGAATATAGACCGGATGGCGTGCCAATTGGCTACAAGGGTGCCAGTTTTCATCGAGTCATCAAGGATTTCATGATACAAGGCGGCGACTTTGTGCAGGGCGATGGCACCGGCGTCACCAGCATTTATGGCAACACATTCTCCGACGAGAACTTTACGCTCAAGCACGACTCACCCGGCCTGCTGGCCATGGCCAACAGTGGGCGGGACACGAACGGCTGCCAGTTCTTCATCACGTGTGCGAGGTGTAACTTTCTAGATGGGAAACATGTTGTCTTTGGTCGCGTTCTGGATGGACTTCTAATCATGCGCAAAATTGAGAACGTGCCAACGGGACCGAATAATAAACCCAAACTGCCCGTTACAATATCACAATGTGGCCAAATGTAGCATAATTTTGTTGTATAATAAATTTACAATGCGATTGCAACGATCAATTATCGCTATAGCTTAGATGTCCTTATTGTAGTAGGGATACGCCTCGGCCATTGCCTGCTCCTTGCGCAGCGTCTGACAATCCTCAACCATGAAGCTGCAGAAATGGAGAATTGATATTTAAATTACTGATTAGTGACTATTGATTGTTATAGTTGAATTGCTACCCACTCGTAGTAAAGGGAAACCAAAGGCACCGTTGCCAAATGCCACAGCGAGTGTGCGTCGAGCACCCAGAGGATGGGCGGAAAATCCAACAGTTCCAGTCCCATGGCCAGTGCGAATAGAACATAAAAGCGTAGAATCCGCCTATAATACGGACGACGATATCGCACCTGATGGCACCAGACAAACCAGCCGACGGCTGATAGGACGCCCGTGCCAATGTTCACTTTCATATTGAAGGAGTAATTGAATTTGCCCACGCTCAAGTAAGCAAAATAGTTGATATAATAGGAGACAAAGGCCAGTGTGATGACCCCACGCAGAAATAGAGAGTATCGATGCAGCATCCTCATCACCATGCAGTACAGCGTGCACAGCACAATGGAGTAGGCAAAGGCGTAGTCCATCAGCTCCGTCAATGGGAAATCTCTCGTATGGAATATCGCTGACCAAATCCAACCATTCATGCACACCTAAAAAATATCGGAACAGTTTAAGAGAACGTTTCTCTGAGTCGTCTTGAGCACTTACCAAGCTAAAAATGTGCGCCAACTTGTAGCAGGGACTATCTGGACGGACTGTCCAACGAAATTTGCGCAACATACGCAAGTGCATGACAAAATTTAAAATGGAGAATATTACGGAGGCTGGCTCCTGCATGCCGAACAGACGCAGAAATGGCCATTTGCCATAGAATTGTGGAATTGGCCAGCCGCGTTCGAGAAATGCAAAAACTGTGCGCCACATGCAGCCATAGGAGCACTCATCGGCACAGCTCCAACCAAAGATGCGATCGAATATCGTTTGGCCATAGAAACTTATCGCCTGCTCCTGTATCTCCAAGCCATCTGCAATTGTTCACACTTGGATTAATTGTATAATATTTAATCTTGTTTAATTTTACTACTTGCCAGCTGAGCAATTTGTGCGTTCGCAATTTTGGCGACAATTGTGAAAAAATTGTGTGCGATCGCCATTTGATGCTGTTGCCAGCAGCGATTTGCTTAGCAGCAGCAGCACACATATTGCACTAATTTCTGCATTAAGTCTAGTCATTGTTAATGATTTTTAAAATTTTTCAGTCGAACATTTTGTAAACAAATCACGCCGCTATTGATTTATCTCTGATTAGGGCTGCCATGTTAGAAATGCAAATGCATATTGTTCGTGCTACCCGATTTCACTGAACAGCAACGACAACTGTTGAATTTATTCATTAATACACATATTTTCCATCGAATGCTTTTCAAGAATTTCAATTTGCGTGTTTTCCAATTAATTTCAATTGTTTTGTTTACAAAACGCAGCACAACGCGTTTGACAGTCTGGCAACGCTTATCAGCTGTCGCACTTTCACCTGCCCACAAAAAGTGTTTATACTCGCGTATTTATTACAAAATTACGCTTGGGCTGCATATGTGTGTGAAAGATACAGAAAATATTACTATTCATACGTTAAAATCATGAATTGAGCTCTAATGCGATATATACTTTTCGCATAAGCGTTAGTATTTTTCTTCTTCCTGCTCTTCATTGCAATTGTGTTTGTGTGTTTGCTTTTGCATTTGCTTGTGTGTGTGCGTGTATGTGAGTGAGGAAAAAGACGCAACTTGATGAGAAACACATAAATTATTGCTAAACAACTACAAAAACAAACGAAAAACACCCAAAGCTGCAAAAGCAACAAACCAACATGCGAGAAATGAAATCGAACTAAGAGCAACAACAATTGCATTCACACGCTTAAACGGGTGTTTGTGTGTCTGTTTGCATGTGTGTGTGTGTGTGTTTATTTCTTAAATTTAGAATATGACGTTAGAGTGTGCTGTATAAATTCGAAGCGGAACGAAAAGGAGTGTGACCAGGTCAGCCTCCAAATCTGCATGTCCGAATTTCTGTCGTCGCATGCCAGCGGCACTGCGAACTCTGGCAATGAGTTCGACAATGATCAAAGACTAACCCAGCAGCAGCAACAGAGATTATTGACGACGCGTAAACCACAAAATCTAAAGGTGAGGCTGGAAAACTCCACGAGCTGTGCATAATTCTTAATTCTTGCTAGTTGCTTGCAGCGAGAGCCTTTAGTTTTCTTCATAATGCGTCTAAATCTGAAGGCGTTGCTGCTGTTTCTCACAGTGGCAGTAATGGTCATCACACTGGGTATTTATATGCGCTGTGCGGCATTCAGTTTTTCGCCGGACTTTATGCGGCAGCTGGGCAGACATCGACACGATGTCGACACAATCTCGGCCAGCTCATCCTCATCCGCTGGGCAGCAGCTGGGTGCGCCACTGCAGGACATTGAGTGCGCCATCAATCAGGAGTACAGCATTCACTGCAAGCGCGACGAGAACGCCAACGAGGTCTATGTCCCATTCTCGTTCCTGCGTCAGTATTTCGATGTGAGTGGTGCGGTGACGACGACAAACACTGGGAGCGATCCTCCGGCCAAATTCAATTGGATGCACAGCAACGCGAAGGTAAATCTGCCCAAGGGCAAATATGATCCGCGCGGCGTCTTCATGTATTTTGAGAACTACAATGTAGAGGTGCGGGATCGGGTGAAGTGCATCAGCGCCGCCGAGGGTGTGCCAGTGAGCACCCAGTGGGAGAAACGTGGCTACTTCTATCCCACCCAAATAGCACAATTCGCATTGGCACACTACAGCAAGAATCTGACGGAGCCGACGCCACGGATTCACATCCTCGAGGATGCGGATGGCAATCAGTGCGAGTGGACAACGCCCAAGACCAGCAATATGACTCGCATCTGGCACCACAAGTTCAACACGAGCATTGTCCAGTTCGAGACGACCATTGGCTACGAGAGCGCCATCAGCATCCAGCTGAATCAGACACAGGATCTGGTGCTCAGCGTCGATCTGCTGCTGGTCACCAACAGCAGCAGCCTCATGGTTACCGTCCTCAATCGGGACACAAGGCACAGCTACAATCTGCACTACATTGCCGCCGAGCTGCTGCTCAGCGTCCAGGAGTCGAACATCTACTATGGCCTGGGCAGCGGCTCGCTGAACCGTTGGCGTCACATCACCCGGGATCTGCACATCGATGTGCAGAAGGGCATCGTCATGGGCGACAAGCGGTCGCCGTTGAAGGTGCGTCGCAGCGATCTGGAGGTGCTATCGATTGCCTTCCTCGGCATTGGCTTCTACGACAATGTCACGCTCTCGACGAGCGATCATCTGTCGCATTTCTACGATGCCGCCGAATGGTTTGTGCACAATCAGGATCTCAAAACGGGTGGCTGGACGAATCCCGTGCGTCGCAATCTCAACGGATTTGCCGAGCTGCGTCCCGGCTGGATATCGGCCATGGGTCAGGGCCACGCCATTTCGGTGCTGGCGCGTGCCTACTGGCATTCTGGCGGAGATGTGCGCTACCTCAAGGCAGCAGCGCTGGGCCTGCAGCCGTATCGCATCAAGTCCCGGGACGGTGGTGTTCTGGCCCAATTCATGGACAAATATTATTGGTAAGAATAGTTGGAATTTCAATGCACCTGCTCGGGAATCAACTCGTTTATTTGTTGTCGTTGTACAGGTACGAAGAGTATCCCACGACGCCGGCATCGTATGTGCTCAATGGTTTCATCTACTCACTGCTCGGTCTCTACGATCTGAATAGCACGGCACCGGGTAAGATTGCCCGGGAGGCGGGCAAACTCTTTGCCCAGGGCATGCACTCGCTGAAGAAGATGCTGCTGCTCTACGATACTGGTTCCGGCACCAGCTATGATCTGCGACATCTCAGTCTGGGCATTGCACCGAATCTGGCACGCTGGGATTATCATGCGACGCATGTGAATCAGCTGCTCCTGCTGGCCACCATTGACAGCGATCCGCTGATCGCTCAGACAGCCGAACGCTGGAAGGGTTACATGTTTGGCAAGCGGGCCAAACACAACTGAGAACGAAGGAAGCTGGCGGCGGTGGCTGCGGCAGCATCGTGGCAGCCACATCGTCGCCGCCGCCTGCTGAACGACGATGAGGAGGAGAAGCAGAAGCAGGAGGAGTAGGAGACCCAACCAAACAAGTGATATTTTTTGTAAAAACCATTCGAAATGGTTGCGTCTATGCCGCGTCTCTTTCCACTTTAGATTTAGTACCAACTGGCAGCGAATTTGATTTTATTTTTGATGGGAATGCTTTTCCATATTCGTCCCGCATATGTGCTTAACTTGTTTCAGTTACTATTAACTGTTAGCTGTTAGCTGTTAGCTATAAGGCTATATAATTGTACCTATCTTCTTCGTGTATACCTTATTATTGCATAATCATTATTAGCGTTAGTTATTACGATCGATCGATTAACATCTGACTAACTATGTTTGTTGACTATAGCCAAATTGTTTCCTACGTAGTTGCACGCGTATATTTCACTGGACAATATCGGACACATAACATTTATCATAATATAAAACTTAACTTAACGAAAAGTGATCTTTGGCACGTCGTAGCTTAAATACCCCATAAGGATTAGCATTAGCTGACTACGGATGTATCGAGAACTTGTCACACTTTTGTATCGTAGTCAGCGATTTGTTTTTTTTACTGCTCTTACTAAGTAGAGATCGTTACACTCACGCCACTTGTATAAAGTAAAATGTAGAGCTTAGCCTATTATATATACATATATATATATATATATATATATATATATATATATAGATAGTAACTGTTAGATGCATAGATATATATATATATATTTGGGAACACTCTTCTAAAAAACAAAACAAACAAAAAACGGTTACTTAGTGTTCCAACTCAAAAACCTAACTGCCCCATTCAAAACTGAATAACTAATGTCAAACATATTGCGATATTTCTTGGAGTATTATTCAATCGATATTATTTACATGCCCAACAATTAATTCATGAATTTGCAGATTTAACAATTATCCCCTTTTTATTTTGGCGTATCGCAATATGGAAAAGAAAATGAAGAATTTCGATGTGTGTATTATTAGTGTAAGCATTTGAGAATTTCTCGACTTAAACGATGCCATTCCATTGAATTATTTCAATTTAACATTAATCTTTAGTTGTACAACTGTCAATTAATCAATTAATATTATTATTAACTTTTGTGTATTCGAAATCCCAAAACAAAACAAATCGAGACTGTTAAGAAAGAAGAGAAGAAGAAAAACTAAAGCTATTAATTTTAAATTACGTTTTACGTTTAATTCTTGTACTTATTACACCATTTCTCTTGTGTTATCAATTTTATTTACAAAAAAATATATATAAAACGCCTTGGTCAACATAATTTGAACTAAATACATACAAGTCTCGACTTAAACAACTACTCAACACCTTGTGGTGGGCTGGGCGATGGGGATTCTGGATGGCTCAACGTCGCTTCGATTTGAGGACATGCGATCGAATGGAGGGTGGACCACTGCGTCGCTCCACTTCGAGAATGAAGGCGTTCTCCATTTGATCGCATATCAGGTCGAAGAATAGATTGGCAATGTTGCTGTGCAGCAGCGATTTGAACTCGAAGGCCACTCGAAAGTCCAGGACACATGAGTTGGGTATGTCCTTGAGGCCCGGACTGAAGCGCCATTCGTTGAGGAGGTAGTTGAACAGGCGGCCATCATGGCATTCCGATCTCACCAGGCCCGGCGGCTCCAGTGTCACCCGCGACGTGTACGCCTCGTTCAGCGGCGGAAAGCCAACAATCAAATCCGCCTTGAATCCATTTCCGCCGCCGCTGGTGTCTACGCTGTGCACATGCGATTTCTTCACATAAGGCACAAACTTGTAGTAGTTGCTGACATCGCTGACCACCCTGTACATGTCCTGCATGGAGTAACTGCAATGACATCTGGTAAATAAATCATCACAGCTTATGCATTCCCCACTTGGACTCACCCAACGAGCTCCTTTTTGGTGTACGAACGATTTTTGTTGCGGAAGTCATTGAACGTTATGAAGGAGCGTTGGATGCCATTCATATAGTGTCGCTTACCGATCTGCTGCTGCTGCTGCTGCCAACTGCAACGGAAAACACTGCTTGTAAATCGCAGCAACAGTTTTTCAAACCTTAATTTATACACATTTATTTATATAGATATATCCAGATAGATTTCAACGATTTAGGCAAGGGTTGCCAGGCACTTCGATTATATAATTGGCATTTACCTGCTGACCTTGATTCAATGTAGCGCCGCATAATTCTTACATCCAATGCTTTCAGTGTGCTGCCCTTCAACATTTTCAGCAAAATCCAGTTCTGCACCGGGAAACAAATTCAATCCAAGTTAGACAAAAAAAGATACAAATCTGCACCCCCCAAACACAAATCGCGCAATGCAAAACAGCTGGGTGAATGGCGTTGCCACATTTTAAAAATACGCTTCTGTTAGTTTCTTAGCTCTTTTAATGTTTGTTCTACATAATGGCGCAGAAGGAGCGCTGTTCCTCTTGTGGCGCCGCCTCCCCAGACAGCTCCTTTTGCTTTAGCTCCAAGTAGGTGTTCTCGTTGCGCTTCTCCAGCCAGTCGGGCAGCGGCTTGGCCCAGTCCTCGGGCGGCGACTTTCGCTTCGCCCACGTATCGTTGGCGAAATGAGCCTGCAGTCTTGTCATCCTTCGCAGTTCTTCGCTCTTGATGATGGCGGCGCCAGCTTCCATGTCATTGCCATTCGACTGCTGATAGCGTTCGCAGTTCTTAAAATCTGTCAGCCATTGCGAGCAGTCGGCATCTTTGCCGAATATGAAATATTGATGGAAGCGCGCCTTGAAACTGTTGCAGTCATCATACTCATCTTTATACAGATGACACGGACGTATCTGTGTGCATTAAACTTTGAGTTGTGTGTGTCATTTAATGGAGTAATACTTACAGCCCATGTATCATTCAATTTGGCATTGTTATTGCTCTCTTTTGTCTCAGCATTTTCATTTATTGCAGACATTATATAAAAAAGCGTGTGAATTTATTGCATCAGCTGAGTTTTGTTTACTACGCTGGCGAGGTTGCCAGACCGCTCAAGTGAGTAAAATGCAATTCGTATTTAGCTCAAATATATACATTTATTATCTTTAATATGTTTATGTTTTTACTGCAAATAATTGCACAATTAAAGAATCCATTTACTTGAAAACACTTATGTAAATTGAAATGGTAGGCAATATCGCATTATAAGATATTGTTTTACAAATATACACGACTATGATAAACGATTGAAAATGAAATATTTTTACAATTCAAATCGTTGTTGTATGCAGAAATATATAATATATATATGTATATAGAAATATACGTGTGTGTTTTATGCGTTATGTATGCTTAAAGGGGGTCAACACTCATTTAAAGCCTTTCAAAGTGAATTTCAGCACAACAGAACTTAAAAAATTAAAATAACGTTTTTTTTCATCTGTTTTTTGTGATTACAATTTTACTTACGATTACAAATTACAAAACTAAACCCGATGGCATGTTTAAACTAAATGGTAGTCAAAAATATACAATATGCTGCTGCTGTATTACAAAATATGTTTTCGGGAAAAAAAACACTTGTAGATTGTTCTTACAATAAATTGTATCCGGAACCAGTTTCGATTCCGCTTTCATTTCTTTTTTTTTTTTTTGTTTTTGTACACATCTAAACTGGGTAAGAGAATTAAATTTTGGGTCGGGGACAGACTACGACAGATCAAAGCATATATATGTGTATATATATATCTGATTTGTGCTTACATTATTGTAAAATGTATATAGATGTATATATGTAAATGAAGTGTTTTTTTTTAGAACTAATTTTTAAGCTTTAGTTTGACTTTTAAGACTTAGTTGGTAAAAAACAGGCGCTTTCTGTTTTGGGATCTGGTTTTTTTTTCTGTTTGTTTTCTCATCTTTTGTTATTCTTCCATTTTGTATGAAGGAGCTGCTCAGGGTAACCACCATCGTGGGTCCATCAGTTCCTGGACACTCTCCAATTGCAGCAGTTGCAGCTGGGGATGATGCAAGCAACGGCTCGACAGTTAGTATTTGTTGTGCTGCGCCAGCAACTGCATGTCCGTCAGATACTTGATGATGTGCACCTTGGCCTCGGCCTTTTGCCGCACGCCCAGCGTGTTGAGCATATCGGTGACGACCATGCCAAACGATTGATCCTCGGCGCTGACCGCCTGCGAAACATTGTTCTGGAATATCTTGATGGTGTTCAGCATGTTGTCACTGTGCTCCTCCTCGCTCCGCTCCCGCTTCAGTGGCGGCTCATAGAAATATGGCTTCTGGTCCTTGCCCACTGCGGTGGCAAGTTGTGCATCGCCCGTAACCGTTATCTCTATGGGGGCAACTAACATTATTATGGCATAACCATAACCATAACCATAACCATGGCTGTGAATCATTCATCACTCAACACTCACCGTGCGGATGGGTCAGCGCTTGGGCGGATGTTGTGGCACTTCCGTTAAAGGGCTGTGCGAACAGATCGACAACAGTCTGCTGCTGGGCCTGCTGCTGCTGCGTCGGATCCGCCACCTGGCTGGAATTCTGGCTACCGTTGGCACACTTGCCCAGCAACGATTCCCGATATTGTCGTATGGAGTCCACGAGGAACTGCATCTGTTTGAAGTAGCGCCAGCGCGATTCTTGGCACAATTTCATTTCGCGCGCAAACTTGTCGCGCAAACTCTTCCATCGCTTTGTACATTTTTGTTCTGCACAGGAAATACAAAAAAATAAATAAATCAAATAAAATGCAGTATGCTGAGAAAGTCAAGTTTTGTTTATTTTTTACATTGGCTGTCAAGTTTCTTTTGGGTGGGGGTGGCAACGCCACAAGCAAACGTCATTGCCAGCGTCAGCGTCAGCCATATGTGCGTCAAGTCAAATTGCAAACCAAAACAAACCGCGAGACGTCAACGCCGTCGTCGTCGCCGTTGTCACTCCTGCTCTCTCTCTCTCTGTCACCCTCTCCCCCTTCAGTTGAACAATCGACGTTAGCTGTTGGCAGAAGCAGCAACTGAGCAACCGAGCAGCTGAGCTGCTGAGACTGAATCCGTGGCACGCCAGCAGCAGCGAGACAGCAGCAGCTTCCGAGCGCTTCCCGCTGCTGCTGTCGACGTCGACAACAACTACGAGTTGATTCTGCCCGCTTTTGGTATTGGTAACGCCAGCAGCAGCGCGGCCCACTCACAGAATCTGTGGCAGTCTTCGCATTTTATTTTCTGCGGCTGCTGCATTCATTCAACACAAACGTGCGCCAAAACGTTATTCAAAATGCTTGCATAATTTATTGATGGAAAAACCAGCAAAAATCAAAATTTGAAACTCTGCATATATATGCGAAAAAATTAGTAGGACGAATGGGGAGGGGGGCAACGCAAGCAACGGGAGGTTGAATTTAGTTTTTTCTTTTTGGTATACACACAATCATTGGGTATACTCATAAAATGAAATGAAAGCTGTTCGGTTGGTCGACGATTTGCTTGTGCGTATGTGTGTGTCTGTGTGCGTCAGTTGCTCATACTGTGTGCGTGCGTGTGTGAGTGACAACACCACCACCGACAGCAGCTGCTGCAGCGACGACGACAGCAGTAGCAGTGGCTGTTGTATAAAAATAAACGCTGGCGCAGGCAGCGTGTGTGCGACAAAGACAACTACTGCGACGCAAAAGTACAGCAACTTCAAAAATGTTGACTGCGCGCACACAACACCGTCGACAGCGCAGCCAGGTGCGCATTTGAGGCGCCCAATTTGGGGCTACAAATTCAATTATGACTGCGACTAGAATAAACATTTTCTTGTTTCAACAATTTATTTCAATTGAGGAGCTAAGTCAAAATTAGGCTGTACAGAAAATGTGTCTGATATTACAGTATAGTCATGGTGATTGTGGCTCTCAGGAAATCACATGTAAACTCTATGTCTACACCAAGCGCGCCCAACCCTCACAGTGAGCAGTGCCGCTCCTGAGATTTCACAATCGTCTGTCGCGTCTCCGTTGCGTCGCCGTTCACTTTTGCGTCGTTTCTGTACACTTGCTTTTGCTGCCCGCCTGCTGCCGACGCCCGCTGCAGCCTTCCACCGCTGCTACTACTGCTGCCGCGACGAACGATGTCGCCGTCTCACTGTTGCTAGCCTGCTCTGCCCCTCTGCCTACTTAGAATTAATCAATTTGCTGCAGCGACAGCAGACCCTCGTCTCGACTGATACCCACTAACCAATTTCACTTGCTGCTGCAACATTGAGTGAATTTTTCTGAATTTGGCCAACAAATTTCACTTACCACTGACGCCGAGGGTTTCGGCGATTTGCTTCCAGGTTTGTGCTTTGCGCACAAAATGCTTGTAATTGTAATGTGAACGATCGTAAATAACGGGATTCATTTTGACCGCCTCAATCAGATTGAGATCAAACTGCTGCTCCAGGTTGGCATCCAGTTTATCCATTTCGATTGCTGCACTCAGCGTGTGCACTGCGAGAAACAAGCGGGCAACTTAATACAAATACTACACATATATGTGTATATGTATGTATGTATTTGCGTGTGTGTGTGTATATATGATTGTATGTGTGTAAATTGGGCACTTTTATCATGGAAATAACGAAAACAACAAGACTCACTTTGCTTCTTTCGCTTGCTAATTGTTGTTAAATAATTGGCGCGCGCGCACCCTTTTTAGTTGATTTGTTTTTATTTTGATTTTGGTCTTCTGTTCGAGGAGGAAACGTCGCGACGTCGACGTTCAATTTTATTCCTCAGTCGCTCTCAGTCGCTGCCAACGGTGAATTTTTGTTCCAAGAATGCAGCAGGCAGCGCAGTCTACTTTTCTAGTATTGTGTATATTTTAGCACAGCCAGCCGCAGCGACGATTCGACGTCAAATAAAGAGACGTCGACAGCGTCGCGACGTTGTAAGTCAGCGTTGGCTGAATATTGCTTGCCTGCTTGCACATATGCGCGACGCTTGCTTCCTCTTTTGCTCATGTTCAAGTGCTGAAAAGTGTTGGTTAACGTTCAACAGTCGTGTGTGGTGTGGTGTTGACTAGCTTTAACATATTTAATCGCACATATCGCTTGCAAGTCGATATATAAGTTCAAGCGATAGTTCTATTATGGCGATAGATATATTTCATATTTAAATTATAAATTAAAAAACAAACAGTTTTTGTTCATTAATCTGGAGCAGCAGGTAGAACAGCGACATATTTGTACTTATTTATTTCATGTTTAAAGGCGAATGGTCTGCACTTGACAGGGTATCACAAATTTCCGTACGCGAGTCGTGGCGGGAGTGATGCCCATTTAGCCGTTTTCCGGTCGAATTTTATCCCCTTATCTGTTAAACGGGAAATACTCGAATATTTAACATTTTATGCCGTTTTCTATATATTTTTGTTTCTAAATGTTTTCAAGCCCATCCCATATTCATAGAATATCCCGCTTTAAGTTCGATTTAAATGAAAAACAAGTGATATTAAAATTATTTAATTTTATGTATTTCGGTTTCGCTTTCGGTGTTTATACAATTTGCCTGTTTCTGAACAAACATATTGCATAGTTGTGTTTTATGAATGAATGAACAAAAGTCCTTGCCTAAAATGTTGTATTACATTTACTTGCTATAATCAAAAAAAAAAACATGGTTCTACTGCATTTGAAGAATTGAAAACAATCTGTAGTATGCTAATTTAGTTTACTTACTTAAAAGTATGTTAAGGTTTAAACAATTTTCATCAATTTTTAGTGTATTCTTGTGTGTGTGTATAAAGAGTATGGGTAACAATGAATCATAAATGTAAATAATTGCTCTTAACTTATTCATGTGTGTGTTTGTGTGTGTGTCTATTCAAAAAGGAATGACTTAAGAGTTAGTTAAAAATTCTTCTTAGCAGTAATTATCTTGTAGAATTTGTTGTTGTTTGTAACACGAAACCGGATTAGCAGCAACTAATTAAAAAGAGAAGGAATCAAAAAATAAAACCAAATAATGCAAGCAAATTTAGTTATTATTTTTCTCTTTCTTTTTTCTTGTGTTTCAAAATGTTCAAAATATGTGGCTTACATTTGTTTTTAATTTTACATTTAGTAATCATATATTGACAAACTTTTAACTTAATGCTAAGCAATTTTACAATGTGTTCAGGAAGTGGAATTAATCGCAACTATAATTTTTAGCTCATATTTTCTTCAATGTTGCTGGTAGTTTTGGAGAACTGACACATTTTGGGTTCGGTTTGCTATAGTTTTTTGTTTGTTTGTTTGTTTGTGTGTAATGTTTATATTATTGTTGTGGGTTGTTTTTTGTTTTTGTGTTTTTTTTTAGTATTCACTTACAACATATCATCATTTTTTTTATACTCCTTTTGATTATTACATTTTTGTTTTTGTCGGGTTTTATTTCTTGTTTTTTTGTTGTTGTTTTTGTTTTTTTTTGTTTTGGGTTGAGTTTAGAATATTTAGCTTAAAATGTAACGAAACAAATGTTGTTGTTTTTCTTTTCTTTTTCTAATGGGGTCCTTCTTATTTTCATTTTGTTTTTTGTTTATCAAAATATGATGTGTGTTCTTGTTGCTGTATTTTGTTGTGTGTAGTATGTGTGGGTGTATATAGGTGTGTGTGTGTGGGTGTAGGTGTATAATTAAATTTATAACGTACAAAGACGATACAGTTGCAGATCATGCTCTTTTTAACCATCATGCTTTCTCTTCTTGCCCCTGGCTTGCGACTCTTCTGCAAATAGCGAATAATACCAGACATAATTAAATATATGTTTATATATATACACACCTGGACAGTTAAATAGGTGCGAAAACAATAAAAAAAAAAATAAATAATATATGTCCAATACACAATATATTAATTTATAAGTCCACGTTGTTTATTAATGATTTTGATTAAGATTTGAATATACTCATTGCAATACGAGCTCAACTGAGCTATTAAATAAAATTAAATGAGCCAAGGACATCAGTAAAAGGGCTGAGGAGAGAAGATAGAGTGTTGACTCTAAGATCTAAGATATAGATGGTCTCAGAAATGCTCTTAAGTCATAAAAAATATATTGAAAGGCAGGTGGGATTCAAGAAAACTTCATCAGCAGCCGATAATCATGTGGCGTTATTGGCTATAAGTGAGTCAAAATTAACGATTAATAAGTGCAAACTTAGCTAATCGATTTTTGCTTGGTTAGAAGTGGTTCATTAAGACTGGCACAGCTGATCAGAGGCATAATATTCTCACACAAAAATGTTAAGAATTCCATATTAAATTAACTAAGAAAGCAGTGCTTGTCTTTACTGTCCAGGTTTGGTTGGCATTTGTTTACTCACCTGGCTTATCAGCATCCTTATCCTTGGCATTGACCGATGCGCCCGATTCATTTGCCTCTCCATCGGCCTCATCAATATCGGAATCCTCATCCTCATCGTCGTCGCCAGCGCCTTCGCCCTCCTCCCAATCGGAATTGTCCTCCTCTAAGTCATCATTATAGACCTGCAAGTGTTGTTGGTTATTAATTGATCGATTGGATTGGATGAATAAATGGTAATCTTTGCTTGCATACCTCCGAGAGTGAAACATCGCCGTTGTCCTCTTCGTCGCTCTCATCGCTGTCGCCATCATCGTCATCGTCATCGACTGCAAGCAATTGCAAGCAAATTGATAAGGGTTTGATTAAAAACAAGTTGGATTAATGCACAAGATGCTTACAATTACGGATGGCACTCGCCAGATTTAATATTGCTAAAAACCAATAGAGTAATATGGCAAAATGAATGCTTGGCTGATGGCTGTTGCTATTATTGGGCTGTGGCTGTATCGCATCAGCTATCACAGATTGGCTGCTTTCTCGTAGCTGCAACTCTTTTAAATATTCATCTAATTCGTCAACTTCATCATCGGCAGCAGCCTTATTGTCATCAGCAGGTGCTGCTCCCTGCAAACACTTTTTGGCCTTAACCCGCTGCTCCAATGCCTCGAGCTCGTCTAAATCGATCTCTAAGCCATTTACACAGAAGGCACTGCGCTCATCTGAAAGGCGACAGAATCTGTGTGTTGAGATGTGTTTGGATAATCGAATTTCGAATCAAATCCTAGCTGCCTAACTGATGATGGTTTTCAAAACAGACAGACGACATTGATCTGGCTCAGATATGCAACAGTTGCTCATGTACAAATCTTATACTATGAATGGATGTTTTGTACACATGCATATATACAAACCTTCATCCTCGGAGTCATTGCCATTGACCTCCTCATCGTCATCGCCATCCGACTGCACTTCTTCATCATTACAATCGAAACTGTTGTGAATATAGAAATTAGATATAATCAAAATTAATATTCTGAGAGCAGAGACTTACCCATCTAAAAAGTTCAAGGATGGCAGCATCTTGAAGATTTTCTCACGATAGTTTTCCACTTGAGTCGCATCATTATTAAATAAATCCAAAACAGCCAAACTTTTAAATTCCTCCAACGGTTTCAACGTTTCCAAATCTTTGATTTTATTGCCAGACAAATTAAGATATTGTAATTTTGGACTGGTCGTCAGATAGTTGAGTCCACTCGAAATTCTATTATCGGATAATTCCAATTTCTTCAAATTGGGCAACTTGGGGAAACCTTTGAGTGTGGTGAGTCCCACATTGATCAAACTTAATGATTCCAAGGCGGTATATTCATCTGTAAGGCCAACGATGCTTGTACTCCGGCAATTGTCCAGATTCAGTTCTGTGATCTGTTCAAAATATTTAATTTTCAATCATTTCAATAAATATCCCAAAATCTTTTAGTATTTGCAACAATCTAATTTTAAAACGGAAATGGGCATTTTTAAAGTTAGATGGATTTGGTCACACTGGATGTGTATATTCAGCAAGATGCAAGTCTGACAGTCCGCCATGTCTGTGTGAACGTGTGGCAGAAAACAAGCGTAAAAGAAAAAACTCAAAATGAAAAACAATACATACGCAAAAAATCGATTAACCGAAAAGAATTTTTTTTATAAATGCAAATACATATCTCACACTCAAAATAGGCGCATTAAGAGCAACTAAATGAAAATGGTAAAAACAATTCATGTGTTGAGACAAGAAATGATTTAGCAACAGCTGAAAAAGTGGCAGCAACGCGTTTATGTAATACCATTTTTTCAGACGACGGGTGTGTGTATGTGTGCGTGCGTGTACGTGTGACGTACGCGCGCCACAAAACGGAATGCGCGAGAATGGGCAATGACAGAAAGAAGAGCAGCGCAAAGAGCAAGTGCTGATAACATGGCAGCGCTTTGGGCGCGCATTGCCTATGCAAACAAATGAAACGGAATGAAATGCTAGCGAAGAGTACACGGCTAATAGTGGGGGAGAAGGAGAAAGCAAAACAGCACAAGTCTTGTAAATTGTGGAATGAAACAAGCCGGCAGCACACACAAACAACAGTAATATGTTGACAAAAGAAAAAACTGACGTTTGTCGTTCTTAAAGAGCAATATATTTGTTTGTGTTTTCTATCATGATAAGCATTTTGAGTTGGGGCATCGTTTTCAATGAATATGCGTGAAACACGGCAAACAAACAGGAACTTTTGATTGTTTCCTGATTAGCGCAATTATAGTTGTCATCTAGTACACACATGCACATGTATATAAGTATAACTGAAACTGACAATATTTTTTAGGTAGTGAGAAGCAGACAAACAGTTTCTCTTCCATCTGTTTCGCTGGACAGTTAGTTACATGCACAAGAGTACACTCGCACACACAGATGTAGTTAAATGGCACACGCATACACACATGCATACATATTCACACGCAGCTTAAGCTTTTTGAAGCGTTTGCATATCAGCTTAGTTTTGACTTTACATATGGCTGTGCATGTGTAAGTTTGCATTTGTAGTTGGCTAGGGGTGGAGACGAGGCGTGGGTGCCTGATTGAGTAGGCCTTGCTAGAGCGCATGTTTATTAATCAGCAAAAGTGCCATACACAAAAAAGAAAGACAGGTTTGTCTGCTCTTTTTCACATTTCTTGTGTCGATTGGGAGTGAAAATGGGAGAGAGATATGCACAAATTGTATGTGTTTGTGTATGGGGGGAGGGGGTTGCAATGCATGTAAACAGTGCATGTACCGTTTTGGGGCGGCCGGTTTTCTGCATTGTGAAAAGTCTAGCCTGCAACAGCAGATGTTCGACAGTGTGTGTGAGGGTATTTATGACTGCGCAGTCAATATGACTGTGTGTGTGCACGTCTCGACAGGCAGCCAAAGCTAAAGCTGCCTGGCGACCCATCGGCATTGAATGCGAGAATGTGTCGATTATGTGCATACACGTTTCTTCGTGTGTGTGTGTGTGCCTCTGTGTGCGATTCTTGCGTATGTATGTATATATATATGAATGATGCGCGCGCTATAATGTTGTTATAGATACATTTTGGTATTAAATAACCTGAAATTACAACAAGCATCAGCATGGCATACAAAGCACTCACACACACATATGCAATATATGCTTTGCTCATTGCAGTGTTTGTCACAATTGAAGGCCGGCGACAACAACAAGAGATTATGACAGCATTGCCAGCTGTTGCGATTTCAGGTGCTCTTCTCTCCCCGCTTTGTGCGTGTCGCGATCAACAAGCATAAGCATGCACAAAATAACCCACAACTTTTTATATTAACAAACAAAAAGACACACGTGTATGACAAATATTTACAAGTTTAAATGAGATAATTGAAATTTTTACGGTCATTGGCAGTGTTTGAACAAAGCCAAGGCGCAAAAAATGCGCGCACATGGCAACACTGCTCGCGACACACATGCACAGACACACGCACGCATACACTCAAAAGAATAGCGCATGAACACATACAGCTGTATGTGAGAATTTGCTTATGGCGATCAATTTTTTTTTTGAACGATGGACGTTAATCGCCGCTTCTTCTTTCAGTGATTTTGCGCTCTTTTTTTATGGCGTCAACGACAACGGCACAAACTGAAACTAGATTTACATGATGGCGTAGTTGCTGTTGTTATAGGACACACATACACACAAGCGTTATGCGTTGATACAAAAAAAAAAATTTGTGTAATAAAAAAAAAGCCAAGTTTTGCGCGTTTTTTGGCTTGGTGTTTTTCTTCCCTTTTTTTTTTTTGTCACATTATCAATAGCAATAAATAGCAAGAGGAAGACGAAGAAAATCTTACCTGGTTCACTTTGCGTGCGCGTCTTTCCAATTCTATTCTCTTTTCCATGTTTGTTTAGTGTGCTTTGCCTTTTTTCTTAAAAAAAAAATCGACTCTTAGATGCACTTGTTTTTGTTATTTGGTAAAAGCTGCTTTTTGTCTCGCTTCACGTTCAATCCACCAAGCTCGCAGAAATGCCAAAGGATACACTAATACCAATACCAATGCAATTCTCGATGTGCGTGTGTTGGTTTTGCTTCCTTGCTGCGACAAGCGCGCACGCACCACAAGCAGCAGCAGTCGTTGTCACACACACACAACACACAGACACACTTACACTCACACACACTCACAAACACCTTGCAAATTTTTATTTTCTTATGCTGTTTCTTCGGTATTGTTGCCGCCGCCCCCCGCCGCGTTGTTGTTCTATAGCGTTGAATAGAAAATGTAAAAGAAAATTAATTATTTGCATATACTCCATATGAAAATGCGCTAACAGTTGCAGTTGTGTACTTTAATCGTAAGTTAGCGCATTTTCACACACACATACACATACACACTCACACACACACTTGTGACGCGCTATTTTCAAACGAACGTTTTAACACGTTTTTCGCCAACTTCTTCACACTTGGCGTGTTTTCTGCGCTCACAATGTGCCGCTAATTGCACTTACCTTAGTACGTTGAATATTTAAGTATTGAAATCAATTTTTAATTGTATTTTCCAACTAACAACAACAACAACCAACAAAAAAGCAACCAGTATAAAGCGCTAGGGATGTGCGATAAGAATTTTAGAGATGCTCGACTATCGTCAATGCTGCGTTTTGTATATCGGGGGTAGCTCTTATCTGCCACAATCGATAATATTTGCTGGAATTCATGCACAACATAACAGAACTGCTCCACACTTAACGAGTATCTTCACTTATTAGTGGATTTCTGCTAAGAGAAGTTAATGGAATTATATTTAATTATTATTAATTATTATTATTATTACATAAGCAAAGAGCTGCTAAAAGTCACAGCATGGTTTGTGACTTTGCTATGCTTACCGAGTGGGTACATGCCCCTTGACTACAAATGTAAAAGTGCTACCAAACACTAGATGGCGGTTATTTAACAAAAATTCAGATATTCTAAGGCCGTCGACTGTCAAATCGTAGTTAGATCGATCGTTTTTATCGATTTGTGTTGCATTTCATAAATATCCTGTTTCTAATATTGTTGACTTAAGAAAATAATTATACTTCTAATTGTACCTATCAGACCCTTAAGAAATTACAATTTATACAGAAGAATAAAATTGTATTAATAAATAATTTTATTAAAAATACTGAATTAATGTTATTATTGTTGTTATTACTTTGCATTTACAGAAGTCAACAAGTCAACATCGATTGCGGAACATCGTCGCTTTGGCTGGGAATAATTTTTTATCCATGAAACACAATTTCAATAAGAATTTGACAGTTTTGCCATCGTCCATTTTTGCGGTTCTGTTAGCTGTTACTTTTACGTCACTGTTATTCTTATTATAATAGATTATATGTTTATAATCAATAACATTGCAGCGATCGAGCTAAAAAGTTCCGCGTTCAATTCTTAAGCCGTGTTTACAGATCGAGAAAAAGTTATCGATAATGAATAATTCCATTTAAAAAAAAAAAACGGTTTAAAACTGGTCTCCAAATCTTTAATTTTTGTTCGGTTTTATGACGGCAAAACTGAAAAGCGTACTGTTAACCTGTTAATGAAATATATTCTAATTTAACACAGAGTTAACAGCAGCTTAAGAGCCTAACGTCGATTCGCGAATTTAACAGCCGGTCTTTAACACTGGCTACTGCAACATTAAAGATTATCGCTGTTAATATTAAGAGGGGAATTGCAGCTTTATTTAATTTGTATTTTATCCGCATTGGTTACATTTGTAAGGACATAAATACAATAATATATATATTGACACACAAATGCATAACGAAGGTCACATTTTCGTATTCACCCCATAATTAGATATATAAACGTGCTTATGACAGTGGCAAGCTGCTCAATTGTAATAATTATAGATTATCATTCAACATACATAAATAGAATAAATAATCGAGGACCTTGAATACAGAAAGCACAACTAAATTTAGCAGCCACCAATGAAAAACAGGATGCGACATACAACACACACACACTCACGCATACACACACATTCACACACACACATACACTATGAACAGATGTTCGATGAGCTTCGCTTATAATTAGCCAATTAAAAAGTCAATGAACGAGTGAATGAAACATACTGACACACGCACATGCAGATACAGGCCGCCAAAATGGCACTTAAATTTCACAATTATCTCAATTTAATTAACTTTTGATTATTTGCGCGGCGTTCAATATTATCGTTTATAGTCGCATTAATAACCCCTTTTTACTCTTTTGGTTTTCTGTAAGTTAATAAATTACTAAAACCTTAAAATTTCTTTTAATGCCAAAAATAATATTAGCATTTGTGGAATATTTCCACATTTGTTTGACAGACCCAAGATAATTTACTTTGCATTGATGTTAGAATGTTAAATGTTAATAATCGCATTCTCAATCTTGACTCTTCCCTACTCTTTTGATTTTTCCTTTGGCTTTGTCAATGATTTAAATTTTATAAGTCCCAAAATTATTAGCACTTAACATATTTCTTAATGCCAAAAATCATTTGTATATTTGTTGAATATTCCCGCATTTATTTGGCATTTCCGCTCAGCTCGACTTATGGTTTCACTTAACATGAATGTTAGGCTTAGGTTAATAGCATTTGTTATTCCTTAAGCCCAGTTTACAGTTCGTCGAAAAATTTCGACCAAAATTTGTAATATATTTCATTTGTGGACCCTAAAAACAAAAAGGTTTGTTTGGAGGCAACAATTTAATGCATTATTTTTCTCTTTTTTCTTGATGATTAAAATCATTGCCGGTAGCCGTCGTCAAAATATATCAAAGTTCATTATTTTTACACCGTTAACAGCTGTTCACAGAGCCCACACAGGTCTGCAGTGAGTTAACATTGTGGATTTTAGTTTTGCGCTTTTCGCAACCTGTTTGACACAGTTTTCTTTTTATTTGGAGTTTTTATTTATCGATTACTTTTTTTTTTTATCTGTAATCTGTGCTTAGCTGCATCGATCACGATACACATGTATCGATTGCAAGCATATATTGTATTTCATTGTATTGTGTCATTTGCTTAATGCTGTTTTTTTAATGTGCCTACTCCAAACATGTCGCCCACAATTTATTGATGGCTGCCTGTTTGCAGAGAGAGCTTGCTGTATCAATTAACCGGCTGTGTGTCCTTCCGTTAAGCAAAATTGCTAAACGTGCGTCCTTCATCCGTTTGTCCGTCTGTCCGTCTGTCCTTGAGCGGTGGCATCAGTTTTATGCATTTTCACCTGTAGCTGTTGGCTGACCTTAAAGCTTTCAGCTAGCTGTGTGTGTTTGTGTGTGCGTGTGCTTAAGATTGGCCAGTGCTGCTGCTCTTGGCAAACTTACCATTAACTAAATGTGCGTGTGTTTTTAAAGGAGTAAATTAATAATTAATGAATGTAGTATTAGCCAAAATGAAAGCTGCCTCGAGCTGTGCTTAAGGCAGACGAGCTTTTCGGAAGAATGCCACTTTAAACATTTAATAAAAAAAAGTAGTTAAAAGTTGCAATCTTTTGAGTTGTTCTTTTGCTGTTTGTCTTAATTTTTTTAAGTCGTGCAATATTTTATTTTCACGCAAGTCACACCTTAAGCGATTCTAGCTGGAAAAGTTGAAAGTTCAAATCAATCGCAAATAAAATAAAGCCAAACCACAATTAAATCTAACAAAAGGAACTTTTGCTCTCTCTCTTAAAATGTTCTCTTACCTCCCATGGCTCTCTCGCAAAATCAACAGTTTGCTTTTGTGCTCCACGCAAAAGCTTCGCGAAAGCTCTGTGCTGCTAAAGATGCAGCATCGTGGCAGCCACAAGTTGCTTTCTCGACGTTTGCAACAGTTGCTGTTGAGTGTCTTCGAAAAGCGGACGTGGCAAATTAAAGGTAACGCAGCACCGCGTACAATTCATAATTCCTTAAATCCAAAAACGATATTAGTGTGTCCAACACATGGAGTGAGAGAGCGAATGGATAGAGAGAGAGAGAGAGAGTGCTGCAGCTTTAAACAAAAAGTAGACGACTCGGCAACTAGTTCCAGTGCAAGCCAAAATGTTGCACGCTGCAACAATGATGCCCACAAAGTTTAAAAATCCAAATTGCAATGTGGAATGCCCAAAAATGCATTTAAATTAAAGTGAAACCTTTATAAATATATAAATATATCAAATATTCGATTATATTTTATAATCTGTGACGCAAATAATTTCTCATAATTTTTAAACTTAAATGCAAAAAGAAAAAAAATTAGTAAAAAAAAAGTTGGCAAATTATGCATATCTATAATTTTCTCGCCAAAATGTGTTAAAAGGTCATAAATCATCAATGTTCAAATCGTGTTAAGTTATTTTATAATCTGACGCCAAGAAAAATACAACAAAATACGTGCTAACAAAAAAATATAAAACACCATATGTGGCAGGGCACACATATATATGTATATGTATTTAGATGTCTCACATGTAATGAGAAAATATATATTCCTTTTTAAATAAATATATATATATATACATATTTGTACTATATTGAATTAAATAAATTGTAATATTTTGTAAATTACTTCACACGCTTTTCATTTTTGGTGTGTGTATTTTTTGTATGTCGTTCACTTAATTTATTTTTCATGCCACCTCAAATAAATTTGCGCAACTTCGGTTAACAAAAAAAAAACAACAACAAAAAATTTAAGAAACAAGAAGCGACAACAACTGCTAAAACAGACCGCCTACAACCCGCCTCCCCCGGCCGTTGTTTTTAAAGGTAGGTGTGCAATTTTTTGATTTGCGACTTGTGTAAAAAATATTCGCTTTTCCCGCACTTATTTGCATTTCAAAGGCAGCCCTGCGAATGTGTGTGTGTGTGGGAGAAAGTGCTGTTCGCTAATTTTTTTTATGTTTGTCTGGTGGTTTTTTTGGTGGGAACATCATAATCACAACAATTTTTGATAAGGCGACGTGGCGTATGATTGATTGGTGCCTGTCTTTGCCCCTGTGTCTCTCTGTGTGTGTGTGTGTAATTAGATATGGTCGTGTGTCGCCTGCCACACTGATTGGCGTGTGAGCTCGGAAATTAGATTTATCACAATTTAATTGTGAAATTGTATAAGCTTATAAGTCAAATTCTGTTTGTAATTTGGTTTTATTTTAAGTCAGTCTAATTCAAATAAAGTTCATCATAGCTTTATCATGTCTCATAAGTTCACTTGCTATACAAACAATATAAAAAAATAGATGAAAAAATTATTTACATTATCTAAATCGATTTATTGAGTTTTAAGCTAACAAATTTTTAAATAAAAATTATTATTGTATAACTTTTGTTAAAAAAAAAATTTGACGAATCATTTCAATTGGTAATTTTATGCGCATATAAAACAAAGCAAACCCTTTCATTTTAAGTAAATAATAAAAAGAAAATTCATCGCAATTTATGAGGTTTTGGTTACATTCAATTCAAAATACATATATTTGAAATGCAGCAAAAGTCAGTTCATGGACGAAATGAAATATGGTTAAAAATTACTTGTGAAACTCGGAATATTATTAAACCAACTCAAAGTTGGTTATTACAATGGTAAAACCCTTTTCCTTTCCTTGGTCTGCATTTTTTATATACATATAAAAGGTTGTACGTTTTGAGTGATTTATGACTGTGACCAATATATTTTTTTTATATATTGTCTGTTGCTACAGAAAAGTAAAAAAATGTGTTAATTAATTAAATAATTAAAATGTAATATCTTTGAATTTGAATTTGATAAATAATTGATAAATATTTTATATAATTAGAATAAAGCAAATAAGCAGTAAAATAGTAAATGAATTTCAACAATTTCCCGTTTTATTTTTTCAACTTGTCGCTTTACATTTCAATTTCAGTGGTGGAAAGCGTAATAAAATTACAATTTGCATAGTTGCCCCGTCGAATTAAACAATTAATGTTGAAATTATTAAAATTCAAATTGAATGAGTTTAATTGACATAGTTATTTTTTAACGCCCGTTCAGCTCGTTAAATAAATCAATTAAAGCAATTTATGTGTCCAACTTTCACAGCAGGAAGAAAGCGCATTTTATATTTTCTAATATCCCTGCAGAGAGTATTACACTTTTGCTATGAGGTTTGTAACGCATTGAAGGAGGCGTCCCATAATATATATATATATATATATATATATCTTCTTGATTAGCATAAATAGCAGAGTCGATTTTGTTTTCTTCCTGTTTGCAGAAAGTATACTAAGTAAAAACTTGCTCTGAATTTAAATTATTTTTAATACCTTTGCAGCAAATTCGATTTGATTATTTTTTAATTTAAGAAAGTGTTAAGAAATATTTTCTATAATAACTAAATATATATTTTTGAATACAAATGTAAAATATAAATATTAAAAATATTTGTAATAATTAAGACATTTTTTGAATATATTTTTGAAAACTATTCCTAAGAGGCCGTTAAATCAAAAGATGAGTTCTTAGTTCTGTGCTTGTTATTAAAAATTGCTTCAAGTCGAGACAACAATATCAAATACTTTTTATTTGGTCGATTTTCTTCTTTTTTTTTTAATCTATAGTGAAATTTAAATTTCAGCACATTAACTGCTATCTGCAAGAGAATATCATCTTCGGCGTGCCACAACTGGTCGTTTTTTCTGGTTTTCTTTTGCTTTTGTCGTCGGCACTGCCCTCATCTGTTGCTCGTCATTTAATTGGCTGTAAATGAATTTCCTGACCCGACCAGCAGCAGTGGCAGCTACTGTAGCACCTGTCATCAGCATTAATGACCCCAATGCTCCCTTGCTCCCTTGCCCCGTTGCCACATTGCCACATTGCCACATATTCAACCGCAAGGCATAAACTTATCGCGCCCTTGCTCTCAATCTCAATACTCTAATTTGTATAGCATACTTTTCTGCGCGCGCTTTGTGGCTTAAAGTTGTAAAATGCATCCGTTGAGCAAACAATAAACAAATGCCGAGCATAAAAATTAACAAACTAGAAATGAACTCGTCGTAGTTCAAGCTTTTTTTTACTACATATTCATATATATATATACATATATTTTTATATATATCTATCTGCCAAATCTGCATACACATTTCGCTTTTGTTGCCGCTTTTAAAAGCACTTGACCGAGTTTTGGTTGGTACTTTGATTTTTAATACGGCGTAAGCACAAATTTTATGAAAAGGGGTTTCGACTACAAAGAGACTTGGTTTCAAAAATCACAACTTGCCCCAATTTTCTAATCATCGCAATAAAATTTATAACTATGGTGAATGTGATTTGTTAGTATTAGCTATGTTTAAGAACTTGATTGTCCTCCACTGATAACATCTTCCTAATTCACTTTAATATTTTCCACCTAGGGTATATCCAAGTGAAGCACTCTCGACAAGTTTTTTGCTAGTTTTACTAGTTAGAGTTGTTGTTTCGCCTGCTGTGCGTATTATTTTTGTTTGCTGGCTTGTAAACGCGCAGAATTGCAAAAAACCAAGAGCATAAAATGGATACAACATGCTTTCTGGCTGTGTTGCAAAAAAGAAGGAGACAAGTGGATAGGTCAAGGGGCAGGGCGGGTCACAGTTCAGTTAGTTCTGACAATATGCAAACAGTTGTTTGCAACTTGCCATTTTTGTTTGACATTTACACTCACAAGAAGAGCGGGATAAAATAAATGACAACACTTCAAGCAAAAGTTAGTCACTTGATTTGTGAATAGCCTCAAACTGACTTGCTTAACCCTGAAATTTAGAAAATCTACCTTGTTTTTCATAAAGCCATTTAGTTTCTCAGTCAGCGGCGCAATTTAGATTCTTATCTGACTTTCAGTTAATTTTCTTATTTCGATTTAGTACATAAATCTCTTTCAATTCTATGCATTTTTTAAAAATTAATTTTGAATATTAATATGTAATAAATTCCTAAGAGTTCCAATTAGCATAAAATTGAAAGTTTTGTTAAATTAAATAATATGAATTTCATAAACTAAACTAAATCTAAAGTGATTTCGCTGACTTAAAGTTATTTCAGCTCCGATATAAAGTTTATTGGGAATATGTATTGAGGCTATAAGCCAACGCTTAGTCTTTTCTCAACAACACTTGGATTTTTATATACGAAGGTCTAAAGCCATCGCTAAACCTTCTCAAAACAAGAGTAAAAATTGACACGATCGATAAGGGTTTAAAAGGGTGTACAAAAGATATGTCACAGGCATATATATATTTTAAATATATCTATAATTAGCACATATTATATTATTTATATTATTGTATGGCATATATAATATATAAACATATACGTATAATGTAGCTGCATTGACCCCTCACACAAGCGGATGACTTTCGGCAATGCGTACTTGTTGCATTACATTCGACCCCGCTGTAATTCTACTGTAATTCCACCGTAATTCCTCGTTACATGCATATGGAAGCGTTTGTCACAAGTGGGCTTGTGAATAATATAAAAATATGTAGCACGCCAGTGGGGATTACAAGTTGCAAGAGGAATAGATGAATCGTTGTGAATAAAGTAAAATGAGTATTGTGTGCTGTATTTTACTATATTTAATATTGGGCATTAATTAAGTTTTGGCATCTGTCGAGAGAAATCGATGTCCAAAAGCTCTTAACATTGTAATCTTTTCGATTATACTTTAGGTCTACCACGAGTTTCGGATGATGGTTCGAGTTGAATTGCATTTCGAATCTTTATAGGTGCGCTACCAATGATTAGTTGTAACTCTAAATAGGATTTTCCATCTGATCGAAGCCTATATCATTTATTTAGAATACTCTTAAATATTCAGTTAATGGAATACTGCATTGTTTTGCGCAATTAATATTTCATAAATTAGCTGTTTTAATTTATTCAATCAATTTCGCCTGGCTTACGCCAGATACCTTACTTTTTTTACTCTTTAGTGCCTGCTGAACGAGAGTATTTTCAGGTGTATGCAAAAATGTGAAATTCAGCAATAAAAATAAGCTTCTGGGAAAATCGCAATCGAGCTCATTCGCTAACATGAAATTATTTTTTTATTAAAATTTATTTTGGACAAATTCAAATAGAATATTAAAAATAATTGTCGCCATTATGGGATGAATTTAAAGCTTATCACTTAGACAGACAACAGACCAAATCGCGTGCAAATTCTGTTTAATTTTGTATACAAATTCAAGCGCAATTCGCACACGAAATGGCCTGTTGACTGAATAATGAATGTCTGGGCACAGCAGGCTGAGTAGTTGAATGAACTACTTGCACTTTGAGGATTCGGACACTATCTACAGTTACTCATCAGAGTGGACACAGTAGATAGTCCTTGGCATGATGCTCTCGCTCCTGGCGCTGCTTTTCCAGCTGGCAATTGCGCTGCATCATCTGATTGTAGTAGAAACGGAGCTCAAGATTCTTGAGTTGTCGTTGCATCTGTTGCATGTAGGAATGCTTACGCGTCGGCGGACGTCGTCTCAGCTGATCGCACATGGTGCAATTGGTCTTTGGTTCCGGTTTTGGCAATTCCACTGGCGCTTCTTCACTGATTTTCCTTGGTGACTTCCTTTTGGGTTTGGGTTTTTTCACTTCGGTTTGTGGCTTACCTTCTTGTGCAAGTTCTCCATTCGTCTTAAGTGATTGCATTATGTTCTTGTACTTCATAAGTTCAGTGAGCAGATCTGTGTACGGTGGATTCGATTCCTCTTGCTCATCCACGCTTTTCCGTGCTTTTACCGACCTATGCTGAGAGTTGCAGGAGAAGTTACTTGATGAAGATAACTTTTGTCTGTGTGTAAAAAAAAATTCCTTGTTAGACGTTACCGAACTCCCTTGTTCAATTTTATCTTCGATTTTCGCATCCGATTTCTCAACTTTTTTTAATAAACTGACGTTAGTTTTCCTCAGCTTATATGGATTATTATATTTGACATTTCTGTAAAAAGAATATAGCTTAAAATTATTGATATGCTCTTTCCTTTTACCGATTCGCGAAATGTTCGTGCCCGTTTTACATAATCTATAATTATTGATTTTTTCCTCAGGTATGAGTGATTCTTCTTCCAAACTTCCAAACGAATGAATACTGATCTTTTCACTTATTAAACTAGAAATTCTATTTAAACTGTGATGCTTAGTTTTTGAAGGTAACTGCCGAAGGGATTCAATTTTTGTCGGCTCTTTTGATGATAATGATAATGTGGATTTTAATGAATGCCGGTCTTTTTTTCCTGGAATTGATTTTATCCTTTTGGTAATTTTAGATGTAAACATATTAAATTGTTCTTCAATTGTATTCCCGTATGCATTCTCATTTTCTCTCCTTCCTTTCTCTCTTTCTCTTTTTCTTGTACTAGCTTTTGGTTGCTTATCTTTTTTCTGAACTTGCTCATTTTCGCGTTTTCTGAAAAGTTTTGCTTTTAGATGTTTAGGAAATCTTGGGGGAAGTTCAACTTGGGGTTTGGGTAACATATCAATTGATGGTATTGTGTTATCCGAGTCTTGTTCATCCTCAACATATTCTTTATTCTGATTATGTTTTCTGAAGAGTTCTGCTATTATCTCGGGTTTAGTATCCACGAATTCCTTTTGTTTTCTTTGTTTAGAAAATCTTTTGGGAAGTTCATCTTTAAGTTGAGACTTACGTAACATATCAATTGACGCCATTGTGTAATTCGAGTCTTGTTCAACTTTATCATATTCTTTTTGTCTGGTTTTAGCTTTTTTCTTAGTTTTCCCCAATAATTTTCTCAACTTTCGTGGATGATTTCCTGCAAAGTTGTCGCTTGACTTTTCCCCTTTTGGCTTGGGTCTAATATTTGTATCTTCTACCAGTTCTTGTTGTTTTGCAACCTTTGCGGAATTGTTCGAGGAGTCCTCATATATTTTTGTCCTAATCAGTCTTTGGGGGATGGATTGAGATTGATGCTGCGATTGCAGTTGATTCAAACGGTTCAGTTTCTGTGTGATTTGCTCGATATCATAGGGATTATTTGTATTCTGGAGTCTCTTCAAAGCATCATCAACCTCACGTTTCCGCGCCGAAAATTGTGAGCGTCGCGAGCGGTCATGTTTGCGATGTTTCACTTTACTGCTGCTCCATCTGCGACGAAAGCAATCCACAAATTCCTTATATATATCATTTGCTGCACTCTCTGCGGATAGATTCGATTCAGTTGTTTCAGGGGAGGAAGGCTGCCTGTTGTGGGTCAAGAGGTTGAGGAACGAGGCAGCCTTCTTATCCTTGATCTGTTGCACAAAGTCAGCATGCTGCTCGATGCGACGACGTATGTCCAGTTGCCGCTTCTTGCAGCCGCTGGCAAAGTAACTCCAATAGGCCCGGAACAGTGAGTCCGTGTCATTCAACCAATCCAGCTTGTTAATCAGCGGCTTTAGTTTACTGATCTTATTCGCTAGGCAACTCCGGCTCAGCAGCCTTGGGTTTAGGCCATAACGATCGCTGTTGCTAACCAGAAACTTTGTGCTCTGCAAAAGTTTCATCATTCACGATTTTCCACTTGCAATTTTTAGACGTTTTTTTATTTTATTTTTTTTTCAATTGTATCAGATGTGATTTAAAATATGAGCTTGTCATGTTGTTTGAAAATAATATACAAAACTTACCTCTTAGCTATGTCTTGAAGGGGGCAACGCATTGAAGAAGACATTTAAAAAAACTTTCTGTCGCTTATCGACTAAGCAAATGATATACGGAATACTATATCGATTGTTATTTTTAACGAAATGAATGTGTGCGGCAGTCAAAACAAAATTATCTTTCTTTCTAAAACAGATCTGCTCACTTTACTTAATTCTCAGCGACTCATCTCTTCTTCTTCTTCTTGTTCTTCAAGCTGGTGATATCGATATTAAATGTTAAGTACATGCATGTTAACATGTAACTGTTAAGTTGCAGATGTTAAGTTACAGTCTTAGTACTAAACTCGTGGCCTGCTATATGCGAGACATTCTGTGATCCAAGGATATTCAAACTACGGCATACCAAAGATGTTAAGGATATATATATGCATAAATGTTGTTATTTGTGTATTCGTTTATATAAAAATCGTACAATAAAAGTATTTCGTTTCTCAAACTTTAAAATGAGCGGTAAGCGAACTGGTTCGAATAGTCTATGCGAACTAGTTCAATCACAGCTCAGATTAAAGCTTATAGACAACGCTCGTTGCATTGTTGTTGCTTCATCTTATTATCTAAAATCATTTGGCAATCGCAGAGCATTTCAAAGCACTCAACCAGCAGTTGTCGCATAGACTGCGTCTCGAGCCTGCTGGACGTGAGCTGAACCGAAGAAGTCTTGCTGCGGGGCTTCCTTGTCGAAAGTTTCAATGGTGAACTTGACTGTGTCAATGGTGAACTTGATTGTGTCGCCAATGGTAAACCGAACGATGTCGCCAATTTATATCTGTAATACAGCTTGAGCTCTTCTCGTGCCTGCCGCTTCTTCATTTCAATCATGTACAGCTGAAGGGGTTCGGTGTGATTGAGTCTTCGACAGATATCGCAACATTTTTTATGTAGATTGGGATTGGTTTTCGATGCCTTTGGCACTCTTTTCGATTCATTGATAGATTTCTTGTAAGGCTTTTTGTCTTTGTGTAGCTCTTTTCGCAACAATCGTACGAGGAGCGACTCAAACTGGTGTGGCCAATTTTTGGGTATTCGTTGAGGAATATCAAAGTCAATATAGTTTGAAGCAAAAAAGGCCAGAACGTAATCCTGCACAGTATGTTCCGGATTATTGTTACTGTCAACATCCAAATTACACGCTGAATACGCATTCGATGTAGAGCTTTGCCTTCGATTGATTGGGGTTCCTACCTTTGATCGCCCATCAGCTGCGTCCCACTCATTTGTATATGAGATTGTGGTTTTCTTTCCATATGAGATCTCAGAACCTCTTTTTAAACTTTGAGCGGTGAGTTGTGAGTGGTTCTTACTAGCATTTCTATGTTTAATTATTCGTCTTCTCCATTTGAATTTTGGAACGCTATTACGAGCCTGCGATTGCAGTTTCTTTAACTGTCTCAAATGGTAACTACCAATAGTAGTCTTGCTCGACCTACTACTGCCTATATGCATTCTCAACTTTTCCAAGCGTTGTTTCAGTACTTCAAATTGGAAATCGCGATTCAAATTGTATGGTATGTCATCCGGTGGTTTTTCAATATCAGACATTGTTTGTTCCTCCTCCTGTTCCGTATTTAGTTTGCCTTCGGGTTTCTTATCCATTTTGTTCTCCTGTTTCTCGCTCAGTTTCTTCTCCTGTTTGTCACTCAATCTGTTCTCCTCACTCAGTATGTTCTCCTGTTTGTCACTCAACCTGCTCTCCTCACTCAGTATATTCTCCTGTTTCTCACTTATCTTCTTCTGCTTCTCACTTATCTTCTCCTGTTTCTCGCTCAGTTTGTTCTCCTGTTCGTTACTCGATCTGTTGTCTTTACTTGGTATATTATTCTGTTTCTCGCTTATCTTCTCAAGTTTCTCACTCAGATTGTTCTCCAATTTCTCGCTTATCTTCTGCTGTTTCTCTCTCAGTCTGTTCTCCTGTTTGTCACTCAATCTGTTCTCCTCACTCAGTGTGTTCTCCTGTTTATGCCTCACTATGCTCTCCAGTTTCTCACTTATCTTCTCCTCTTTCTCACTCAGTTTGTGTTCGTGTTTCTCACTCAGTTTCTTCTCCTGTTCCTGTTCCTTCTCTTTCACTCTATTCTTCTGTTTTGGACTTAGCCTGTTCTTCTGTTTCTTACCCAGTTTGTTCCCCCGCTTCTCACTCAGTTTCTCCACCCGTTTCTCACTCAGTTCGATTTGCTGTTTCTTACTCAAACTATTCTCCAGTTTAAGTCTTAGCCTTTTCTCCCATTTCTCGCTCAGCTTGTGCTCCTTTTTCTGACTTGGCCTATTCTCCTGCGTCTCTCTCAGCCTGCTCCGCAGTCTCTCGCTCCATTTGTCCGCTTGTTTCACATCCTGATCCTTGAATAAATGCTGTTTCTCTTTAGTTTCTAAATTAATTCGCTCATTTCGATTCAATAATTGTTGTTTCCAATAGTTATTTTCATCTTGTTTGTGATATGGTTTTTCATTTATTTCTTTAGTCAGTTTCTGATTTAGATCCGTATTTGGATTTATGTACAGTTTCTTCGAGGATCCCTTATTTGTGTATGAAGTTACAGACTTCTTCTGCGGATCACGTGGATAAACTGCTTTAAGGCCATCTCTCTCCGCAGTTGCCTCATGCTCTATGCACTGCTGGGGATAGAAATCCTTTTGAATATCAAAGATAATATTTTTAGTATTTGCCTGTCCTACACTTGCCCCTCTTTCGATTGCTTTGGGACGCACATTTGTACGTGTGGAACCGCGATGAAGTCTCTTTGGTGGACAGGGACTGGGATGTGGACAGGCAAAGCAGTTTACAAACTCCCCATACATTTTGTCATACGCTTCGTGGTTTTCCTCGTTATTGGTGTATATCTGTAGGAATCTGGCCGCCTTCTGGTTCTTAATCTGATCAATAAATTCCCGACTTGCAATGAGGCGACGCTGCAGCTCAGTGAAGGCAGCGGGCTTCTGTCCCTTGGCATAGAACTGCCACCAGTCGCGAAATGTGTGGCAATCCTGGAGCTGAGTGCTCGGCACATTGGGCTGAAGCCGATTCCATTGCGGAGCAGCGTTTCTGACCTTCTCGCTCAGAAGCTGTCGACTTAATAGCCTGCCACATTGCGTCTGCATCAAGGTCTCGCATGGATTAAATGCTATTAGTGTGCGTCGTAGATGCCGCATGATATTTTTGCCATAAATCAATATACTTGTCTTTATATATTTTATATTCCTTGAGACTTGTCTCTTCTTGTCTCACTTGCAATTTTTCCAACTGTGAATTTGTTATTTTAATTGACTTAAAGCTCGGAACAAATTTGATATGTTTTTAAGTGTAAAAACTCTATTTAAATTCGAGGTTTCATTAATGTTAAATGCTAGCGTGCACTTATCTTAAATTAAAAAAATATATATATTTATTTATATGCATTTTGTTTTGTTTTGTTTTTGTTTTGCACATCTTATTTAACTTTTTGCTAGGCGGCAAAACTTTATGATAATGACAGCTGTCTGCCTTGGAAAATGCTTTGTTTTTCCACTTTTCTCGTTGCAACGAGCCACAAGTCTACAATACACACACTTACATAACAAATAGATATATATATATATATATATATATATATATATGTATCATTGACTCACACATATGCGTATTTCTATGCACATTGCATGGCCGAGTGAATGAATGAATATAAAATAATTTTTGTTTGTCTGTGCCTTGAATTAATGTAATTGTATGGAAAATGCTGCACCTCTTTAAAGCTACAGTTGATTTCACAAGCATTGTTATTGTTTTATATCTTTTCATTATTTTACAGTTACTCATAAACTTAACTTCAAAGATTATTTATATATAAAATTTAGCTAAAATTCCTTTCTTTATTTATTGCTTTAATTATATTATTTTTGTTTTCATTTTTAAATAATCATTTCAAAGTCTTAAGGTGCTCAAAGTGGTAGTATAATTGATTATTCTTGCTAAAAATTCATCTTTCCAAGGAATACATTCACCCCTCTCATATACATAGATTATTCATGCTCATAGCTAAGTCCAACAGGAGATAGTTAAAAAAATATTAATAAAATAATGCGCTTAAATTATGAAGAGGGGAACCATGTTTGTTAAAATATTTTTAGATGGATTTAATTTGCCAACAGATAAAAATGAACCAGTTAAATATGTACTTTAACATAATGTTAAATTGCTAGAAATGCAACCCACAGCTTAAACTTGATATAATATTATTCGACATCTACATATTCTGGGCACCAAAATTTTTAACCAGTCGAGTCGTCTCTTAATTAACGCTTGCTGGTCGTGTGTAGCAATTGCTTTGAAACGGCTGTTTTAACAAATTAAGTAAACATACACGCAGTCTGTATCCATTATTGCTGATTTTAATTTAGCGTAGCGTATAATTTATAATGGAAATTCACAATTGCCTTATGCTAAACATGAATATGTATGGACATAAGCAAAAACCGTATTGATTGCTAAGCGAAAGAGAGATGACAAATGTGTGTGCACTCAAATCTAACGGGGCAATTCCAGAGAATACTCGTGTTTCCCTCTACGGCGAGCATCGATACCTATTTGATGTGATTCATGGGATATGGACATATTAAATAATAGTGTCTTTGCAAGATATGTTTATGAAATCACATACAATGACAATTCATTGATCCAAGTACTTCTGTCAAACAATACGACTAAGTATCATTAAACATGTTGTTTATTTTAAGTATTCAGCACCGTTTATTTAACAGACAGCTGAACATACAGCATCGAGTCCTACACGCACACATAAACGCACACATACACTACGTCAAGAAAGTGTTTTCACATAGGGAAAGATTCATCTCTTTTAATTTCTTTTGCAAAAAATTCACTTTATTTTTGACTTAAATATGTTCTTGCTATTGCTCTATTATTCTGTGGAGTTGTTTATACTAGGTTTAATAAAAATTATCATGATTCATTGACATAAAAAGCTTTAAAATGTTAAACACCAAAATTATTCATTCTTTGGTCCGAGCAAATTAGGTGAAAACTTTGAAGGCCAACTCATCAAATGGACTTTCTCGGAAAATAGTCGACTGGGATTAACGAATATTGTATATAGAGGGAGGTAATCTCGAACATATCGATTTTTATTCTGTGTCAAAACACTTTCTTGACATAGTGTAGATGTGCACACCCAGGCGTATTAACATTCATACACAGTAAATGATTTTATAATTGAGATGCTTGTTGTGGCATCCACTAATTTATTTATTTATACTCGGCGCGTCCATCGTGTGCATAAAAAGCATATCGCATATATACAATAGCAGGTGCTGTTAACCATTTTTTGTTTTAGCCATGTTTTATTTTTTATGAGTTGGATTTTGATAGCAGAAGCTGGAGTAGATTAAGGTAATTTCCGAATTGAAATTTTTGTTCGATGGCGATAAACAAAAACGAGGCCAAGACCAACTATAAACAGGCGCTGCTCGTTTATTAGTAATTAATTTCAGTACTAACAGCAGAAAGGTAAAAGTCAGCAACTCGTGGACATGTTGAATAAACATTGAATAAGTGAAAGACTATAAAAAACTGCACGCGTAGCAAAAAAAAAAAAAAATGTTTTCACATAGCGACAAAAGAATTGAATATCATTTGTGAGTTAATTGAGCTCATATTTGAATTACCTTACCTAAATAAGCCATTTATAAATTTGCAATTTAACAGAAATGTTTGCAATTTGCAATTATTTGGCTTCTATCTACTACAGAAAATAAAATTAATATTTACTATCCTTGAGCATTGCTGCTGCATTTTGAATGCCATTCAAGCACTGCCATTGAACGTGCTTATTTAATGGTATATTTTATGTCGAATTCTTTCATCTATGCCATGCTTAACAGCGTACTGTAATGTGAATACAGCTGAAAGCATAATTGCAAACAATTAACATGTCTATGATTGAACTAGGGGAATGCAGCGGACAGCTGATCGACCTTTAAATACCACGAATTAACATAATTGCTAATCCTCTGAAGAGACTGTTAAATAACCTGCATATGTATGTTAAATTGCATGATCTGCTTAAGCGTTAACATTGAATGCGTGCATGCTAAGTATGAATTAGTTCAAATGAAACAGTTCACATAATATACTCATTTTGTTCAGATATGTGGGGATAACTACCTATCGTCGCTTATACCCGTTATAGCATAGCTACAGGTGTGTTATTGTCTGTCAGTTCCTTGTCATTGGTCCTTCAGGGCTGCTATCAGATTTGCTTTGTTGTGCAGAAATGCTGCAATCATTAAGCCTGGCCATAAAACCGTGAATCGTTTCGCATTACAGATTGCCAATACCCCGAAATATATGCGCAAATATATAAGAATATACACACACACACACACACATACATATATTCGTATAGGGAGTAGGTTACGTACTTGGAATTCAACTTGACTACGCATATTATCTAGTAGACGAGCTCGCCTGAGTGCGTTCACAAGAGCGAACTGACTCGGACACTCTGGCACACATTTTGTACGACTTCTCCTTTGGGTTTGGGGTGTGGCTTGTAGCTAGTAGCTGTAGCTTATGCGCAATTAGGCAGCCGATGAACTTGGCAACGTTATTAAAATAGCGCATATATTATAAACAGACAGTGTTCTGTGCGGGGACAGCTGTTTATAGATCTGGGCAAAAAAAGAAGAAGAAAGAAATATAGTATATGGCTGCTGATACTACAACAAGTTGTTCGTGTCCCATGGCCATAAATCGTATTGTATACACACTAAAATCCTAATTCAACGGCAAACAGCACATGTTTCCAGTTCACTCCTCGAGGCGTGCGAAAATGCGCCATATGAAAGTATATAATTTTCAATTTTCATCCAAATTGCCGCCGTTTGCTAATTTTAGGCAAACATTTTTCGCAGGTGCTTGATTTTTATGCTGCATTCATTTGCAAGGTCTGCTTAACCATGTCCCACATTTGCAAAATATGTTTATCTCCTTCAGACTTTCAGATTAATTAATTCCTGCACTCAACGAAAAGAATTTTCGAAAATTCATTTACCCTGCATATGAACTGCATGAATTTCATTTGCGATATACATTTTTGTAAGTCAAGTCAATTTTGTTACACTCATTAAAGGGGTATTTGCTCGTCGATCAAGCTCATATTCTGCTGCCTCATTTTCGGTACGCTTTTGTGTTTATCCATGTTTGATTGACTTTTTAACGGGCTGCTGGCAATTTGAGCAGCTTGTGAGACTTGCGTTTAATTTCATTTGTGTGCATTGAATAAATCAAAATGCTTTCAAGACAACTTACATTGCCTTGCAATATGGAATTAAGTACAATAATTGACGCTAGGCTGGAAATTAAACACAATACAATGCACACACAATAGGGCAACTTTGTTAATTATTGTAAGGTTTCACAGATATTCAAGTAAACATTCATCTGAATGTTGTTTACCCAATGCCAAATGTAAATACGCTGGAGAATACTACGATGTATATATATATATATATTGTGGCCGCAAGCAAAATATACGCATATGTGCTAGAAATCTCTAAGCCAGCACTTAAAATTTCCTTATATTTTCGCAGAGCCCCAGCTTTAAGTTGGCAAATATTTTTGCATAAGCAGAGCCAGAGCCAGGGCAAATAAAATCAAATCAAACAGGAGTGCGAGCGCCACACACGTAAGCAACATTAATGCCCAACACAAACACAAACACACACAGAGAGAGAAAATAACAAATGCCCCCAGAAAGAAACTCACACAAAAATAGGGATAAAATGTACCACATACTGGTCTTCTGCTCTGACCCTCAGCAACTGTATAAAGTTGGCCAAGTTATGCCAAATTGGCAGCCTGCAGTTATTAGCTTTGGGGCAACGAAATAAATTCAAGTATTTTTCAATGCGCCCACCTAAAATAATTTCTTCAACTTTTCTTCATCTTGGCATTTTCTTTGCTATTGGTCTATTTATTAATATTTTTATATGAGAATAAATTCTTGTGGGGCTTAGACTTTATATCACAAAAAAATGCTTTTGTTGCTCTAACCTAATTTGATTGTAAGCAAAGGTAATAAAATATGTTAAAAGAAAACAAATTGAAATTTTGAGGCTTAGATTTCATTTGGGGTATCATTTAAACTTGGTCATTTATATAATATAAAGGATATATACAAATATGTTTTTTAAACATTTTAAGACAATAAATAAATAAAATATTCCAAGCAAAGTGCATAGTTTTTGCGTGTAAAATTGAAATGAGAATATAAATAAATTGAAATGAATAATATAAAAAATAAATAAGGAAACTTAAGACAATTTAACACACAAGCAAATGGATTTGTTTGGAATAGATTGTTGGGCATTGTGCAAGGTCTGCAAGGTTTTTTAACACTTCGAATAATCATTTTGACATTTTGTATTATTGTTTAAAAATAATTTACTATTTTTGTACAGTTTCCCATCGGAAACAACAACAAATTCAAAATATCGCTCAAGGAAAAGTCCTCAATGCACACCATAGCAGATTGTGTCGGGAAACAAGTTTTAAAATCGGACCCCTAATCCTGCAAGGATTCTCATATTCGTACAGGAATTAGGGTTGATTGAAAGGCTATTGGCTCAAAAGGGGGGAAAAAATATCTAACTTATCACAATACATGAAGACCACCAATAAAAATAATAATAAGAAGATAATAAAATGAATAGAAAATAATTATATTTATATTTTGTAACCTTTTCTTGGCAAAAGATAATTAAAATTCTTCAAATTATACTAATAAATTTTTTCACAATGTGAATTCCTCTGAACTACTTACAAAGCAGTAACAATAAAGGCTCAAAATATGCGATGGAATCAGGCATGCTTTTGTGCTCCTACAGGTCTATAAATAGGCCTAAAAATAACTGTATTAAGGTTTAATGTATAATGGTATTTAGCAAAGATATGAAATATCAAAAGTTGCTAAGATTAGCACTGTTAATATTTTGAGCGCAGCTGGTATTCGAATAATAATAAGAAGTTGAGGCCGAGAAGCAATATGCTGCCAGTTAAGCGATTAAAAATCAATTTGTTAACCTATGTACAATCGACAGCTGCTTGTGGCGCCTCCAAAACCAATCGAAAGTCCAGTTATTGGGCCAAGTTTTGGCCGAGTTTGTAACACGAGTCACTCAAAACTTTGACTCCCCGCAGTATGCAGCATTAATTGTGGCAAAGATACAACAATTAATAAGCGCAACACGTGCAACGGTTTTGCCAGTAACTAATAATACAGAGAAGCGTCGCCTTCTCGTTGCCACGTTGTGGCAGGATAACAAAGGGGTGGGCCATGCAATGGGACTGGGGATGATTTGGCCCATTCAGGTTCAGGCTTGGCCTGGATCACGGCCAAGGCGAAAGTTTGTGTTGAACGAGACGGCTTTGAAGTCTAATAGGATTAGCCTAACCGCCCGCCCTCCACTTAGTGGGCGTGTTTGTATGCCGCAAATAAACGCCAGCAGTGTCTGTGTGTGTGTGTGTGTGTGTTGGAGTGTTTTATCTGTGGCTAGCCAAGAAATCCGATTGATATAAATAATATTAATAATGCAGGGCAAATATTTAGCGAGCAAATTGTAACTGAATTTTATTATTGCGGCATATGTATATGAAATATATATGTATATATGAATATTGGGTAAATAAGAGTGATTTCCAGCTTGAGTGCGATTTCCTAGCCAACAGTGCGATCATTGAACTTAATCGTCAAATCCGTCTTGGCCATGTTTGTGAAGGCGCCAACGAGTTCGGTGAGGTCTGCGTTGGGCAAACGCCTGTCGAAGGGGTAGCCCATGGTGCGCCTATCCGGATACAGTTTGTCCTTGAGTCCACAGAAGGAGTACGCCGTGCTGCAGGCATCGTCCGGTGCGCTATGTGGTATTTTTTTTTTTTTTCATTAGCAATTGCCAAATACAAAATGCCAAAATGCACCACTCACTTGCTTAGCTGCTCGACCGAGTCGTTGCTATAGTCCGAAATCATGACAAACAAATCAAATTGCATTCCCTCCGGCTTGCCCTTGGGCAACAGCAGATGCTGTGGCCAGCCGCAGCCGCAGAAGCGGAAACGTGCCAGTTCATCTGCTGCCGTCGGCTGATAGTTGGCGCCCACTGCGCGGAAGGAGCGCTCGAATGGAATGGCCACCGAGGAGTCTGTCGACTGGCGGCGAATCGTATTTTCACCGGGCACCACTGTAAGCACAAAATAAAATTGCTCGAATTAAACCCAAAAAAATCGGCTGGAAATTTTAGAAATTGACTCAGATGCACTTGGAAAAAAGTCTACTTGATTTTTAGAAAAGGTTATGAATAGTAAATTCAGAAAGTAAAATTCTAAAATTTATCATTTGCATTTCTTAACTTCGGGTAGACTTCGTTTTAAGTTAGATAGAATTCGTATATGTATTTTTCAATGTATAACTTATATATATATGTAAATCGACAAACTATCATATTTTTGAAATTGTCTATTTAGAACGGGCCTTATTAGACATTTCCTTCCTATATTTACAAATTATTAAAAAAAAAAACAAGAAAACCTTTCAATTTTTAGGTTGATTTTTTTTTCAAAGTGAAAAACGGAAAGCTCGAAAAGTTTTCTAGTTTTTTGGAAATAATTTCCAAATATTCGGGAAAAAAGTCTTACAATTAGAAAGGCCTTTTTCTATTTTACAGAAATATTTTCCATTAAAAGCAAATATATTTCCAATAAAAGTATAAAAAGTAGAAGTGAAAAAACCTTTTTACTTGGCAAACTCCATTCTAATACTCAAAAAATAGTAATGAGATTATAGCTAGGCTGTTCCTTCCCTTTGAATTGAATAAAATTGTAAGCATTTTAAATTGAATTTTATGAATATAAATTCAACCTAGCTAAAATCTTTGTATATGTGCAATTTTAAGATACTAGAACATATCGAATTAAATGAATGACATCAAATAGGCCAACCTATTTACCCTATTTACTCATTTTATACTTAAATAAGTAAATAATTTAAGTAACTAGCCAAAAGTAAGAGCGTTTTACTCACGGTTTACGGTAAATTTGTCCATTTCAATGGCCATGAGACGCTGCTCCTCGAGACGCAGTGGATCATTGCGCTCATCGGTCTTGGGGCAGATGAAGATGCGGCAGGTGCCGGTGCGCCTGTCGCCAGTGTTCGTCACATTGAAGGTGTAGGTGAAGGGTGCGTTCTGCAGATGTCTAAATGAGGCCGACACATTATCGTCCTCCACGGGTCCAAAGTCCAGGCCGGCAGCCAAATTGGTCACCGACTTTTGCCAGTAGGTTAGCAGCACATTTGGGCGTGCATTTGCTGCTCCCAATTTGGCTTCCACACGGGTCACATTGATACCCGGGAACTCCAACTGGGCGTTGTTGTAGGGCGGCAGCAGCGTTTTGTGCTTGTTGAAAATGGTATCGATGAATCCGTGCCACCTGTAAAAGATCGGATCACGCATAGCCGTCGTCACATCGCCCATAACGCCAAAGTCCTCCAAGTGCCGGAAATCGGGATCGTGGGAAAACGAGATAATCGTATGGCCCTGATTATGCAAGTTGCCATAAAACTGGCTATTCACGGAGAGAGCTGGCGCCGCCTCAATCATGTTGCCCAGTATATCAATGCCGCGCTGCTCATCCAGCGGAATACGCTGTCCCTGGGTCTGTATACGAAATACGGGGTATCAGTAAGAATTAATCAGAAGTGGTCTAGTCTGAATAAGATTAGGTGTTTCTTATCTGATCTTAATGAAATTTGTAAAGTTGATCAATAATGAGAAATGGAATATTTTGTATTAATTTGGCTAAACCTTCAAAATTTGTGGCTATTATTATTATTGGAATTCGTTATATATTTAAAAATAATGGCGAACCCGGCAGAGTTATACATTCCAAATATGAAGTCTCTAGCTCAAGAATATATACACTTTTGGATGCTTCCTTCCTGCTTGTTCAGGGATAAATAAATGGAACATGCAAACATTCAATAAAGAATGTGGCAGATGAATATGCATAGACTCTTAGGGCTTTCCCGGTTTAAGATTCGTGTTACTTACATTCTCCACAAAACCCTGATCGATGGCGGCCAGGACGCGATCACGCCAGCGTTCCAATTCGGAAATCTCAATGTTGCCATCTGGGCGATCCACATCGCGGAGTAGCTGATTGGAGGCACGTGCCGGATATGTGCGATTGTTGACGCTCGACAGGATCTTGGGGAAGTAGCCCTCGATGACCTCGTCGCGCAGATTGCTGAGTGGCGCTACACGCTTCAGATTGTTGCAGATACGCTCCACATTGTAACGGGCGATCAGCTGATGGTGCATATAGTAGAAGAGTTCGCCACGACGATCCTTGTTGACCACCTCCATCGGTCCGCTGGCCGGATAGACCAAATGCCAATGCCAATGATGGCTGTTGACGCCAATATCTTCGCGGAAATAGGCCAAGCGCTGCTCCTCCTCGCGATTGGAGGCCGTATAGTTGATGGGTATCTCCAGAACGGGACGATTACCGCTCTTGGAAATCACCGATGACTCCTGGCGTGCATCCTACACGCAAATCTCATGTAAGAATTATGTTATTTCTGATGAGTGTATTAAGCGCTTACCAGAAAGGCGGATGGCTCAATAAAGTTGCCCGGGAAGATCTGGGAGATGTTGGGAATGGGCACAGTGCGTGAGTCCGGACGATGGGCAACAGCCACAGCATAGCTGTACTGGAACATCACAGGATTCACGCGATCCCTGCAAAAATACCATTAGCCCATTCAATTATTGTAGAACAATTTCAAACAAAATGCAAAATTTACTTCGTGTAGGCGGCCAGTGCGACGAACTGTTGCAAGTTGGGCGCATCCAGATACAGTTGAATTAGTTTACCCGCAATCTCTCTGTGGCGAGTGTTGAACAACGAGAATTGATCCTTCCTGCCGAGCTTTGCGGCAAAGTCGAGATTCGGTACACTGGTCAACTCCCGCAACGGAATCCTAGTTTCCACATTCTGACTGAAACGGGTAGCAACCTCCACCGAATTGTTGCGATAGCGATCCGTGTAGAAACTATCGGGCAGATCGAAGACAGTCTTGCCATTGTCACGAGTGGTGAACACTGGCTCCAGCGGACGCTGGAACAACAGCTCCAATGCTTTCAAATCCGTGTTCATTTTGGTAAGGCTGACAAGGATTAGTTAAAACAAGTGTTTTGGGACAAGTTCAAGTTGTTCTCCTCACGAGCTGTGGCAGTGCACTGTGGAAATTGAAGCCAGCCCGTGTCGTTTTTATAGCTCTTCAATTCTAACCACAACCAAATTCACTGTTATTTATGCACATGCCACAAACATTTGTTATCAACTCTTTTATTATTGTTAGTTAGCCACAAGAATTCTGTTAGAATTCGCTTACTTCCGATAAGCAAAAGTGCAATGGATTCTCAACTGTGATATATATGTACATGTGAAGTGCAGAAATGTGTTCGAAATGCTTATCTTTTATTATTTCACATGTTCCCACAGTGAAAATTTATCAAAAACCGCTGCTGTTGAAGAATTCATGTGTTTTGTTTATGATATCGCAATTTGAACAAAAGATATTTCATGTCTCCATTAACCCAAAAAATATGTAGAAATTAATTAAAAATATGTTAAGTTGAAGAGAAATCTTAATGAAACTCGGCGTATATCCGAAGTTTAACATATCATATAGCTGATATAGGAACAATCGATCGCCTATCTCGATCATGAATAGACGCATATCTTCAGCCCGTTGAAGATTGCATTCGCTTGTAGAAAGGAGTTACTCTGCTGACATCAGAATTGTTTGTTCGTTGGAGGAAGAAATCACTTTTATGTATTTATTTAAATTTCGGACAGCAACAATTCGAAGGTTTAACTTGCATGAACAAGAATCCCAATGAATTCACAACAGAACTTAAAGGGTTCAACGTTCGTTAAGCAAGAAATAAGCGTAACATTTATGAATAGCCCCAAGGCCAACGGGCAGTGCGATTATAATGCTGAATATTATGGTAAGCTTGCCTTTGTTGTTATGCTTGGGCATTTTTTACAATAAGTAGAATCCTATTCGGGGCCCTCTGGCTAGTCCACTAAATTGGGCAATACGCATATGTGTTTGGAACAGGCCTGTGGCTTAAATACATATACCACTCCACTCGTTGGTGTGAGTATTGAGTATTATTAGACTTATGCATAAAGCATAACAGACAGTTACACACTTTTCTTTTAGAGAAATACAACTTTTTGCGAGTTTAAAAATTTGTGCAAATCAATTGTTGACGCTTCGTGACCAGAGCAAAAACTTTTGCCATTGTCAATAATAAATGTAAGTTTGCCAAGGCGTTCAAATGTGCGCGCATTAATCTGTGAAATTGACAGCAACAAAGGCAGGCGTCTGGTGGCACAATATCTGTGGTTGTGGCAGCAGCACGCAGTGGGCCAACGGTAAAAAAATAACAACAAATTTTAAATAAGTTCTTAAAAGGAATCTGAAAACTAGAAGCCATTAAAAAAGTTGATAAAAAAGGGATTAATTTAATTGAGTTTAATTACGATTATAGTTTTGTCGAATACTTAAAATATTATTTAATTATTCAAATTCTTGTTTGGGAATTTGTAAATTTTGCATTATATATATTATAGTGGATTAAGATGGTTCTCAATATTTATCTATTTTAAAACGCTTTTTTAAATAATCTTCCATTTATTGGATACATTTTGGGTTTTGGTCCAGGCCTTCCAAGGACTTGCTCCACTGTGCGATATTGCCTTGAGTCGCTTCAGCTTCAAGGCCAGTGAGTTGGGGAATTCGAAAGATGATTTTCCATCATTTTGCCCCCAACATGGAAATGACTTTTTACATGAAAGTTGAATTTGCTGATGTTTTTGCCGCTGCTGCTGCTGCTGCTGCTCTTCCTCTATTTATTATATGTCCATAGCACTTACAATATGCAAAGTAATATTTCATCAAGAACGTCCTTAAGCTACATTGACAATGCCTTATCTGGCAATAATTAATTATATAAAATGTATTTTTCATGACAGTCTTTAATTGAAAATCCACTCAAAATTCGAAACGAAAAGCTTGAAAAACTTCCAAATCTTGCTAGACTCGTGCGCAAAATATGCTCAAGTTTCTTATGGCATGCCAAAAAGTTTTGACTCCCAACTTTTTGGGGTAGGCTGAAAGAGAGAAAAGTCGGCCCGTTCATCATATGCTATATAGCAACTCGTAAAATTATCGTTGAGTGTTGCTTTACTTCTGAGTTGAGCAGTTGAGCCAACAGTTGACTATGGCCTTGGGATAATGTCTAAAACATTTTGCGGGATATTGTTATTGATGGCGTAAGGGGGATGGCAGTCGAAGGGGAACCCGGTTGTTGGCTAACCACAAGAATTTGCGGACGGGGCTTATCAATATTGGGTTTGCTCGCTTTAGCACTAACTGAGTGCAAAAAGCAAGAGCAAAAATAAAACTCATTAATAATGGGAGCTTTTAAGCTAGCTGGAAATTTTCAACAGGTTAACATCGGTAAATTTAATATGCAACACAAGTGAAAAGGGTGAAAATACCCTTGGAAATTGTATTGAATATGTTGCTTAAGAGAAATGGGTATGGCACATTAGAATATTATTAAGATCTAAGCTTTGTTAGCTTTCTTTACTTTTAATTAAAAAATATAAAGTGTTACGAGACCCAACTAAAATGGCAGTTAGATTATAGCGTTATTATTATACTTTGTTACCGAAGGTATCCAGAGTATTTTTGTTATGTGCAATGTCCTCCACTACGAGGTTGGGAAGTCGATAAAAATTGATAATTGTAAATCGATAAAGCCACCTATAATTATCTCTTACAATTTTAAAGCTTTAGTTACTAAATTTAGTTGTTTGGTTGGCTCCCGCCACTAAAAGTCGGAAGTGACTGTGTTCTCCACAGTTTTTGAGCCAGAGCCATTAAATTTGGCTTGTATATTATGTTATATTTTACTATATTATACTTTCCAAAATTTGTAAGCGTGAAACAACAAATTTTGAAAGAATGTTACTAGTAGATCCCAGCAAACTTGGAAGGTAGATTTCTAGGAGACTCCTCAAACATTTTTTTTCAGCCACGCTTACTCCCGCCATCAAAATTCACAAAAGTCCAATTCTAGCATAATTTTAAAGACAAACTTTGAGAGTTGATTACTATGAACGTCCTTCAAAGATCTGTATTTCTTATATACACCCACCTTGTTGGGTGATTTTAGAGTCTTTCGCAATCAATTACGCCCGACTGCAACTTTCTCATTTGTTTTCATAATATTTAGTTGCTGATTTAAGTTTAATTTGTAAATAAATACAAAATGTCTATTGTTTCGTATTTTATTAAAGTGAAGACACTTCACAGAAACAAAAGCGTTATTATCTTTACAATATTTAGCTGATTTAAATTTGATTTGTAAAGAAATACAAAGGCGTCAATTGTTAAGTGAAGATACTTAAAAGAAAACAAAGCATTATTATTTTTACAATATTTAGTTGATGGTTTGTAAATATAGATGCATAATATTAATTCTAAACTTGTTCTCAATTTTCATAACTTGTAAATCAAGACAGATACTTAAAAAAAACAAAGTTCCATAAATGTTTGAAAGTGCTTTTTAGTTTGGCAGAATCGTACAAGCGAATCTGTTTGAAGTAAAATCGCTTTATGAAATCAAATCGAGTTTGTCAGCAAGTTTCATATTCATTTTGACAGAAACATGAGCAGAAATCTGTCTGTAGACACTCCCTAAGTTGAAGTACCATTGTAACAGAAACATGAGCTGGATTCTAGCTAATACTTGGCTGCTGGGTTCATATTGCCCATGCCATGTCAAGTGGGTCAGACGTTGCAGACGCACAACACTGTTTAACTTAATAGACATAATGAAATAATCATAGACTTAACGAATTGTAAATTGTAGCTGTGTGAAATTTCATAAATTAACTAGAGAATGGCCAAAAGCAACAGGCAGCAACCATAACAAAAGCACAAGGCATCCACAAGAGCAATCAAAGGCAGTCAAATTAGCAGTATTCAAAAGGAGATTTAATGCCAAAGTCAAACTTGTTGCAAACTTTAGCAAAATCAATGCTGACAGCAGTTTCTATTATTGTCATTCTTAAGCTGACAGCCCAGTTTAAAGCATGGGCCGTGAGCTGAGTACATGTAAATCTCTACAGACTAATTAAGAACCAGTTGCAGACAACAGCATTACAGCAGCAACTACACTTGGAAAAATAATCGCCCTGAAAGTAAGGAAACATTTCTGGTTTTTACAAATAATTTCGTAACATTATAAATATTTTTTTTTTACTATTGTTAAATGCTGTTAAAAGTAAAAATATTTTGCGTGTGTATGTGAAGGGGTATTGAGTTGAAAGTTTTATATTGATGTGTGCAAAGTCTTTCCAGTCGTTGTTTAAGCAGGAGTTGTGATGGGACAAAAAAAAAATATTATACAATACACATTTTACAAACACATAAACAGAAATGCATTAATAACTTTTTCTTTTTTAATTTTTAATTAAGAAAAGAAAATCTCTTGTTTTTTTTTGGAAAGAAATAAACTTGCATTTTAAAAGTGAAATTTCTAGATAATACGCTGAGAGTTTCTTTTTTTTTCTTAGTGTACAACAGATGTCGAAGTGCACAAATGAGAGTTGAAACAAATCTTTTAACAAACAGGCTGCGACAAATGAAAATGGGAAATGGGGAATGGGTTGTGGGTTGTGGACTGACTGTCGAATGTGCATGGGTAATACTATTACTTGTCAGTTACCAGTTACGGGTTGCCGGTTGCCTGTTGACTGTTGGCTGTTGCCAATTGTCGTCGGCTGTACAACTGTCAAACGCCATGTGGCAGCAGACAGACAATTGCTCTGTTAGCCATGTTAGTGATTGCAACAATGTGTGCCATTGCGTGCGTGTGTGTGTACAAAGGTAATTGAACAACATTTGTTGAATGCCTTGTTACAAATTGCCGCAGAATGAAAGAGTGACAGAGATAGAGACAGCGACAATAGCAACAAAAATGGGGCAAGAGTGAGAGGGACAGTCGAAGCGTGTCTAAGTGCTGCAACATCAGGTGTGGCAACGGTGTTCGCATTGTCAGCGCCAGACAGCTGGCTGATTTTTCTGTAATATTAACTTCAGGGCCATATGTTCGTTTCTGTGCGACTGTCAGCATTTTGTACCCATCAAAAAAGACGTCAAAAGGGATATTAAAGTGTAAGAAAATTGAGTACTGCCAAAAATAGACTTGTGGAAAGAGTAATCATATTTCTGAGTCTTACCGCACTTGCCAGTTTGTCAAGCAAGCCAAATATAATCAGTTGATATTATAGTCCTGCTAATAAGCTTAAAATGCTTTCACAATCTCAGCTGTCTGCCCATCTGCTCTGAGATCTTAGCAAATTGCAAAGAATTCGATTAGGCAATTGCCATGAAAATCAGTAAATTATAAGATCATATATAATCATGATATATGGCTATATTTCGTGATGCACTCCACTTTACCATATTTTTTTTATTTTTATGAATTTTCTCAAATAAATATTTCCGTTAAGCCTGCTTGTTGAAGCATGTTTCTTCATTTTGAGCTTGTGCAGTTCTGCAAACCTTAAAGCACTTCTAGAAAGGAATAAAGTTTTCAAATGCCTCGCAGGGTTTAAAACAATTTTTCGCGAAGAATTTGAAGTCATTACATACAACCTAGTTTTTTCTGCAGATTTGAGTTCGAAAATAAAAACCATATTTAATATTTCATTAATAATAAACCAGTTGAAAATATCGATTAAATTAAGAATGCAAAGGAGAGTTTTAATTCACAAGCCCGAACTGAAATTATCGGTATACGAGAACTTATATTCCAAATTTGAAGTCTCTATCGTTTATAGTCTCTGAGATCCCACAAGCAGACGGTCAGACGGATATGGCTATATCGACTAGTCTGTGGTTTTATTGATCCATAACAGCACACAGATTACTAATTACAAATTTGGCAATAAATATAAATAATGTGTTGTTTGTTGAAATTTTTCGTAATGGATTATGATGAAATTTGATAATCATTGTTTTTAAATACCGAATATTATTGAAATTGATTTTTGTTTATTATTCGTTCTCTTGAATTGGAGCTTTATTTATGAATGTATTTTATTTTACATATTTATATTTTTGTGGAATTATTATTTAGGCACCCTTCTTATTTTTCTTGTCACTGATTTGTTGCACACTGGCCGCAATGTAGCCTGTGAAGAGAACCACTTGCTTGCTGATATAGCTGAATTCTACGTAAACTGGCGTTTCTATCGTGACAGCTGGTATCAGACTCAGATCCAGACGAAAGCCGCGCATATTGTAGGCTTTGTCTTGCTTTAAGGGGCAATGCTTGGGAAAATTGCTGTAACGGTCAAGTATCTCGCGTATGATGCGCAAGAGGGTTACTTGATTCTTATTGGAGAGCAACTGGCAGCCATCAGTGGTCACATTGAGCACGACAAACTTCTGAGTGCGGCGTGGCAGGACAATGACTATGTCGAAATCGTACACATCCAGCGGTTTCACCAACACAAATTCCATATTCAACGTGCGTCGTTTCGGATTCTTGCTGAGGCCACAGTTGACGCTTGCCAAGAGATTCGCATTTGGATGGCTGCCTCGAGTGCATGTAAAGTTCACGAACTGCAGCTCAAGGTCATTCTGTACTCGTATATTCAAGTTAATCCCTATTCACGTCATATACACACACATAACGTATACGCACCTTGGCCGTAGCCTGATGAGCCAGTAGATGCCATAAGATGACGACAGAAATTGCCAACGGCGTTGCGTACATTTCGGAGCTATGTTTGAAACTAAACGCATTAAGCAAAACAAAAGCAATTGAATTGTTAATTCACTCGTTAATCAAAATCTGCAAATAATGCCAGCCACTGACGTTTGACTAATGTGCAATTAAATATAAATATTATTTGCCAGCAATAACACAAATACACTTTACACATAATATGGTTAAGGTTGAATGGGTATAACAAATAGACTATTGTAGATGACCTGAGAATTGTTTTACTGTAACAAATTAAAAAAAAAAATTACAAAAGTATGTTTATTTAATGGTAAGCTACAGACAGATATATATATTTGTTTTTTAATTTTCATTTAATTATCATATATTTGATTGTTATACCAAGAAGTTGAGCATTTTTAAGGGTATCTAATATTTGGCGTCCAATTACCTTTTAATATCCACAGTATATATGTATATATATTAATGTTTTTATTTAAGCAGGTTAAGCTTACACGCATATTTATATTTGTTTGATTTTATTTAAGCAGATTAAGCTTAAGGAAATTACCGAATAATTGCTTTAATCAATCAACATTTTCAGTTGCCATATAATTTTTTATACATAATAATAAAAGCATGTTGTTAATCATAATTACACTCTAATGGCTTGCAAAAAATAACGATTATTATTATTGCGAGATGAAATAATTATAACAATTAAATCGTAATTAGTATGATTTCAGTAGCATGCATCGTTTGATCGATAACTGCCACCGATTCTCCACTATCGATACAGGTCTGAGAAAGGGATGGATAATCGACGCGAGCGTAAATATGTTTGTGTGTATTCTGCATAGTCCCGTTACCCGTTACGATTTCGTGTATGTATGTATGTTTGTATGTATATAGTTTGGGCTTGTGAATAAATTTATGCGCTGCCTTGGTTCTTATTTCCTCTTCAGTACCTGTGCCTGCCTATTAAGCTATTATATATGTAGGATTTTGCCCTGTTTATTATTAATATAATAGATTTAAGTATATTACAGTGATATATAAATATTGGATTTACTACCTAATTTTCGACTGTAAAAACTACTTATTTCCTCGCTGCGCATCACGAACTCGATTCTCTCGTTTTGCTGTTCTTCCTTCCTTACATTAATGCTTATGCCGCTGTTAGATCTGTTAACCAGCGTTGCCACCCAACAGCACTGTAATCCCACTGTAACTACTCGTTACATATATTTAACAGCTGGGCTCGGGGTATTTCAGCATTCTTACTTTTTAAATTTGCAATAAAACTATTATATTTATTGTATTTAACAGCTGGGTTCAGGGCATATCGTAGTCCAGCTCACTCGACTACAGTATTCTTACTTGTTACATCATATATTTTCTCTAGGAAATAACACTTGGCATAGTTCCCGTGATTTAAAAAAAAAGAAGAAAACAAGTTTGTTTTAAAAGTAGCTTTTGGTTACATGGATTTAAAGTTTCTTCTACCGGTATTCTGTTAATTGCTGTGCAACAGTTGAAATAATATAATTTTAAAACCAGCTGCAGACCAACTGAGGTGCGTTCCGATGATGCCGAGCATCTGTTCGACCCCTTGGGCAGAAATTTTCCAGTTCGCATATTCTCCATTAAACAAAAGTTTCGTGAACCAGCGGATAATTTTTGTTCTACTTTACTAACATGAGTTGTGTCCAGGTTTAACCTTAATTACTAGATTTTACCCCGTTCAACTTTACCAACATGAACGAATGCAAATTGTGCACTGTTCGCTTCGTATCCTTGTGCTACGGCGTTGTTCTTTCAAGCTGTGTATGTATGTGCCACAATATGTAAACTAAGAAAGCTCTTCCTTGGGAATCGGATATGTATATTCAATTTGCAGTGCTCGTTAATAGCAATAAAATCATAAATGAAATTATACAGGTCCGACGAAGCGGCAAAAAAGGACGATTCCTTGTAGCCCTGCCATTTGCAGAGAGCAAATCTCTGAGAACAACCGTGCAAGTGGCAGGCAAGCTGCGGTAATAAAATAAAATAAAGGTCATGCCAATTTAGTTGCATAATACGCTTACGCTTACCACATCAGAGCGTATTATGGTTACATATTCAATTTCTCATATATGCATTTATTTACCAGCGGATTTAGATAATCGATACTATTCTAATGTATTTGACGCCAAGGTCTTTCGATCGATAATATTTGCTTTAAATATGTCGAACACTACAAGCTGTTCTCTTTCGGTGTAAGTCATATTTCCAGTAGTTAATAAAATGTATCACAACGGGTGAGATTGCTCAGTTTTTCATAATAAATAAATACATATTTGACGAAGGTTGATCCTTATAATAAATGATAATAATTGAATACATATGTGCTGAACGTTAATGCTGAGAGAGGATCATATTTAAAAGGGTATTGCTTGATCGATACCATCAAAGCAGATTCTTCTGTTCTTTTGTTGAATTTTGCGGCCAGCCAAGTGTGTGAAGTTTCAGCCGCAAAAAAATGCGAAATGTATTACCGCATTTCTGTGCCGCTTTTTATGTTGCACGTGCCGCACGACCAGTTGCCTTCTGCACATATCTGTATATAAATATATTGGAATTAAAAATGCCAGAAGCGTTTTCGCTTTACAAGGGCCTTTTAGGTGCCGGTTGTTCACTTTGCGTGTATGTGTTTGTTTAATTTGTTTTTTACTTTTAGGTGAAAGCAAATTTATTCTATGCAGCTGCCATTGGTTCAGCAATGAGTGTATATTTATTTCCATAATCTATTTGAATTTTATGAAATTAATTTACTTCAAAGAGGCACTTCAGCTAAGCAAATTCTTCACTTGTCGGATTCCAAGTATAAAGTCAATAAGCCGAGGAGTTCGCATTACGTGAAGTATTTGCTTGTTTTCCAAAAACTTTTCTTGAGTAATGCTGATGTAATGTTAAATATTGAATTTCTTATGATGCGCTGTGATATTTGGGGCTTTATTTTTACCGAAATCCATTTTATTTAACAAATAATTCAAATTTATAACTTTAGAATAAAATGTAATGCGTTGAACTTAATTTTCGTGTTTCGAAAAAATAAATTATTTTTATTTTTTAAATTATATAATATTATATATTATTTAATACTGACTGTAAGATAAGACTTAATTTTTTCTTTCTATTATTATTTTTAGATATTATTCCAAGGTATACTCTATTTATTTTTTATTTTTTTATTAATTTAATCTTAGTTTTGATAAATGTTTTGAGTTTATTTATTGCAAATCAAATTTGTTTGATTAAATTTGAGATAAATTAAAGTTTTTGATCTATGTATTGATTATCATTATATATTCAGATTTGCAATTTCCTCTTATTGCACTCCTGCAATAGACTGAATGTAACACTGCCACAGCAAACCTTTGAACATAAACATGAGCAGCAGGTGCCTGAGAGTGCTCATATCATCAGTCTAATCAGGTGGAATAATGCGGAAACGGAAATTGCACACACTGCCAACGCAGCGTAGACTTGCTGTCAGTTAAAGTATGTGTATGTTTGCCTGTGTGTGTCTGTGTGTCTGTGTGTGAGTGGGTGTCTGGGTAAACCAGAATCATGTAACCATATGCTAGTGCTATTCTGCACGTGGACCTCTGACCAAAGCACACAGCGAATGTGTTGGCTATGAACATTTTGTGGTTAAACATAATGCAAAATATTTCCTTTTAAGGATGAGAGTGGCGGTTTGTTGGCAATGGAGTACAGGAAATTTTAGTCGGCATATTAATTAAAAATTACATTTGGAATCTAATTATATGTTGCAAGTTGTGTGCACAATTTGCACCTGAGTGCGTCAAATGGAATCTGACTACCTGGTAAGGCTGGTTACGATAGGCGTTATTGGCGCTCTGCCTGGCAGCGTCTGTTATCGGTGCCAAACACACATGCCACATGTCTCAGCACATATCAGTTGACTGAATTTCGGAAAAGTGGGCGTGTTGTGATCCAATGACATTAACTTCAACTAGCAGTCTTAAATTGAACTTTCTGAACAGCTAATCTGAGATACACATCACGAGAATCAATAAATAAATTTAAAAAAATGTTATGGTGCTTGACAAGAATGTTTAAGCCAATTTTTGTTAATTTGTCGACCTTTATTTTTAGTTTTATAAATTAATTTTTTCACTTTTAGTCAACATATGATAATTATATACTTAATGGTTTGGAAACTAATGGCACAGGTCAACTTTTATATTAAATAAATAATAATAAAATACAAAATAATAGTTGCGGTCAGTGTTCTTAATATTTCAATGACTAAGACAGAATTGACGTATAAATGTTAAATTCTTAAGTTTGGAAAAATGTTGAGGTTCATATAATATATTACAGTTTTCTTATCACTGTTTACTTCATTGATATTCAATCTCCCTTACAAAATGTATCGTTATTTACAGTGAGTGTCATTTGTTCATAACCATAAAGTCTAATCAATTGCCACTTTGGGGTTTGCATCAAATGTCAATGTTGACTGATAAGAATCGAAACATTTGGTTAACCCTCGCTCACACACATACACACGCATCCGTTCTTATCGCTGGTTAGCGGAATTTACTAATAAAAATAATAAAAAAAAATGTATATATTAACAATGTTCCCAGTCGCAACAGCTGTCAGTGCTTTTGCGGCTGTTCGGTGACTGTTGCCTCCTGCTGTTGCCTTCGGGAGTCTCTGAGAATTTACCAGAAGCAGCACCTGAGTGGTTAACGCTGCTCCTGCTATCTGTGGGTGTTGCAAAAAAAAAGAAGGAAAGTAATATTAAAAACGTCAGCAATATATACATCTCGATGTTGGCTTAGTGCTTTTCCATTTCAGCTTTCAGTTCTGCCTGTACTTCTGGGTATTGAGGGTATTTACAGCAGCTGTAATGCTTCAAATAATTTCGAGTATCCTGACAACAAAATGCGAGATTTGTGTGGGGAGAATAACAGGAGGATAGTAGCTGCTTGAATAGCCATTAAATAAAATTTATTTACTATGAATCTAAGCCAAACTTTGAGCAATATCAAGATTATCTCTGCTTGGTATAAAAAAGAGTAGCAGGAAAATACGACAAGATTAAATAGATATAAATCGAATTTGGTGCATAGCTGCGTAGGGTATAGAAAATAAGACGTGACACTTTTTCATATTTCATTATAATACTGTCGCTGTTGCATTAAATTTCACACTGCTTTTATAATATTAATGACTTGTTGTCTGTTGCAATAAATTAACTTAATTGCAAATTAAAAGTGTTGTTCATCGTTGCTCGATGATAAAATGAACTCCATTGTTTAACCACAAAGTTTTGCAAAATGGGTGTGGATTTAATTCTGAGAAAACTAGAAGACAATTAAAAATTGAATAAATCCAGGACAGAGTCCATTGTGAGAGTCTGTGTGAGCCTGTTGAATATCTGCTAAGCTACAAATAAATGTGTCCTGAACAAAGAGCCGTATTATATCAAAAATAAAATAATTGCACTTGTTAATTCTACCACAGAGTCGTAACAGCACAATTAGCTTGTTCATTTAATTAAGTGTTTCTCATTTGTGTCTTCTTGCAGTTTTGTCCAACCTGAAGAAGCGCTTCTTTAGGCGCCACCGGCCGCCACCATTCCTATGCCAGCCCGCAAGGGGCTGCTCGCGCCCCAGAACACATTCCTGGACACAATTGCCACACGGTTCGATGGCACGCGTAAGTCAAAAGATATATTATACACAAACATTTATATAAACAAGGGCAAAAGTAGGAGGAGGCAGGTGGACATTTGTTCCACCGCATCTTTACTTTACAAAAAATAAATGTGGTTTGGATTAAAATTTATACACAACATTACAACTCGGCAATTTAACGAAATTCGGACTCGCCTGGCTGGCTACACCCCTTTATATATATGTATATACAAATTAGGAAAATAAGAAGCTTACTCGGCGCTAATTTACTTGCAATTATTTTAATTATATTGCCCCTTTGTGGCTATGACTCTGACATAAATTAAATTAAATTTGTGCATTTTTGTGTAGAAATCAGGGTTGAGTTCAGTGAACACTTATCAAACAAGCAAGAAATTACAGTAATAATAATATTGTTCAAGGACATTTTCCCCACTGTCAGCTAGCTTTCATATTTGTGCCATAAGAGCATTTTGTAAGACACACATGTGTTTCTTTTCACGTACAGCTCCATTTATTAGGTGAAAATGTTCCACAACTTGTGCTGCAATGCATCCCATGGAAACTGTCATCGTCATTGTCATTGTTATCTAATGATAGTTATCTATATGATAGATTACTTAAAGTGATAGATATTCACTGCCTCTGTGCTCAGTTCTGTCTCTGTTTAGACTGCAGCATATGTTTTCACAGTTGCGAAGGTGTCAACAAAGGCTTCACATTGTTTTCTTACAAACATCAATACATGTTCACAAGGAATTGGCTGTTCTGGTAAGCATGTGCCATAAAGTAAACCATGTCCAGTTCTTATTAATTGCTGGCGCATTTATCAAATTTTGCAACTAATCTCTTACAATCCTTCTCCGAATTTGCTTTGAATCTATCTAACAAAAATCCTCTTATGGCAGAAGTGAAGAGGATTGCCGACAATGGGGATTATATCCATGAACAATGAGATTCCGAAGACTTGTGGCAATCATGAAAAGAAAACTGAGAAAAAGCCCACAGAGTATTCCGTCTTTTATGTTTTTTATTAAAGAAGGTGTTAATCAAGTCTAAATAGGCCATATTATTGCTAATCGCATAATAAAGACGTTTTTTTATTTATGAAATCACAAATAAACTTGTCTGTGAAATGAGAAAACCCTTCAGAAAGTTCTATTATTAGAACAGTTTTCGTACACGCGTTAATAATAGTTTGAGGAGTAACATTGGCAAGCTGCGAAAAAATATTTATATATATTTTATATACATTATGTCAAGAAAGTGTTTGGATACAGAAAAATTCATAGTTTCTAATTTCGTTTGCAAAAATATGTATTTTATTATTGATTCTTAATCGTTATCATTTGTCTTCTACAAACTGGACTTCTTAAAACCATAAAATGAACAAGTTAAATGAATCACCTCCTCAAACGCATCACATTTTGCATGCTTACATTTGGGCAAACGAAAGCTGCTTTTCAGTACTATTATACGTGCAATCCGTGAAAAAAATTGCATAGGAAACAAAAATTCTAAATTTAACATACAATACGACAAGGAAATAAAATGTAAAATGATTTAACAGGATTTAAATACATATGTGCATAGAGGGACGACTCAGCTCGTTGAACTGATTAATATTTTATGGGCAGGGAAATGCCACGTTGCGGAAATGGGCAAGCATAAAATGGAAAAGTTAAATGATACTTACGATATTTACTTAGTCCTTCAGCGTTACATAATTTGCAATGTATTATTTATGGGAGTTTTATTGAGACGGCACTGTGCTTTAATGGGACATAACGCTATGTATGCATAAGCCCGCCCAAGCGGCATTTGGGCAACTCATAAAAAATGTCACAGGAAATGCGGGTGCATGCATATAAAGGGAAATCGGCCCTTTGAGTTTTGGGCGTTGGCACGCGAACAACGCACCGCATATCGGCAGGAGCGGAGGCGTAGGACAATGACAAGGACAATGAGTGTACCCATAGAAATCTGCACTGGCAAGTTAAAACTGCAGATTTACGTTAATGTTTGGGTTTGCATTGTGTCCTGTTGCCAGGCAACGGAATACACAATGGATTCTCAGGCACAAGGAAACTCATAAAATGATTTCCATTTGTCAAAACCTTTTCAATTCTTCATGAATGCACAAATAAAACTGTTAACTGTTCAACTTTTCAGCTTTAAACAATGCGAATTTCATTAGCTGACAATTCAAAAATGCTAATAAGCTAAATGGACATGCAACCCTTTGACATTTCTCATGGCTACCTGTATCTTTTCTTTGTCAAGTGATTCACTCTGCAACATTTCACCCTTCGAGGGGGCTAGCAAAGTGATTAATGGTCTCTATGGCTAATATTGGTTACTTTACCTGTAACTTTGAAATTTGATGTAACAAGCACATTGAGACCTCACTTGTTATCTGATTGTAACAAAGGCTTGACAAATTTTAATAAAATGTCTATTTTAGGCCAGCTTTTTGCTTTTGACAAAAAATAAAATAAAAAATTCCTTTATAAATTAAAAATTATCAATCTTTTTAAGAAAAATCAACCCGAAATTTATAGAACGCTATTCATTTGGCAGGGACAGCTTACCTTTTTATTAAGCAATTGTTAAAAAAAAACCAGGTGTTTTCTTTCCCTAATTCAAGGGTACATTTCGCTATAGAATATACAAATTTGTGAGATTACAGGCTGTTTTTATATGAGTACACTGAATTCTTAATATTAAGCATTAGTATTTTAAGATTTTACATTTGCACACAATTTGGGTAGTTTATAAATTCATATTAATTAAATTATAATAATTTCTTAAAACCAGAAAAACTTTCTAGTTTTCAGATCGATATACATTTTACGTCGGTTTTTAAATTTCAGCGCGATTTTTTGTTATGCAAGTAATGCATTGACTTTTAATATACTCTGTAATTTATATCAGCATAACAGGGCAGTTTAATGTTTATGATAAACAAGCGAACAATACTCATTTCTAAATAAATAGATAAGTATTTCCTTTTCATCTTTCTCTTCCTCTGACTCTTTTGTCTCTGTCTTTATTTTGCTAAGTCGCTTTCACTGCTATCTATTCCTGATTTTTTTTCTGTTTTCCTTTCTTGCGCTTCTTTCTCTGACTATCTCTTAGAGATGGTTGGTTTATCTTGCTCTTTGCCAATATCTCTATAAATCTCTTTTGTTCTTACTGTAGTCTTTCCATATTAATTACTGCATTTCAGTGTGACTTTAATGGTCTTAAGTAATGCCAACAGATTGTAGTACATATTACCAAATAAATAGACGACAGGCAATAATTTTTGGATGGCACAGCCTGTAAGTGATTTGTCTGCTGGGCGCACATGGCGTATAATTGTTGTTGTGCACAAGTTTAATGCGCGTTGACAAGCTGTGTGCAAGTGACATATATGCATGTTATGTGTCTGTACATACATATTCACATACATTTACATATACACATACGTATACATATACCTATACACATAAATATCTGTAGAATTTTTGCCTAGTCAGCACCTCAGAGAGTATGTACAGTATGCTGCTCAGTCAAGTATTTAATATGAGAAGAATGTGCCCAGCAGCAATTGGCAGACTAAACTGGCTTTTAAGGTCACTTAACTTTCTAATGGCATCAAATACATACACTAAATGATTAATAAACTTTTTTTTTTTATATGTTTTCATAAAATTTGCTGTTCGTTATATTTGGTTTATTGATTCCATCATTCATTTACAACTTTATGTGTGGGTTGCAGCTGGCAATCTTTCATTGAGTGCAAATTGATATTCTGTCTATTCATAGCCACTCAATGCAGCCTTTTTACAAGTACAAATTGTATGTTCGCTTTTATTTATGGTCTTGTCAATAGATAGACACAGGCTTTTAAGGGGATTTGCGTATAATACTCGAGTTGATTCACTCGTAATGAAGGCTTTTGAAATCCCTTTAATCAGCTTTGACTGTAATCAAAATCGGCGTGTTTTTTTACCATTAATTTATTTATAACTAGTAAAAATGTTGGGCTGAATAATATAGTGGAATCGTAATAAATTTAAAAAAAATACATATTTCTTAACAGCAATCAGTACGGATCCATTAATTGGCAGTAAAGAATTTATGATTTTTCATATTTTTTTTAACTTTATTACTCGAGTTTATTTGGAAGTGCAGATAAAAACAGTGAAATGATTTTCATGTATTCGCATTTCCATCCCGTCACTTTTTGTGCTTGTGTTTACGATTGCAGAGGAACTTCTCACGGGAGGCAGTCAATTTTTGATGAATTGTTGCAGACAGTAGCAAGAATTTAATTTCAGTTTATTCTCAACACAGAAACGAGAAGCACAGAGAAGCGAGCCGTGCTGCAATTTAATTACATTTTTGTTGTTTGTTGAAATCTTTTATTTGTTAAAATAATAGATCGTTGGCTGCAGACCAGCTATAAAATTCATTCCACAATATAGCACATAACACAGTTTAATTAAGTGTATTGAAAATTGCATAGAAATTCACAAACATTTCAATAATTTTGTGTGCTGCTATGAATTTTTAATCCTTATTCCTTATTCATATAAATATTTTTTAATCTATTTATGAAATTGAAATAGAAAATCCTTTGTTTTTGTGTTTTGAATATGATTTTAAATTAAATCTGACAAAATTTAAAAATTGATGAATTGATTTAGTAAAAAAATGAATAAATCTGTCTTTCAGCTGGGAATAAACCAAAAATAAAATAATCTGGAAACAATTTCCACATTTGTTCAATATTTGGCGCGTCACATCATCATTAGTTATTTTTGTGGAGGTTTTAATATGAATTTGAATTTGTTGTTACGAACACGAAAACTGAACTTGTAGCCTTGACCCACGATATTCCACAAATCTACCAAAATACCGTCTTATTGATCATTTACTTGTTAATGCCACTGATTGCCATTGATAGTCATTCCGCCAATCATGTATACAAATGTAGGGGCATAGCTTAAAGTCAAAGAGCAAATTGTATGAGGCCTTAGGTCGGACAATGAAAGCAGCAGGATGTCCTTCACAAAGGGAACAAAAACTATATGTTATGCTATCTACCCAAAACAAAATAAATGCTCCATCATTCATTTTACTTCACAGACTCGAACTTTGTGCTCGGCAATGCGCAGGCAAATGGCAATCCAATTGTTTATTGCTCGGATGGGTTCGTGGACTTGACAGGATATTCACGCGCGCAAATTATGCAAAAGGGTAAGTCGACAGAACAGAGGCGGAGCAGAGGCGGGGCCGAGGGGCAGACGGATAAAAGGAAAGACGGACAAGTTGACGGAACAAACAGCTCAAGACTTCAATACTCATTTTACTGTATTTGTACATTTTGTTCAATTGTTTGCCAACGACAACGCGCAACATCGCACAACAACAACAACAATAACAACAACATCGATGATGACAAACAAAAATGCAAAAATGAATGAACACTACAATAAACAACAAATAAAAACAACAACAACAAACCCAAAACAGGCTGCTCATGTCATTTCCTTTACGGGCCGGATACAAAAGAGGAGCACAAGCAGCAAATTGAGAAAAGTCTTTCAAATAAGATGGAACTAAAATTGGAAGTTATTTTCTACAAAAAGGAAGGTAAGGCAACAAAAAAAGCAAAAAACAAAAGACCTTGAATTGCGTGGCAAATTGTGTTGTAAATTGTTTTCATTTTTAATTAAAAACGTTTTTTTTTTTTTTCAACTTCATTTGGCATTTGGGGTAATTTGTGCTCGACAAAGAGGAAATTACACGCCACGTTGTTTGCGGCATCAGCTGACACAGTGGGGGAAATTGTGGCACAGCTGCAAAAGCTGACCACACACAAAATTAACATAGTATTCTTAAGATACTTGTCGATTTTAATTTATGCAGGAAGCGATGCAAATAAAAGCATAACATAACATTTAAATATAATAGTCTGATTCCACTATGCCCAACTCTTCTCACATTCAACATTTCGCTATTCCAATATGAGTTTCCGTTAGCTGATCGGCCTTTTTTTATTTGCCTTTGCAAATGAGTAACAAAAAACAATTAAATTAAATATAAGACAGACCAAAACCACTTTTCAGCAAACAACACAAGAAATGTAAACCAATGTAAAAAAGGAAAAGGATTTCATTTCCATTTTGCTGTCAATATTAAAGTGCTTATTGTTTGTGTTTATGAGTAATAAAACAATTAATTTAAACATAAGACAGACTACAACCATTTTTCAGCAAACAACACAAGAAATGAAAATGGATTTCATTTCCATTTTGCTGTCAATATTAAATTACTTATTTTTTGGTGTCCTCTTTTTATAATTTAGGTCAAATGGTTTGTTTTTATATACTTGGTTATATTTTGAATTCCTTCAAGATTCGCTTTTACATAGATATTCACATCCGACTCGGTCTGATCAACGAAATATGTACATGGTTGTTAATCCTGATCAACAAAATATGCACTTCATAGGGTCAGAGATGCTTGACCTGAAGTCAGCAAAACACATGTTTAAGTCATCATTAAATTAAACTAAATTAATTAAATTACAGTTGTATTTTTAAGCAGACGTTTAACTTTATTTTCTATTCTTTTTTCGTTTTATAAAATCAATACAAAAGTCGAAAAAACATCGAGAAAAGAACAAAGTACTCGGGGCGAATTTCTTACATTCACAAAATACTTTACGAATGTTGATCATACAGAATGTTGTGCCTTATGGGAAAATGACAAGGTCAACATCCTTTACATACTGTAGACATGCAAGAATGGAAGAAATGTTAAGAATGGAATCAGGCTATAAAACGAAGTGCGCCAAGTTTCTGACTGCCTTAAATAAAGAAGCTACGCAAAATCGCAATTCACCTTAAAATGCTTTTATTAAAGCCATCGAAATACTAAAAATAATGCTTAAGCATACATTGTATAAATAATTATGTGCCAACTACAAACTTTGTGGAAGCCATCAGTTTTCAGCTGGTGTCATTGGCTTGTAAGCTGAGTGGGTCTGTGTTTTATGGGGTAAAACTTTAAAGCTGTGGTTCACCACATGAGAGAAAATTGTGTTAAGTTTTCACAACCAGCTGTAAGGGATTATCACAATTGCTTACCGAAAAGAACAACATCAACAACAACAAGAGCAATAAGTGAAAAGCTGTAAGTCAATTGTGGCACACGTCCACGTGCGTAGGTTGCACAAAAAGTTTGTCGTTTGCCAGCTGGTTAACCACCAGTGGTTCCACCAGAGTCTTGCCACCGGCACTCTTTTGAAGCCTTAACCATTCGTATTGACTTTTAATTTAAGACACTGGTTGACGATGCTGTTGCTGTTTCTGTTTCTGCTGCTGTTGCTGATGCTGCTGTTTCCAACACCGATGCCGCATCAATTTTGCGGTGCGTGGCTCGCATCAGATGGCTTTTATTGAGTTAGGAGCCCTGCCTTGAACTAGTTTCCTGTGGCCTGTCGCAGTCTCACAGGAGCAGCTGTGCAGATCCTGTTTCTGCCGCACAACACAATAAAGAAATAAATTTGTTCGCATTATTTTCGCACGTTCGTATCGCATTATGTATTTTTATATATTTTGCTGTGCTTAAATGCGGTCACGATTAAACAGCAGCCAGAACGACCTATCTTCAAGTGGTTGAATGGATATTATGTCTTTTTGTCTAGGCTATTAGCTCGTCTATAAGTTTTCTAATTAGCACTGTGCTTAAAACTTTTAACTCACTATAGACAGGTTGGATGGGTTTGCTGAATTCTTACTAATAATTATGCATTAGTTTATGGCCTAAGCACCTCGAGCGATATTTACAATTAACTCTGATAATTAAAATGGTGGTTCTATTGTGGTCTAATTGAGTTGGCATGCAATTATTTTTTGCATACCATTAAGCGCTAATTAGCTACGAGTGCCTCACAGGGCACCGAGGCAATCACAACTGGCTGCTTACTAAATTTGCATTTGACTTTGCAGCACGCGACGAAAAGACCACAGCTATGTAAGCACAAATTAAATCGATTTGCACCACAAAATGAACTGAATTGGAAATGATCAATCACCAAATTAACAAGTCGTATTCACTACTTAGTTGCACTCGGAAAAAATATACATGTAGTTTGAAAACTAGCATCGACGGCAATTCACTTTAGTATTCTGAAAGGGTTTTTCGTTTCTTAATTTAGAAAAATATGTATAATTTCCAGGGTGTACACTGAACGTTTCCATTAGCTTTTAGTTACATTGTTATTAAAAATTAGTATTTTAAGATTTCGCATATACATTTTCGATAGTTTATAAAACTTATATTAATTAGAAAAAGCTTATAATTTTTCAAAGCTGAAGTCTAAGTCGAGTTTTCTGAATTTCAAAAACGATTGGTTTAATTTATATTTTTTAGAAAGATTTGCTCTTATTAAGTTATGTATTTCTGATTGTAAGGATTTTATTTCCATATATTTAGAAATTATTTCTAAAAAGCTGAAGATTTTTATAGATTTCAGAGCGATTTTAATTTTTATCGATTTTCTAGATTTCGAGGCTATTTTTTCTTTTAATATTTTAAGCGATAATATTAGTCAACGTATACAACTTTAAAAAAGTATTTCTGTTTTTATATAAGTTTGGTTAATACTCCTATTTTTTTGGACGTGATTAATTTGATAAGCTCGAAATAAATGCTTATTTTCTTTCTCTGCACAGGTGCTCCTTTTTGGTGTCTTTTTGATATTGTGCCCATTAAGAATGAGAAGCGGGATGTGGTTTTGTTCCTGGCCTCGCACAAGGACATCACGCACACTAAAATGCTGGAGATGAATGTGAACGAGGAATGTGATAGCGGTAAGTAGACAAAAAGAGTTAGCGAAATATAAAAAAGTAAATAAAAAAAATAGAAACTAAAAGTGTAAGTCATAAATTGCACATGGTCTGGCCATGACAGCAGATAAAACAGCGAATTCACATAAATTAATGCACTTTCGCGCACAAAGTTACAAGCAATCATTAACAATTAACACAGACACAATTAATGCACAGAGAATTATGAATAAACACACACAAACACACACACACACACACACACAGGCACAACCACAACCACAATCACACCCACAGCCAAGCCATAAGACTTAAATAATCCGTAAGTTTAAAAAGCAGATGTGCAAAAGTTTTTAAAAGATTAGCCAAACGTCTTGGAAAGGTACAATTTGTATATATTTTGTGTATATGTCAGCGGCTACTCTGTTTTCCAGAGTTGTGCACGAATTTGCTTAAATTTGTATTTTATTTTTATTTTTGCTTTATCATCTTGTCAACTGTGTAGCATTTTTGGGTATGAAGACTTTTTGGTTAACCTGGGGTAAATTTATCAATAGCTTTTTGAGTTCTTGCATTTGAAAATAAATATATCACAAGCTAAGTTTTATTTTTTTAAATATTTGCCTGTGCGATTTTTATGCGTTGTGTCAAATTGTGTTTTATTTATTTTTATTTATATTTTCTCACATGAAATGGATTTTAGTTTCAATTAATTTAGCCTTGTTTAGAGCTTTGATATATTGATGATATATATGAAGGCAAACATAAAAAACTTGTTTACTTTGCAAGATATAACAACTAAAAACTAATTTTTAAACACCTGCCTATTTATTTATTTATTGTTTTTGTAATGAAATTTCAATGTGAAGGAGAGGGTATGCAATCTTCGGTTATCAGCAAAATAACTTTTATTTTGTGTTCTTTTAATTTAAATAAAATTTGTGTGCAGCTCTAAATCAATTTCAGTTCAACTGCATTTTACTTATTTTCCTATTTATATTCAACTAGTTCGAATGAAAGCTTTACTGGATTTTGTGTATTTAGACTTTACTTTAATGGAAATGAAATTTCAAATGTGAACTGAAGGCAATTTTGAATACGTTTCAAGGCGATTTAAATGGAATTTTAATTTAATTGAAATTGCTTAAAATGTTTTCTGTTTAAGAGACTACCAATTAGACCCACAATCTTAAGATACTAAATACAGTCGGAAAACAATTTTAGTTAGCATTTAGCGAATTGGATTCCGAATTTGATATGCTTACAACTGTGAATGGTGAATAAGTTAGTACAAAATGTCTGCTTAATTCCCCAGAGGACAGAGAAACGTTGGAACAAAAGAAAATGAATTGTATGCTTAAATATTGATGTGAGGGGAGACAACTCCAAATGGATGCTCCCACACAATTGTCTAAAGAGAATGACACGGGAATTGTTTGGCTGGTGCGCCTCGAGTGAAATAATTCGCGTAGGTCATTGCGCATTCAACTAATGCGGATTAGTCGAGTAGACTGAGTTCAGTTTTTGGAATTGTTGGTCGGGTTGTGTGGCAGCATTGTTAAGCTTGATGGCTGCTTGCACTCTGGCATTTTGTGGCAGGTTTCATTTGCAGTTTTATTACCATCATTATTCAGCACTGTGTCACTGTCACTGTGTTGTCACTGCTCTTGACTTGCCAGTCTTGTGTGGTTTTTGTGGATTTGCAGCTATGCAAAGTCCCGAGTCCTCGCAAATTATGAGCATCTCACAAACAACAGCAGTTGTCGGAATCACTTTTCCCCAGTTTTCCGTATGAGTTAATCATATAATGCTGTTGCCATGCACTGTCTTTCTGTTAAATAGTATTAACAATTGTTTTAATAGCAACATAATTCGTTCAGTTGTTGCACAAACTGTTGCACACCGCATGCATTGCCACAGAACTTGCTGTCCGTCTGACAGCTTATGTTCTAAAGCAACCCAAAACCCAATTGTGGTTGACAGCTTTGTGCGGCCTGTCGCATCTAAGTTGTAAACTTTTATTTATAGTTTGCCACTTGTTTAATTGTGAAATTGTTTCCTAAAACAATGCTTTTTCTTTTCCTCATTCCAAGTTTGATTTTTCTAAAAATAAAGAAGAAATGTATCTAATTTTTTTTTATATGAGTACCAATAATTCATTCAGTATCTTTTTGTTATTTATATTATGATTAAAAATTACTAATTTAAGATTCATATAATTTAATTTGAAAGGTATTATAATTTTGGCATGACATTCCTTCTCATGAGCTTAACTTTTTATCAGTGTTGTGACAAATGACTATCTTCTTCAATCTACTTTCAAATTTGTTAAAATAGCATTAAAAATAATTTTTTTAATGCCATTGTGTAGTGCAAAGCTGAGAAAAGTGCATCATTGTCTGCATAATAAAAGGTGTACTCCCATATAATTTACGCTTTCTATAAATAAGTTTTTCGATACACAACAATTTCAGTTTTCGAGCTTAAATTTTCCAAGCCTCGCTAACCACCAACCACAAATGAATGGCACATTTTTAATCAAATTTATTTTCAAGTTCTTCAGACAGTCTAACATTTTGTTACTTCTTTTATAGCAAGTTTACAACAAATATCGACTGTAAATATTTGTGGGCCACTTTATCTTTATAATATTGTCAGAATATAATCTTCATTTTGGCATAAGCCTTGATATTTTTGGCAAATACCAGTGATTGGCTGGCTCATTGAATGACAATCGACATCAGTGGCAAAAATTGGGATTTGTCAAAATGTCATCGCCATATTAACTAGGATTTGGGCCAGGCCCAGCAATTAGTCAGATAATTTTAAAATGTTACAACAATTTGATGGTTGAGATTTGAAGGCAATTGAATTATCATTCGGTCGACATTTATGTGAGTTGTGAACGGCAGCGGCACTTAAAACGACCGTTATTTTACACATCATTAGGCGTGTCAGGAATGCGGCCCGTACTCTTAACAATTTGTTGCCTGTGCGGCATGTGCGGCATGTGCGACACTTTTCTCAACATTCTCCACACTTGAATGAATCGCGCATATTTAGCAGTTCCTTCGACGTTTCTTTTTTCTTCAATTTGATGTCAATTGATGTTTTGTGTATGCGTCGGGCATAATTTACGTGCTGTTCGAATTGGAGAGTTGGAAACACCACCAAAATGTTGCTGGGCCCACGGCCCGGATCATTGAGGTCCCTGTCAGCTTAACTTAATTGGCATTTTGATATGACAGCGATGGGTTTCGGGCTTGGGCTCAAAATTGAAATCAAATTCGTTACGCTTGTTTCAGACCCTTGAAAGAGCAGTGTTTTATTTCCGTGATTGCATTTTAATACACTTACTAATTATTTTGCAGTAATAAATTTGTCAAAATCAAATAAAACATAATTTCTATGATAACGTTTCTATGTCAGCTTTATACAACATATATAAACAAGTAATCCAATGCGTACAGTTTTAAAAAAATGTTTTATTTGCTACCAAATTTGCGTTTACATCTCAAGTTTCATTTACATAGCAAACTGGCTGAACATATCAAATGCGTTACACACTTTATAGCCCTTAAATTGGATGGATAACGAAGCCAATTTTTACACTTTATTACAACATCAGAAATTAAATTCTTATAATTAGTATGCTGCTTTGTCCCCCAATTTATGTTATTCATTTTGTGTTATTTGGTTTTATTTTTGGGTCTAATTTTTCACAATCAAGCTAATTCAAATTTATAGCAACACGCGCTGGCTTTGAGTTAGTCGAGAAAAATAAAATTAACTTAAATTTAATGAGACTGTTTGAGGTTGTGCCTCGGTGCTTTGTGTGTGTGTGTGTGTGTGTGTGTTGAGATTGCGGTTTACTTTCATCCTGGTGGTCGATTACAGTGCATGCCAGACTTGATAACATACCAACAAATTTGCAGGCATCTTCGGTGTCTTTGGTGTGGATAGCCCCCCGTCGATTTATCATCCGCCTGGTGGCCTGTGACTTGTTATATTTATTTTTGAATTATTTTCCATTTGTGTCTTGTGACTTGATCTTTTTGGTAAACATTTGTTTTACTTTATGCGAATGAAAATATTTCTACGAATGCAAGCTGAAAGAATATTTTTTCAATTTTTCTATTTTAACTTAAGCTGTGTTATTTTATTTGTTGTTTTTTGATAGTCTGTTTGAAATGCATTCACTTGTGCTGTGTTGTGTAAATAAATGTACATATTTTTGTCACGCTAAATGCCGCTGGCAAAATCAAATCATTCCTCGTTGAGTAGAAATGAAAGTTATGCAACTACAAATGTTAGTTAAGTGAAGGTAAACAACAAAAAAAAGGTTAACAAAGAGAAGAAACATTAACAACTTGTACTTTGTGTCGCATTAAGACTAAATTTGTTTAACTTTAGCATCAAACGTAATTGAAATATTTTTGGCCATGCGCTCCATAGTTACTTATTGCTAAATAATGTTTAAAAACAATATTGACTAAACGAAAAACATATACTAAAAATATAAACAGATATTTTATTCAAATTGTATTTGTACAATTTCTGTATATTTTCTATCTTTGTGCTCTTTTTTCTTACTCTAACCGGCATCATCATTGTAATTAAACCGACACAATAATAATAATAATAATAAAATAAATAACGTCAAAATAATACCAAAATAATACCCAAATTATCCAAATATCCACAATCCAAATAAAATTATCATAATATAATTGTCGACGCTTGTGTGCTGCATCAATTGAAATTGTTGTGTTGCGAATCTGTAAGTTTTTGCCCTTACAGCTGCACTCCTGGGCGCTAGATTCCGTGCCGGCTCCAATGCCGGCATGCTGGGATTGGGCGGCCTGCCCGGCCTGGGCGGACCGCCGCCTGGCGATGGCAGCGACGCGGATATTGGTGAAGGCAACAATTTGGATGTACCTGCCGGCTGTAATATGGGACGACGTCGCAGTCGTGCGGTTCTATATCAGCTATCCGGTCATTATAAGCCCGAGAAGGGCGGTGTCAAAACCAAATTGAAGCTGGGCAATGTGAGTATGACAGCCTGTACACTCAACCCCAATTCCAAAACCACATCAGCAAACAATATTAACAAAAACCACAACAAAAACAAATGAAGGGTTATCCCTACTCAAATTCAATTAAATGTGTTTTGCTTTAAAGTTAAAGTAAAGCTGGTCAGGACCAGACATACACACTTAGATCTATAGTATTATGCATGTTAATAATATAAAAATACATCTTTGATTAAAAAAATACAGACAAATATTTGTTGCAACAAAATTTAGTATTCCTAAGAAAAGAAAGTATGCAGAAATAAATTAGAAATGTTTGAGATCAGAGGAATATTGTTTGTCTATCAAAAAAATTAATGTATTTTTTTTAAGATAAATTAAGAGAGATCGGAATTGTTAATTATTAAGTCAGGGAGTGTTTCAAAATAGTGATTTAGCTGATTAAGGAATTTACAGGAATTCTTAAGGTCAGAAGTATTGAGTGTAATTAAAGAAAAAAATTTAAGAGACATTGAAATCTTATAATATTGTGTAAAGGAGTATTTAGAAAGCATTAAAAATTGTATTTTTATAAATTGGAGAATTTTTAGCGTATAGTAGATAGTGTGGTTATAAAATTGTTATATATTTTATTCAACTTTAGTAGACAAGCATTTTCACCCTCTCAACTTTAGTGCTTAGCCTTTGCACTGGGTGTGCCATTAATTGAATTAACCATTTTTGCTAACCCGCAGGTTTTTCACATTCTAATGCGCCAATCCGTGCATTTAACTTAATCCTTTCACGCGGTGTATTTAATTGAAAATTCACTTTTGATGTTTACGCTTGCTTGATTTATTTTTGAACTTTGTAGAATTTTATGCATTCAACTGAGGCACCATTTCCCGAATACAAAACGCAATCGATAAAGAAGTCACGCTTGATTTTGCCCCATTACGGCGTATTCAAAGGCATATGGGATTGGGTCATACTGGTCGCCACCTTCTATGTGGCATTGATGGTCCCATACAATGCCGCATTTGCCAAGGCGGATCGTCAGACCATGGTCTCCGATGTCATTGTGGAGGCGCTCTTCATTGTCGGTAAGTACATACATACTATGCCATAACGATGAAGATGATGATGATGATGATTATGATGATTTGTTGTCCGTTTTGGTCATTGAGTTGTCCAGTTAAGGCTTTGTTACATTTGCGGGACAAACGGTTTTGCCTGCTTGGCTGGGAATTGAATTTAGCTCAATGCTCAATATGGGATTTTAGTTATATTCTCTTGTGTCTCACTAACGTTTTACTTTCTTTTTGTTACTATATTGGTCTTTTATTGCAGATATTTTATTGAATTTTCGCACAACCTTTGTCTCGCGCAAAGGTGAGGTCGTATCCAATTCAAAACAGATTGCCATAAATTATTTTCGTGGCTGGTTTGCCCTGGATTTATTGGCCGCCCTGCCCTTTGATCATCTCTATGCCTCCGATTTGTACGACGGCGAGGTGAGTAATTCTCTTTAAATTGCTTCAACACCATTACAAATATTTCAATTGTTGCACTTTGAAAAAATGTATGCGCTATTTGCATATCACTGGAAATTGCTTGACACGTGTCTCTGATTGTGAGGATTTCCTGACATGGGAAATGGCATGTTTCTGTGCGACGTAAAAAATAGTGAAAAAATATGAGATTGTTGCATTTGGGATGAATAATCCGGCCACTAACTGTCTTTGCTGGCAGTTTTTTAAATTTTAAGTGTTGCTGATGAGAGTAATTAAAATTGTAGAGTGATTTATTAAATTCTTGTGCATTTTTAAGTGAGTATCTTTTCGCAAAGTCTTCAGTCTTTAATGTTTTATTTACTTGCAGCTTTGTACTCTATTTCATTTTAATTGACTTAATTAAGTATATGCCTGCATGTTAATTTACAATTTATGCGCTCACTGACTTCACATCGGCAATTATTATTATTATTATATGATCATGTTGCACAATTTGATGACACTTAATTGGATTGGCTTGCAGATTGAGTTAATTGCCTCAATACACATTTGCCTGACTAAACAGATACTAATTGGTTTTATAGATATGTCAAGACATCAAATTATCTTAAATGTATTTGATGTCGCAAACTTGAGTTGTCGCCAGCTCTCTGAATAAACTTCATGCACAATTGCACTTGGATTACCAGCGAACTTTGCTTTTATCTCTCATAAACAACTGCTGCGGCAAACTCATTCCACTCATTCAGTTTGCCGCATTGGCATTAAATATTTAAGCCGAAATTCGAGTGGTAAATAGCATTTGGGGATTTGCATAAAACGATTTTAGAGCATGCATAATGCATATATTTCACCTCAGAGTTTGTGTTTGTTTCGCTGACTTATTTTAATGCTAACTAAATTCAATGTTGTGTCTAACAGCTTTGCAAATAAAATCGGATTGCTGGATTTAATTAGATAAAAGTGATAAATTAACACCGAGTATAGTTGAAATATTTTTCTTAGTTCTTCATTCGTTTAAGCAGCTTTTCTGTTTGCACGCCAATTGTGATACTTTTGAGTGCATTTCCACTCTCGACCAGCTGGCGGATTAAGAATTGAATCATGTCCTCGCCGACATCTACACCAAGTAGGTAAATTCGGTGCTATCAGCACGTTATTCTGTTCGAAAGGTGCGTCAAATGAATTTGCCCCAAAAGGTATGCTATGACTTGCCGTATCTAATAAGGTTTCAGGTATTGGCCATGATTGAATCGTGCTTTGTTCTATGGTTTGTATCCAGGGGCATTTTAGGCGTTTGACTGCTCTGCTGCTCCTTGTTGAGTTTGCTGTCGAAGTCAGCTTAAGTTGAAGTGTTGTCTGTCCTCAGCCAATGCACACTGGACAAAGCCTTGTGGTCGGTAGCCGCTGGGCTGAAATGTTCTTTAACTTATGTAATCAAAGCCTATTATCACAAAGACGTTAATTGCAGTTGCAGAAACATTTTTGGTTTTGACTAATCACAAATATATTTGGTATAGTTGCTACTTTTGGTCTATTCTTATAGTTCAAGAAATTCGTTATATCAACTTGCCTAGCATCTTCCCTAAGCCCTCTTCAAAATATATATAAAATAAATATAATATCTATTTATAAATACATAGAAATAAAGTACGCCTTTTCCTTTGTGGTACTCACTGAGTAACGAATATTAAAAGAAATGCGCTCTTGGTGGCCATTATGAGCATTTGGAGGACTTTGTTGTTTTGTTTTAAGTTGACATTTTTGATGCCTAATTTTTGAGCTGACTTTCCATTGATTTTATGCATTGTCATGGTTTTCATATTGATTGCGGTCTCAATCAAAGTTTTGGTTCCGTTTCATCTGTTGTTGGGTATCTTGACTACAAAGTGCTTAGCTGTGATTTTAATCAAATCAAATCAAATACATTTTTAGCTGCTTCGTTGACTTAAGCAGACAGCAGTGAAATATTATATATATATAGCCTCATCGCAGCCCGATGTACTCACGCTATATTGTTGGGCTTGCTTGAGGTCAAATATCTGATGTAAAACTTTTTTGATAAAAATTCGGCTTTCAGCTGGCTTTAAAAAAAGTTAGCTAATGGAGTTGTTTAAGTTGGTCTGAATATGGTGTAGGTATATATAAGTCTTGACTTGTTGCTCCTAAAAGGCAAATCCCTGCCAAGGACAAGAAAAACTTTGCCCGTCTGTGTATATATATACATAAAAATTTATATTTATATAAGTGAGTATACACAAACGTGGCTTCCCACAAAAATATTCGAAGGTCTAACAAAAAGGCAAAAAATCGCTGCGTGTTTTAAGCTGTTAAATGCTATGTGTTTTTTTGGGGCGCCAGCAAAAGTTTATTTTTATTAAACTTTAATGTGTTCTAATTGCAAAAATTGCGGTGTCTCCCTCTTTCTCTCTCTCTCTCTCTCTATCTATCTCTCTCTCTCTCTCTCTCTCTCTCTCTCTCTCTCTCTTTCTCTCTTACTTTTACTCTTCTTTCCATTCCCTGGTTTTGAATGCTAAAAGTTCTGAAGTAGCACAAACAAAAAAAAAACATTTAATTAATATTTTGATTTGGCGTCTTTTGGCAAATGGCAAAAGCGAATTTCTTATTTTGTAGTTCTTAAGTTGTATTTTTAAATTTTTTGAGGCACTTCTTCAGCTATGTCTTTTCAGTTTCAAGTGGCTTACATATCTATTGCTGCAATATTCAGCTAATGCATTAGAAACATGTCATATTCAGTTGATTTAAAAGTTTTAATTATCTTTGAGACCCAAAAACTTGGCAACGGACTGACCAACGGAAGCGGAAGTTTCCATGACTGTCAACTTGGGGAAACTTACTTCAAGTTGTTCCTGTTGCTGTTGCCACGACAAAATGCGAAAAGGCATCGCACAACTTTAGCAAAAGGCAGCCAAGTCTTGACAGAAATAAAAAGGAAAGCACAGTAAAAGCGAAAGTGTAAGCGCAGCGTAAATTGCAACATGAATTACAATTTTGCCTGGCAACGCTACACAAATACCAACGCACACACAAACAAACAAACACACACACACACACATACACACGCACACCCACTAATACACAGAAACGAAGACAGAGAGCCACGTGGCATTTGAAAGCAAAAAGTCTTACAAATAGAAGGAAACAAAAGCAGTTATTATGCCGGCAATCTAAAAGTTTCATCGCCTCGACATGTTTTTGCCGCCTTTGTGTATTATTATTTCTTGTATACCCTGTACTTAACAATATGTAAATTGGATACGGTAAAGTTGTGTGTGTATTTGTAATTCGTATATTTTATACATTTTATTACAGTCTGATTACGTTATCAACATTTTTTAAATTATTGAATCTCTATAGTGTATAGAGTATGATGAGTATACAACAATCTGTACACTCAACATTCGTAAAGTATGTTGCGAATGTTAAAAATGCACCCCTAGTATTTTATGGTTTTGATATTGAATATTATATATTCAGGAGTGTAATTGCTTATTTTACAATACAATAATAATGAACTTATTTTTGAAAGCAAAATCGAAATAAAATCATTTTTAATTATAAATTTGTTTCTTATTTATTGGGTTGTTTGCTAAAAATTCGTGTTAGTCTCTTTTATATTTTTCAATTAATTATTTTAGTATTCATTTCATTTCACAAAGACAAGAACAAATAAGACCAATAAGCTGTTTTATTTAAACAAAGCGCTAATTTGCCACTCACAGTAAATCTCATGTCGAAATGTTGGGAATGTGTATGTAATAAATGTTGGTTATAGTGGAATCAGTATATTTCTTAGATTTTTGTTTATATTTGTTATCATGTATAAATATAAGATATACGGTAAACAGTCCGATAATCAATTAATCCCAATTTCTTCGACGAAAGCTTGGCGAAATACAATTGTTGACACGTTTGTTATACTTGAGCTTGTCCTAGGGTATACTCTAGCTGAGATCTTGAATGTGCTTGGAATGATTATTTGTATTCGCTTTAAATGCCTTTCGCATGGCTGCTTGACAGCCTCGCGCATTTTTCTCTCCATTGAATTTCCTGCCAGGTTTCTTGCCAGCTAAATGCTTAGATCGCAGTTTTTGCTCCTCTTCAAATTATACAGCAGGCACAAGCAGCGTCCACTTTTAAAATGACGCCTTGTCAGCTACTGATAATGTCCTCTCTTTCTTAACTTTATTTTTACTTTTACTTACTTTTAATCATAAAAAAATATATAAATTGCTAACTTTAAGGTTAAATGGCAGCGTTAAGTTAACTCCGTTAACCTTCAATTTAGTCAACCGTCTGCCCTTTTGGGTTGCCTGCTTGCTGCGAAGCTGGTTGATGTTTGCAATTCGGCTTTTTGATGACAGCCCTTTTGATTTTGTACTTTTTATTTAACTATCCCTTTTCATTTTCCACCCATTCTGCTGCTGAGTGGGGTCGGAAGCTATAATACTGAGACGGCAGGAAATACTAGCTAATAAATGGGCATGTGTCAAAATTTTGGTGCCATGTGTATGTTTTTGTGCTCGTGTGCTCTAATGAGATTTACGCCCTAGAAAGTGGTAAACATAATTTCAGATAACTACAAGGGCTGGAAATAACATTAGCTGTCCGGCATGCAATTAAAGCTTGTATTAACTTTTGAAACGAAACTTTAAAAAATTAATTTTAACAGTTGCCTGTTTTTTTTTTTTCATTAAATAATTTTCGTTGATTAAATGTATATAAGGATGTTCGTTTGTGTGTCCGTTCCAACAGGAATCCAGTATATGGTTTGGGTATTTAAGCTTCAGCGGGATGAGCACTGTTTTATCAAATTTTTAGATTGCTTGTTTATTTAACGCCTAACCATGTATCTGGTCTCGTTTCATCTACTCTGTCTGTATCCGCATACTTCGATGAAAAGGAATCGCACATTCATCTTGTCAAATTGACGCGTTTGTTGCGCCTGGCGAGGCTATTGCAAAAAATTGATCGATATTCACAGCACACGGCTATGATTCTGACGCTGCTAATGTTTTCATTCACGGTGGCGGCTCACTGGCTGGCCTGCATCTGGTATGTCATCGCCGTAAAGGAATACGAGTGGTTTCCCGAGAGCAACATTGGTGAGTAACACTGACATATGGACATATGGACGCATAGACTACACTCAGAAAAATAAATCGCCATAAAATACAAAGAAAAAACGCCATACTTTGGCGTCAAGGTCAACTTACCAGATTATTCAACAAGTATATTTCTAAAACTGAAAGTTTCTTTTCCCTTTATGCCAGGCTAGAATTTTCTAAAATTTCAAATAATTAGTATTTTAAGGTTCCACAGACAAAAACATTTTAAGTAGTTTATAAATAGAAAAACAGCTTAGGCTAAAGGCCTGGAATCTCGACAGTAAATTCCATTACATATTTCTGAATTTAAAATAATATTATATAATGATATTAATTTCGATTTATTTCCTAATAATGGAAAACCTTTTCCATCTTTTTTTTCTGAGTGTATAGCAGAAAGACAAGGTCATCTAACATTCATCCATTCACACACACAAGTGTGTGCTGCGTGTGTGTGTCTTCAATGTGTGCTGCGTGTGTGTATTAGTTGGACAGTAATTTGGTTAGTTTGCCGCCAGCGTTGATTGTGTTTGCCTTGGCTCGTCAAACGCCACATGAAAATGCTGCATTTGCCCGCAGCACACAACTCTTTTCCTAAACACACACATGCGCACGCACACACACACACACACAAATATATATATATATATATATATTTTTCTTAATGTGTTGTGTTGGCAGAAAAGCTTAAAGCAGCTCAGGTGAAATGCTGCAAGGGGGAAATTACGGTTATTAGCACATTCAAATGGCAAAGTTTTGTACAAAACTCGTGCGGAACAATCTCAAATCACCGTTTATTGTGATTTAAATATGTAAATATGGGCGTATGTGAGCCCAGAAAAAAGTTTTTATGGCTTCATCGGATACACCGTGCCGCTGATGGGAAGGATATACATACTTAGTTATTTATAAGAATAAGTTCATGTTAAAGCATATTAAAATTACAATTTAAAATTTATGTGGGTGCTTTAATTACAATTATTTAATTAGCTTATAAAGCAAATGTCAAATTTAATCTGGCATTCTCATAACATATTAATTTAAAAAAAAACGCTTCTGTTATTGTAGACAAGCATGCGGAAAATTTATAATATCCCACTTCATTGTGGAGATGGTAAAGGGGATAGAAATGTGGCATAACGCATTAAGCAGCCAAGAAAACACATACGAAACTTTTTCTAACTGACATCAAGTGAAAGTAATCCGTTCATCTCACAAAACTTTACGTTTTATTAGTTAGCTGGCATATCCTGTAGTAGATATATGAAGGGTATGTTGTACTGCAACATCAGGCACTGAGTGGGCGTAAAATAGTTATTCTTACAAGAAAATTTTTACAAAATATGCTGCTTAAGTAAATAAAAAAAAACAATTATAATGATTGAATTTGTTAGGCTATTTATAGGGTATCATCAAATTAAGTGTCTTAAAGTTTTATACACTTCGCAGATTAGCATTTATTTATGGATTAGGCCAGGCGTATTCCCTTGGTAAATTGTAATATTCAACCAGGGAAAATAATATACAAAAGCAACAAATTGCCAGTTACTTTTTACATCAGCATAGTACACTTAACACGAGACGAAGTAAATACTCACTCACTCTTAAATGATGTTGCGACGAGTTTGAATATTGTTAGGAGAAAGTTAACAAACTGCCATTTGGCATTTGCCGTTTGACGTATCCGTTGCCATTTAGCCGGCTTTGACACGCTCTGGCAGTGTGTAAGTCCTCCCGTGTGCCCTGACAGCTTACTGTGATGGACAAGTCCGGCAGCACCAAGTTGAGAAAGTTTTTTTTTGGCCAAGTCATTGTCGGTTTAACAAGCGGCTGAATGACAAAAACTACTAGAATTATATGTTTGGTTGGCCAGCATGTGCCACGCGCCACGCGCCTCGCGCCATCTGCTAATGCCTGATTTACTAAACAAAGTCTATTTGTATTTTTTTTCTGTCTCTTTCGCTTTTTTTGTACTATTAAAATCCTCCAGTCTTGTTCACAGGTTGGTTGCAGCTGCTCGCCGAGAGAAAAAACGCGTCCGTTGCCATACTGACAACGGCTGAAACTTACTCGACAGCCTTGTATTTTACATTCACCAGCCTCACATCGGTGGGCTTTGGCAATGTATCGGCCAATACAACGGCCGAGAAGGTTTTCACCATTATAATGATGCTGATTGGCGGTAGGTAATCAGCCACGTTCATATATATCTGTGTTCTGTGTGCACTAAGCCCATTTGGGGATTGTGAAACCATATTTCGCCATATCTCACTATCACAACTCTTTGCTCCTCTCCCAGCTCTGATGCATGCCGTGGTCTTTGGTAATGTTACTGCCATCATACAACGCATGTACTCACGTCGATCCCTCTATGAGAGCAAATGGCGCGACCTCAAGGATTTCGTGGCACTGCATAATGTGAGTATTTATCTATTGATTTAACCATTTGCCTTCTCATCCAAGTGACTATGAAATAAATTAGTGTGCCTAATGACTTTATTTCACGAGTTGCTTAACAAATAAATGTATACGAATGCGAATAACAATTCAGAGAGAGATTAATTGACCTGAAATGAAGAAAGTAGCTCTAAAATCAGACTTGCAAAATATATTTAATTTTTATTGTTTGCTCTGGAGCATGCAAAAAACATTTTTAATGTTAATAATTGATATTATATTTGAATACTCAAAGCCTTTCTATAAATATTGCACCATTTTACATTTGAATACCCTCATATTTATCAGATCCTTTATTTTATTTAATTTAATTGAATTCATTTTGAATTTTATAGACTTATTGGCATTAGCAATAACATTTTTTTGTTTTGTTTTTCCACCCTACAGTAAAATAATAAATACATTTTTTTATTTTACATTTAGAGTGGATTTAAAGTCAGACCTATATTCATTTATGATTTAACCATTAGCAGCTGCAGTTATTCTCACAAATGTGCATTTTAATATTGCTATTTTCTGCTTGGCTGTTGACTGCACCACATTGATACTTGAGCACTTTATGGACTGGCTCATTGTCGATAGCAAAGCCAACACTGGCCCTGACATAGGAAATTAATTTTTGCTATTGCGTCTGGCTGTCAACTGGGCAACATTCGCCTTACGTATGCAGCTCGTGCTTAAAGTACTTGGCTCACTCACTTTTATTGGAATGCAGCACACTTTTGCCATATGCCACGCACCATTAGGTTATGGATTGGATGGGAACGGTTTCCGGTCTCCGGTCTCTGGTTTCTGCCTATGTTAGCTGCGGTTGCCTGGCTGTGTTATCAGAGTTGGCCATGTTTGCCATGTTGCGAGACGTGACTGAGTTGCACACAACCTGTTGATGGTGCGCTCTTCTTCCAAGTGCACATAAAACGAATGCCAGCAGCTCCATTAGGCAGCATTCAAACGCTGAATTCCTAATTAAGTGCATTTGTGCCACTCGCTGCTTGCCTGCTTTAAAATGCATGCATAATAGCTATGGGAACATAAAAAACTGTGGCTCATTAGCAAATGTAATTTAAAGATAGATAATTTAAAATGTATATTTCAATAAACAAATTTTACAAATAATATAATGGATATAATATGTAAAATGATTTAACATTTATTGCAAGGATTGAGGCTACCCAGTAAAAGCCCAAAGTTGCTAAAACTAATTTTATTAATAAGCAAAGTAAAAAGTAAAGAAGGGCGAATAAATATTATGATATAGGCAAATTTCTGAATCACTGGAGTATGATTTAACAAAGTTAAACATGCTCAGAGATTACCCGCAGATATGTTTGTATTGAAAATTAAATTAAGATCATTCATTGTGAATTTCAGATGCCAAAGGAGCTGAAGCAGCGCATTGAGGACTACTTTCAAACTTCATGGTCGCTCAGTCATGGCATTGATATCTACGAGGTAAAGTATGAGTATGAGTTCGAGTGCGAGTGCGAGTATGAATAAGAGTTCGAGTGCGAGTGAATGCCAAAGCCCTTCATGTGTTTGTTCATTCGTAAATCATATATGGCTGGTAGACAAAAGTTGCCGATACAGCGCAGAACCTTTTGCACTGGACAAGTGGAATGTGGCTTCATTGGCATTTTGATATCTCAGTGCCTTTAATTAAGCAAATGTCTGTTGGGTCTCGCATAAATATATTTGGTATATATATCTATATACATATGTACAATAGGGGTAAGCCAAATATCATTTGTGTGTGTTTGTTTGTGTCGGTGTGTGTATAAGGTCTCTTATGTGACTTATTGATTGGCATTGGGTTAAACGGCAAAAGCTGGAATCCCCTTTGATTGCATGTCAGCCAGTAGGCAGATATACATGTTGGCGTACTGGCTCATGGCGCCAGTGGTTCGTATCAAAAGTATTTAATATTGAATTCAATTTAGTCCAATTATTTATAATTGAAATCAACACTGATGAGCAGAGCTTTGCTCGCACATCAATGCCTAAAGTTAGATTATATATATTGTTATTTAATTGTATCATCTATTATTAAAATTGAAAAATAATAATATTCGCCAGCAGATGTGAATTAAATTATTTATATTGGTTTTAAATTGCAGCAGCTATTATTAAAATCTAAAATTAATTATATTCATTTCTGCTAGCTTAGTTCAATGTTATTTTTCTGCCTCTCAGATTTGAATTATGAATGAACATAATTTTTTTAAGTTCAAGTTGTTAAATCGAAAATAAATGAGTATTTTTAATTGATATTTTAATGAAATTTATTTTGAATTTATTTTAACTTTGACGACCCTCGCTGAGACAGTCTACAGCAGGTGTCTGTCTGTGGCCTGATATGATAAATTGTATCCCATGTGCAAGAAATATAAATAGTTATTAAATTCACATACTACTTATATTTAAACTTTATTTATAGTCAGCTTAATTGATCATCCTTAAATTGAATATTTCTTAGCTGTACGACCCTTTGCAAAAGTTTTTCATCTGATTTGTTTTTATTGTGGAAGCAATGCAAAGTTAAATCCATTTTGTTGCTTCATTAAATCTGGCCCAGCAGGGGTAAATCTTTTGAGTTTCAGTTTCAACCTGAAGTTGGGTAAAACTTTGTCCCAGTTCACACAGCATGCAAAATGTATGTGTGTAGCAAGAACTTTTTTAATATGTATCTCTGTGGCGTTCCATTCAACTGCAGATGCTACAAATTGACACAAGCGAACTTTGTTGCACGCTGAAGTGGGCGAGTTGCAGGAAGTGCTTAGACTTAACATGCCATTTACCAAATATTACTATTATGATATCAGATCAAACAAGATTTCGCGCTATTGTTTCAAGAATTCTCTGCAATTTTGTTGCCATGAGATGCGAATTAATTTGCGCATTTGTTTGGCTGCCTTCATCGTTGCTCAAATGCCATATCCCACTCCTCCTGCTCCCACCAAAATGATCTCAGTGTCTGCTAGGAACAAGCTGCACTCGTCTGAGCAGACTGCCAGTGCTCTGCTCTTTGGGAGGTCCTTTTGTTTGCGTATTCTTGTCTTGCCTCAAAACTAGTCTAATTAAGTTCGAATTGCAACCATTTGAGTACAGCTGCCACAGATATCTTTAGTTATACATTTATTTTTGAGTATGAAGTCAAATTATGGTGCAGCGAGAGTTAAACCGAGAAGACATTGATTGTAATATTAACAGATAACACGAACAGGATTGCTCAAAGTGTTCAAAAAGTTGCACACGACGACAGTTGAAAAGAATTTGGAATAGAAATAGCCTAGGAATATATATTCAGAAATAACTGTAGAGCATTGATTGAAGTTATATGTCACACATCCTCGTTCGCTTTTAAATTATTAAGTTACTAAATATGATTTAATTTAAATATAAGTTTTATGCTGAAACATGTTTCGAATTCCCCCAGCTTCGGTCATTTGTATAGTGGAGCATTGAAAAAAATCTAAAAAAATAAGACTTGACCTGGAGGCAGCAAAAAGTAAAATTAAATTTAAAAAAAATGAAGAACAGTAAGCAATTATATGATTTATTTAATTATATTAATTAAAGGAGCATAACAATTTTTCATATTGAGAAAAAACAAACAAATTACAAAAATTGCCCAGACAGTTTGCTGAAGAGGCAACGAAGAGTCGGATATTGATGATATTTACTTTGAATACATTGGCAAGATAAATTACAACGTACAAGTCGTTATTATTTTTACATATATTTCCAAACCAATTATTTTAAAATATGACAAGTTACAACATATAACCGCAAGAGTAAATACATTTGAACCGAATTTATTGATATTGATTTCTTAAAAACGTTGGTTATTTTTGTGGTACAAATATCTTGATAATTTGAAAACAATTAAATGATTTGTGGTACAGTTGTTGAACATTATATGTTTAAATCAAGTTTAATTTAATTACATTTGCGAAACATGAATGATGCACCCACATACCCAGAAGCGCGGTTAATATGTGTGCGGAGTGTAAAATGTAACACCAGTTGGGTAGGAGGAGTGAGTGGGAGAGAGGCATTGCAGGGCAGGGCAGGACATGGCAGTAAATTAAATTGTTAATTTATTGCGCATGAAAAATAACTGGCAAAACGTCAAGAGCCTCTTGGCCCTTTAGATGTCCTCCACCGCGACTCCCTCGCGCAGGCACTCGACAAACGTGTGTTCATTGTATCAGAAATTGTGTGGGAGGTCCTTGCGCGTAATTTTCGAGCTGAAATGTTTGCCAGACAAATGAAATGCCCTACGTTTAGTTGGCTGACAGTCGCCTGTTAATGTTGGCATTCGGGGTTGAAAAACTTTTTGGCCATTGCATGCAATTAGTGTAAAATATTTTACACTTCTTTGCATTTTGTTTGGTTGAGGCGCACACATAAATAACAATTTCAAGTTGGCCTTCGGGGAAATGTTCCATTAACTAAGTAAATATTCAAAACTGTACACACACTCACACAGTGAGAACTTTTACAACTTTGTTCATATATTCAATAGTTAGTTTCCTAGTTGTTTGAATTGGATCAGATTTAAATATTTTTGCCCATGTCAATGTAAATCATAGTCGAATACACAATTATAACAAAATTCCGTGTGTTAATTTAACCACAAATTTGTTGAATTGTGGCCAAAATAGGCTTTTAGTTTTCCGAATGAATTGAAACTAATTTAAAACACTAATTTTACCGATTTATTCACCATCCGATGCAGTATTTGCGCCTGAAATTTTATACTGAGTATTGTTCTGTATATCTAAAACAAATATTGCGATTGTGTCATCATGCAAATATTTGATTGGAATTTGTTTGTTCAAGTGCCATAGAAACCAGTCAATCGATGCGCATTCGCATTCATGAATTAAAGTAAATGCAAATAGTATTGTACAATTATGTAGAAATAGTCGAAACTAGTTAAATTCATTCATTTTCAATCTAACTTAATTAACTTTCTCAATGAAATTATATTTGATTCTCAAATTTGCATGAAAAAATGATTAATTTTTTCTTATGAAAAGTATGATTCAAATACTGAGCTAAGGAGCCAAAATATACTTGATGTTTCTTGTTTGTTTGCACATGATGTCAAGTATATACACCCCAAAATTTCCATACACCAATCCGCAATGTTTATTCACGCCTTTGGCTTATGGGTTGTTGTCGAACAAATTACGTTGAAGATACAAAAGCGCTTAAACTTGGAGTAATATTCATTCATAAAGGCAAGGGATAGCCACATATTTAGAAACACATACGTTGTGTGCATAAGGGAATATATATATATAGATATATGTATATATATGTATATATGTGCCCCTGGAGGTTACTTGACTCGTTCTAAGCACAGAATTTAAGGAAAGCGAAACCGAAATGTAAACAAACAAAATGCAAAAGCTTTTCAACTTTCATATTAATCCTCTCAACAATTTCATTCAATACACTTGCGACCACCTCGGGGACCGGCACATAAACAAAAAAAAAGGAAACGCTAAGGACAAAGATATTTATTTTACATATTGCGCATGCATAAAAACGAAGAAATGAAAGTAGAGAAAGATGGCAAAAAGTGCAATGGCCAAAAAAAAAAAATGGAATGAAAAAGAAATTTTCAAATATATGCTTACAACATCGTTCAATTCACTTTCAGTTTTGCACGTGTGTGTGTGAAGGTTTGCATCTGTGTGTGTGTGTGGCTTTGGCACTTGTCGCTCATGTTTACCTCCCCACTTATATATACACACTTATTCCCACTTCCTCTGATTTTTTCTTCTCTTGTTTCTTTTGGTTCGATTACAGACGCTACGCGAATTTCCGGAGGAGCTGCGTGGAGATGTCTCCATGCATTTACATCGTGAAATATTACAGTTGCCGATATTCGAGGCAGCCTCACAGGTGAGTGTAGTTACATACATACATACACACCGAAAAAAATCATACATTTTTGAATTAGGGTATTCAAAAAGTATATTTTAAAAAAACAGGGTTTTTGTTTTCATTTTTAATAAATTTAGAAAAAATATCTTTAATTTTCAAGGTGGTTGTTTTTTATGTACAAGCAAAACTCAAAAAATAGCGTTTTTGTTGCTTATTTTATTGATATTTTAGTTAGTTTACAAATACATATTATTTACTTTAAAAAGCTTACGATTTTATGTCGATTTCAACACACGAACCACGGTTCCCGAGTTGATTGAGGTCCCTCTGAGCTAAGCGATATCTAAGGCAGACGGAGCTAAGCTCTAAGCCAAGCCATTAAATTTCATTTATTGTTTCGGAAATTTAGAAATTATTTTTCTTGAATTTACAAATTATTTCTAAAATCAAGAAAAACGTTAAAATTTCCATGGCGATTTTCTAAGTGTTTGTATAAAAATATGTTTGTGTATATGTATATATATTTATATTGTATATGCGTCGCTTGCGCTTTTCATGCTTTTGCTGGGTTTGACGATGCTTTAAAAGCCATACAAGCCCTCAAACAAGTGGTCTTAGGATACTGATGCTGATGCTGAAGCTGATTTTGATGCTGATACCGCTGCCAATGTCAAAATAATCGGCAGCTAACTTGGCCAGGGCCAGTCAAAAGTCAACTGCTGGCTTAACAGACATTTTCCTTGGCACAACCACACATACACACACAAACCTTAATCACACACAGGTGAAACTTTCGGTTATCCATTGAATAAATTGCGCGTGTTTTCCTGTTGGCCAACAGCTCGACAAGGGCAACGACTGAAGCATGAAAAAGGTTTTAGGCAAAACTTTTGGCCACAATCGCACGCAAGCACATATACACACACACACACATATATATATATATAAATATACACTCACATTTATATAGTGAAAGCGAGTAAGAGCTAGAGCAAATGCAACGGTGAGAGTGGTGACGATTACCGTAGCCGACAATGTCAATACTCATGTCATTTGGCACACTAAGCTTCAGGGCACACACACGCCCACACACACACACACACACACACACCCACACACACACTCTCACTTACATATACATCGGTGAGTTGCAAACGTTTTGGCAAAATCGGTGCTAAAAACTTAAGTGTAATTGATTTTCCAATTAAGCTTCAGTTGCATTAGCGCCAAAGGTTCATTGCTCATAAATGTGAAAAAGTTTTCTCGATTTTCTTGCAAAGTTTCCTTTGCTGTGTGCACTCCGAGATAACACAAGTTTATACAGAGATGCTCTTTGAGCTGGGCATCAGCTTCAACTTGACATTTATCCAGCTGTAATTAAAGTCGAAACTTTGCTTCCGCAATCAGCATAAAGAAAAAACTGATGAAGGCAAACCAAAAAAATATATATAAAAAAATCAAGTGAGAATGTTGCAGTCTGAAAAAGTCTGTTAAAATGTAAAAGGGGCGGGGGTGCATAATTTTTAATGCGTCTTTAAACTTTTTGTAATTTTGAGGGAACCAATGTTCTTAACAGTCTTAAATGTTAGTCTTCTAGTAATCTATCACCTAATTAAGTACATAAAAAAAATGGCAGGCTATATATATATATATATATATATTCCAATATTCCTATATTCCAAGTTTCAAACCATTAGCTTTTAGGGTGTCGAAGAAAGTTAGGCACACAAATCAAATATATTTTTATTGCTTCGCCAACAGAGTGGAATAAAAACAATGTTTGTAAAAATTAGCTAGTTAAGTAATAAGTTTTTCATGGCATTGTAAGCGAACTTCTTAAGTGTGAAGGACTAAAAAGGCTTTTTTACTTTTTATAAAAATAGGCACATTTAAACAGATATAATTATGTGTGTTATTATTTTTATCTTTCCGATACTTTTATCAAAAGATTGAGTTTAATAAATAAAAGTGTAATTAATGATTTATTGATTTTTTGATTTTTTATTTTAAAAATGTCTTTAGAAACATATGCACTTAAATTTTATAATATTTATATATTCAGTAAGGGATATGCCCTTATTAATTATTCGCTTTTAGTTCTATTTCATTTCAATTTAATTTAAAATTTTTATTTTTTTAATCATTTTTTAGAAAGTTGTGTACTGATTATAGTCCACATCAATTTAATTATATATACTTATATATTGTTTGTGGAAATAATTTTCTTATATTTATATACTTCTTAACCGATGACACGGTATGAAAGAAGTATATTTCATGAACTATTTTCACGTCATTATTAACATTTACAAACTGTGCAAATTACTGAGACTTTCGGAAGAGCTATGTCCTTTGCAAGGCACTACTTGATTTTAGAAGCAGTATCCTTTGAGAAATGTATTGTTTACTAAGCACTGACAGCAAACTTAAATAACTAAAATTTTAGTTCGGTGCATACTTTTGCTTGACACTGAATAATTTGTTAGCTGCACAGAAAATCAACAAGGCTGCTCCAAATGCAACTTGGGAGTAAAATAGTAAAACGAAGAGTGCAAACATTTATTCCGCTTAAACAGAAATGGCAAACAAAAACCACTCAATGGCAATAAGCGCGCTTTAAGCCAATTTTCGTGGCAACATCAACGACATCATCAACCATGCGAATCAAGTGGAAGAAGTAGCTTCCTGCCACAAAGATGAGGATGTTTGAGCAGCTCTTTGCCAACTGAAGTTGCCAACTTGACTACAATCTCATTTACGCGAATTTGTCGCATTGTTATTTATTATATTTGTTGCTCGTGTTGTTTTTACAGGGCTGCCTGAAATTGTTGTCACTGCACATAAAGACTAACTTTTGTGCACCCGGCGAATATTTGATACACAAAGGCGATGCACTCAACTATATATATTATCTGTGCAATGGCTCAATGGAAGTGATCAAGGACGACATGGTTGTTGCCATTCTGGGTAAGTAATAATTTTGAATCGGTCTCGTTGACTGGGTGTTTTTGGGAAGTTTGGGTGCTTTATGTTTTCAAGTCGCGTTCGCATAAATGGCCATGTTTCCATTTAATGTTTTTCTTGTCAAAAGCGTTTATTGAACTCGAAAGTTCGTTCGCTCTACTTAAGCCAGTCATCTGCTTAGTTATTCATTCAGGACGCTGCCTAGACAAATGACTGCTATTTTTATGCTTATTGATTCTCACTTAGCGCCTGACCTTTTGTTTTTTTTATTTTTCTACTTTTAAATATATACACACCGTTACAGGCAAGGGCGATCTCGTTGGCTCGGACATCAATGTGCATCTGGTCGCCACGAGTAACGGCCAAATGACTGCTACCACCAATAGTGCTGGCCAGGATGTCGTTGTGCGTAGCAGCAGCGACATAAAGGTAAGCTATGATCAGATGACACCATCTGAACCTGACACCTAATTAACCACAGCAATAAATATTTGAAGTATTGACTAATTGAAGCCATTTAGTCTAACCTTCCAGTCCAGCTTTAAAAGCCTTCTAAAAACACATTAATGCTGTGTTCGTATTGAATATTTTCATGTTCGATTTAATTACTTGAAAGCTAGAAACTCCTGCTTAGTTAAACGAGTTATATTGAACTTTATTATTTTAGATTATTTATAAAAGCTTACTCCTTAAATAACCCACAGCTTAATATGAATTGTCAGCTGAATGGATAAATATATGTGTGACTACCAGAAGCTTAATCTTAATTCCTTATGCAGGAGCTTTCAAAGCTTTTTTAAAAATACATTAGTGATTTGTAGCTGTCTGTATGCAAGATTTAAATACTTGAAAGGTTGAAGATATGCTTTAGTTCAACGTACTTACAGTATTATATATATTATATTTTTGAAAATGTATCAATATCGCACAGCAAATTCCCCAAATAGCGTAGGGTTTAATCTGCATTTTCGGCTAGTCTCATTGTATTTAATATATAGACATATATATGCATATATTTCGCTTAGTATTCAAATGCTGACAAAACTTTATGGTTATTGTCCTTGGACATTTCGAATGCGTTTCTTGTTTAACGTCTGTGCGTTTTATTCCGGTTGCGTAGTCTCTTAATTAAATAGAATTTATTTTTATGTTTACTCGGCTTTTTCTCCTTTTCCTATAAGATGTGTGTTGTTTGTGTGCGCTTTAATTATATTTTTATCGAAACGGTTTTGTTTTTAAAGCCAAAGCTTAAAGTTCAAGCAATGCAACTTTTTTTTCTGCTCATTTGTTTATTTTCATTAATTCTTGTTTTTGTTTGTTCGCCTGTCGTAAAATTTATCACGTTGAGCGCAGAAAAACGATGCTTCGAGTATATTAAGCATCTGACAACATTGGCTTTTTTCACTTGACTACAATGGAAGAAATTCAATATTTTCTTTGCACATTTCTTTTTAAAATTTAAAGTGTCTGCCAGCTAGCCGCAAAAGCCTCTGCAATTATGTGTGGCTAATGGAAACTGTCGGATAATTAATACGAATGCGACGCTTTGTGAATTTGTGAATAATTATGAATTAAGCTGAAAGATCGTCGCTTAATTAGTGTCGAAAGCATTGCACTTAATTCATAGTTGAAGAACTTTGAGTTCGTTTTCGTTTTCATTTTCGTTTTCTGTTCACCACGATTTCACAGTCATTTACTATTTTGCATGGCTTCCTTTGGCATTTGGCCTTTGGCTTTAGGCTTTGACGCCGCTGCTGTGGCTTTGCCTTTGTGCTCAGTTTATTTGCATGTCTGCCTCCCTGCCAAATAAAGCGCAGACATTTTGCATACATTACTCACTCGCTCTCGGGCAGCAGCTGCCGCAGCATGTGCTCCGAGCCACTACTTCAGGTACAGTAGAAGTGGCAGTCAGCCAGCAAGAGCGACAACTACAACAACGGGGCGTATGAGTGATACTTAACCGTAATGTGTGTGTGGGTGTGTGTGTGTGTATGCGTTTGAGTAAGCACGTGAGTGTGCGTGTGTGGGTGTGTGTGTGTATGGCTAGATGCTAGGTGCACTTGAGTATGAAAAGAAGACGCCAAGACGTCCACATTAACACGCGTGAAAAGATGAAGTCAGGTTAGGTAGACTAACTTATGCCCTTCAAAAGAACTCATTTTTTTTGCAATATATAAATAAATATAAATATTTAGTATTTTTTATAATAGTATATACTTTTATAATATAATTTTTATTTAGAGTAATAGAAATGGTTTTGGAGCATTATCCTACACATATAGTTGTCTATTATAATAAATCATTTAATCACTAAATAACCAACAAGTGAGACAGTTCAAATTAAGAAAAGCATACTTTAAGCATGATTTAATCAATTTCTTAATTGAAAATATTTAAATATTTTGAAGAATACATCCGTTAAGTATGTAAATACTGAAGTAAAAAGAAGACTAAAATATTGTTAAGCGTTTTTATTTATGAAAATGTTGCTATAAAGAAAACTATAATAATAGGAAAGATATTTTTTAATTGAATTAATTTAAATTTATTTGTTAACTCAAATAGTATTGGATATAAGTAGTACATAGAAGGTTATTTTAGTAGATTATATTAGAAAAATTAAATAGCAGCAAAGTTGCTTGCAAAATAAATCAGTTTTTACTTGTAGCGAAAACGAAAATGTTTTTAAACAAAATAACTGGAAATTTGTTGATTTCGATAATAAATTGGAATTTTTAATAAAGTGATTCATTATAATAAAGTACTCTGAAATATTCTTAGCATGAACCTTTTCGAGTAATGATTACATTAGATTTTATCGTATAAGGTCTGATTGGGTTTTCCCCTGACCGTTAAACAAATGTTGGACCAATTTAGAGGAAATTGTATTATTTTTATTTTTCAATTTAAGTGCAAAAACCATTAATATTACATTTTATTTAATACAATTCATTCAATATTTCTTTTCATCTTTTTCTGTGTAAACTGATATTAGTCGCCATAAAATAAATAAACTCAATTCCAATATTAACTTCAGTTTGTAGACAAAGTTTTGTTGAATGCCAATGGACTCAGGCCCTTTGGCCCTTTGTGGAAATAAGGTCGCCTGCTGTTGTCGGTGGCTCATGGAGTGCCCGGCTCAGCAGGCAGGCATTCAGGCAGGCAGTCAGCGTACTTGAGTGGAGTGCATAATCAATTAACATAAAATGTTCTCATGTTTTTTTTTTTTTTTTTGGTTTTTCTTGTCATTTTTGTAGGCGCTCACCTACTGCGATTTAAAGTGCATACACATGGGCGGTCTGGTGGAGGTGCTGCGTCTGTATCCGGAGTACCAGCAGCAGTTTGCGAACGACATACAGCACGACCTGACATGCAATTTGCGGGAGGGCTACGAGAATCAGGACTCGGATATTGGTCCGTCATTTCCTCTGCCGAGCATTAGCGAGGACGATGAGAATCGCGAGGAGGCCGAGGCGGCTGAGCAGGATAAGGATCACAATGGTGTCGGTGCTGGTGCCGGTGCCGGTCCTGGGATTGCAGGTGTTAATCCGCTATCGGCGTCGCCGTCGCCACAGCATCACAGCATCACACGTTCTCCGCTGCTGGGCATGAACAGTCCCAGGCATCAGCGATTGCATCAGCGTGGCAGCTCATTGATTACGCTGCGTGATAGGAACAAGCGACAGCGTCCGCTGAACATGGCCAGCAGCTTGGATCGCAACTCGTTCGAGGAGGTGGACTCATCCGTTGAGGAGGAGGCGGGCGGCAAACGGCCGTCGCTGGAGCGTCTCGACTCGCAGGTATCCACCCTGCATCAGGATGTGGCCCAACTGAGTGTGGAGGTGCGCAATGCCATTAGCGCGCTGCAGGAAATGACTTTTTCATCCGGTGCCATGAACTCGCACGGCTCCCTCAAATTTCCACCGGCTCGCTCCATACCCAACATCAGCGGTGTGGCAGCAGCACGAGCCGGACTGGGATTAGGCAGTGGCGATACACAGCTTATGGGCGGCATAATTTCCTTAGGTGGCGGCGGCGCGGAGGCATCGGCAGGCATGCAACGCAGTTCGTCGCATCCACCCGAGGTGTGGGGCAGAGAGATGCAGCTGCCGGCTAGAGGTTCGGCGTGCAGCTCCAAGGCCGCCTCGCCGGCGAGCGTGGAGGCTCCAACGAAGACGAGTCGCAGCTCGCAAACCGATTTCTATCGCATCGATTTTCCCACCTTCGAGCGCTTCGTTTTGGCCAATCCGCGTCTGGTGTTGGGTCTGCTGGGCATTGAGCCGGCCATCAAGAGTGAAATAGAGCTGCTGCAGCAGAAGCAAACGTTGCAAATCTCGCCACTGAACACCATCGATGAGTGCGCATCCCCACTGACGACGGAGGCCAACTTGAACAGCTCCAAGGAGCGTTTGCTTGGCAATCAAACGCCAGCCGCTGGACGCGTCTATCCGCCCCTGGACGATGAGAACTCCAATGATTTTCGCTGGACCATGAAGCACTCGGCGAGTCATCAGAGTTGCTGCCGGAGCACCGATGCACTACTAACGCCCGAGGAACAGCCCTCTGCTCCCCAGGAGCAGCCACTGGAGCAACAAGTACAACAACTCCAGCAACTACAGCAGCAGCAGCAGCAGCACCAGCAGCAGCGGATTAAGCGCAGCATTCGTCGCAGTGGCAGCGGAGGCAGCAACTCCAGTTTATCCAGCAGCAGTTCCAGTTCCAACAACTGCCTGGTCTCGCAGAGCACAGGAAATCTGAACGCCACCACCGCAAACACAACGAACGCCTCGGTTCACTGCAGCAACAGCAGCCACAGTGTGGCGAATGCACGACGTGCCTCCTGGAAGCTGCAACATTCGCGCAGCGGTGAATATCGTCGCCTGTCCGAGGCAAATGCCCAATACTCGCCACCGGCCAAGGTGCCGCTGCCAGTGCCCGTACCCGTGCCCGTGGCAACGGCAGCAGACAACTATGGCCAGGATGAGGAGGAGATTGTGGAGCTGTTGGGTCCGCGGCGTAGTTCACGGGGCACCCTCCCTCATCCCTCGATGGCCGAGGTGGGTGGTCGGTTTCTGTTGGGCGTGCACAGTGGGGCAAGTCAGCAGACAATGAATTTTCGCTTCTCAGCTGGCGATGCGGACAAACTGGAGAAGGGACTGCGTGGATTGCCATCCACGCGTTCATTGCGCGATCCCAGCGCCAAGTAAGCGGAGAGCGGAGGGTGTCCCTGGAATTTCCTGTTACGCAAAGGAAACGACTAGGTGGGGTTGGGTTGGGTTGGGTTAAATTATGGGCTCAGGGTTGCCAACAAAAAACGTGGGCAAATTGGTATGTGTGGAGTCGCTTACACGCATGCCGACGTGCGTGATTTATTTCCTAATTAATACTGAAATACGAAGACGCTTGTACTTTTAATATCTATAAGATATCTACAGATACAGTTACTTACACCTTGATTATTTAACTATTGCGTTTAGGTTTTGTCCAATTGCAGAATATAACAACACACAGTGATTTGCGTTAAGTAACTCTTCAGTTCAATTGTTGTCCACACTCAATACAATTCGAGTTGGCGTCAATGCAATTATGCTGAAGCTTTCAAATTTGTTTCTAAAGCTGATTTGAAAGTTAAGCTTATAACTTAAATAAATTATAAAATATATCCTGCTTTCCAAGAATAATTCAAAGATTAAGTAACATTTCTGGCGTCATTAAAACTTAAGTCTTGTTTACTTTACTTATAAGAAAGGGAGATTGGTCAAGAGAGCAAAGTAATTATGTAAACAAAGCATATTTATTCCTAGCATATCAGAGTATTATCTATGACATAAAATATATTTTTTAAGACTTAAGCCAAATAAAACAAACAAAACTCGAAACTGTGCAAATATTGCGTGAGGCTGTCAATGAGAAGTGCAAAACCGAAAATCACCAAATTATAAATAATAAATGGACTCGGATGTATGTATATTTTACTATGCGGCTAGCAAGCATTGTGGCAATGCACTTATGCAACACACACCAACACATACACATATACATAAGCCTATAAAAATAAAAACATGAATATTGACTATTTATTGCAAAACAAATATTGTATATCTGAATGTTAATTGTCAACTACAGGAACTTGATGTATTTATGTATTATAAAAAAGGTAGAATAATAATAATTCCTTAATGTGCAAAAATTTGTCAGATAATAAATTGTGAGGTCGGCAGTACAAAATAACACATTAAAAAATATATAAAACACATATTTTGTTGGGCAGACAAACATATATAGTATACAGTAGGGAGAAAATTGATAAGCTGGAGCTTAATATAAAAAATTAAATACTATTTAAACAATTGTTAAATACTTAAAGCTCAGAATAAACATAATTTATAAAGTTGATAATGAGTATATGCGAAATGAATTTTAAAAAATAAATTCATTTAATATAAGTACCTCAAGAAATGGAAGTGGATAATAGTTAGTTAGGCAACGCATAAGAGACAAATTTTTAGGATGTCTGTAAAAATGATGGAATAAAATATAAAAATTCAAAATAGAAAATAAAGCTTAAACTTAAGTATATGTCATTTACAATAAAACAAAAACAATTGTAAAATAAAAATTACATTGATATAGATATTTGACAATCGTTTGCGCTATTAGGAAAACCCGGCATGAACTTGAGAAAATTACTAATTTTACTTATAAAGTAAATTTTAGAGTTTGTGATTTCCTGTAATAGTTGTCTGAAACGTGAATTGGCAGCAGGGCATTTATCCTCAAAATTATACAACTATTTTTTAGAATAGGTCCTGCATAGAATCTACCAAAGATGCTAAGCAAATAGCGTATAGCAAGTAGAAAGTTGAATTATATTGTTAGCATTAAGTATTAGAACCTACATTGAAATGGCCGAATTATCAAAAAAACAAAAAAAAACATACAATAAATATGTATATTTCTATCTAGTAGTGGCAAATACTAGTGTATATATGTACTTATATGTAAATGTTCCCAACAACTATAAAGACTTGTGCTTCGTTCTATTCTCGATGTAAGCATTCTACGATAATACCTAATTGTGTAAGTTTGTGCATATGACTTTTATATGTATATGGCATTCGCATATTTTAACCTACCAAATCCATTATATACATAATAAAATTGCATACATGTGTTTTAAATATTAAGCGATATTTATTGCATTGTAGAGATATACATATATATATATATATATATATATATATATATAGACATATATATAAGTATTTATGACACAAAAATGTGGTCAATAAGTTCAGCGAGATTCTTGAACGTTTTTAAATGTTTTAATTAATGTTATTAAAGAAAGCCCAGATTCAAATATTCAATATTTAAATGAAATTAAAATAAACTTGATGTGAACAATTTAGATAAATGCTTTTAATTCCAATTATATTTTGAGCATAAAATTAAAATTAATCTGATTAATAATTATTGCCAGTTAAGACCTGAGCTGATAAATCCCTTTATTTTATTTTATTCATTGACCATTTTTCCTGTTGAATATTTTCCTTGTGAAGATGCGCAGCTTTGCTTTAATACGATTAACTTGACTTGACTTGACTCGCTGCCCCTTTTGGTAGTGTATTTCGACCATAATCCGATAACCTAAACGGCAACTTTATTGGATGTCGATGTCAACACCATATGTCAATCAAGTACGAGTATTAAAGCAGTTCGGGAAGCTTATTTATATATATATATATAATATATATATCTATTTGCCAGGTAGCCATTGAGAAATAATTTTTACATACATTTCTAAACATATTTAATATTCATTGAATGAATGCTACAAGATTTTGTATCAGTTTGTTATATGCCTCAAAATTATGTTAAGCTTATGCTATAAATGTAATAGTTTACCCAGGACACTGTGAAACTTAGTGTTTTCATAATAACATCTTGTTATTATTTTTATTAGCTTAATAATTATTAAATATATATATTTTTGCCAGCCCCGATGCTGAAGACATTGTCTTCTTTTTTGGATAAGCGAGCCGAAAGGCGAAGTGGACATTTAATTTTTTTTCTGGAACTTTTGCTGATTGGGCCGGTTAGGAAAAAATCTATAATAGCCACATCAAATAAAGTAGGCATAATACCATAGGAACGAAATGACATCGAGTGCCAGTTATATTTTTTCTTATTGGCAAACTTCCGAGGTGCAACGCATCCCCATAAATTAAATAAATAAATGCACATTCGCTTAGAATTCAGAATTTCAAGCTTATAAGAGATATATAAGTGAGCTTCCTATGCGATTTCTCTCTTGTCTTCTGCGTCCCTCCGCTTTACATCCTCTGCTTTACATCCTCTGCTTTATATCCTCTGCTATACATTGCGCCATGACCGCTAGATGGCGCTGCGCATTCCCAAGTTCTCAAGGATAGATGACGCTAAGATTTCGGCCCTAAAACCGACTATAGATAACAATCGCAGAGAGCGACATCTTGCGGGACGCATGGGCATTTTTAAAATATGTGAAACGCTTTTGCCATTTTTAATGGTCGGCGTAATTGTGATAAAGATAAGATAAAATTAGTGTTTCAACGAGATATGCAAGATAAAGAGTCAAATTAATTTTTCTATTCCCTCTAGACATAATTTTTACTTCTTCCCACTTTCTCTTAATCGCTGTTCTAATATTTATTCATTGCATGCATCTTTTCGAGTACTCTGAATGATTACAATAGACTTCATCATGTAATCAATTCAGAGTCCTCTATTTCTATCATTTATAACTCAAATTTAAACGTGTTGTCTGGTGAATTACATTTTAAACCAAGAATTTATTTAAGAAATACATATATACACGATATTTAACAATATGTAATAAACTTGAAAATAATGTTTTACACATAAATTGCTTACTGTCACATATCTTAAAATTGTTATTTCAACTCTTTTCACTAAATTTGCTTATATTTTTCTAGTTAATGTCATATATATATTTTGTGCTTGGCCGAAAAAATTTGTAAGTATACAAAAAAATAATTGGAAACAAACCCGGGTGATAAGGAATTGGTTTAGGAATTGTGTGTCTCAACCCAAGAAATAAAAATTAATTCTTTCGCTTTGTAATTTTAATAAACACGTCTTCCTTCGTTCTGATCAAAATGCCAGCTAAATATCTATAGTCCTTAGGATTGCTAACGGGCAATACCATAAAGTGGCTTAAAATATAAACCAACAAAGTCTTAACTTCCAGCATGGCAAACTTTTGACCAATACAATTTCGCCGACCAGCACTAAAGGGTATAAATGCAAATGGATGGCGCTGTGTGGAGTTTTCGGGAAGGAAGCGTTCTGGAATGAATTCATTCGGTTCCTCAAAATATAGTGGATTGCGATGTATATCGAATATGTGCACGATAATCTGAGTGCCCTTGGGCATAATCAAGTTGTTTGCCAATTTCGTATCCTCATGACACTCCCGCATAATGCTAGGAACCGATGGACACAGTCTTTGCGTCTCCTTGATAACACATTCCAAATACTTCAGCTGACCCAATGTGCGGCTGTCCAAATCGTTGAGTTCGCCTGCAATATAAAATTAGCTAATCTTATCGGATCTGCAGACATTAGTCAACCACATATTATTGCACTTCTTGATAATATTTTGTTTTCATTGCGAAAGCAAACCATACCATTGTTGGATATAAACTGGGTTATCTCCTCGTAGCACAGTTGCTGTTTATTTGGATGACTGGCGAGATAGGCAAGAGCGAGTATGATGTTCATAGAGGTCGTGTCAAAGCCTTCAAACATAAATGTATCAACCTCCTCACAGATACCAGCATGATCTATGAGTCCATCCATTTCTGCTAGTAGCATTGTGTCCAGCATTGCATAACGTTGCTTTGTGTTCAAATCACTGGAATATGAAACAAAATGCATTTAATATTATTATTAGATATGCTTTTCAGTCGAAGAAGATTTACTAAATTACACAGAATTATTAATTATATAAAGGAATTCAATTATTTGAAATTAGAAAGATACCTTGATTCCGTTTCGTAAGCCTCTCTGTTAAAGTTCTGTCTACGTTTCTTAATAATGTTGCTTGAGAATGCGTGCAAATTCTTCAGAGTTGGTATATCCTTTCGACCATTACCGAAATTGTTGTATAGAGTGTCGCTGCCCAGTAGTGGATTAATCACACGATTTATAAAACTATGCTCTGCTATTGTGATATTATTACGGTATTCATCACCATCGGCGCAATCGTCGAGTCTCACTCCAAGGGCCGTCTCTATTAAGAGGGATTAATTCTCATGTGCGATTTCAAATATTCATAAAACAAATACTTACCACAAATACTGTTCAGTGTGAATCGAGGTATTACATTATTTAAGTTAACCTCACAAGGACCTACTGTATTAGTCGACATGTTTTGTAGAAGATCGATAAATTTAACGCTTTCTTGCCTATATAAATAAAACGTATATTAGCGCTTAAGATAATCGATTCTTAACAACAGTATTGACTTACTTAAAAACCTCCAAGAATTGTTCCAATATTTTAAAATGAAATGCAGGTGTTAGTAATTTTCGTCTACTATGCCAGTGTTTACCTAAAATGGAACTGATTTAAAAAACATGAAATCTTATTCATTTACTGCAGGTAAATACAAAACCTGTGCTCGTTAATAGGCCCGATTTTAGAAATGGCTGCAAAAACCGATACAAATCTCCTTTGGTTATCAAATTATTATCATTCAGCACCAGTTCCGCATCAGCGGCATCAATAATGTTATATACTGGCATTCCAATAATATACTGAATATAGCTACGCTTCAGCTCCGTTGCATAATCACGATTATAATAAAACAATTGCTCTGTGAAAAAAGGTTTTTAATGATTGGCCTCTTTTTATAATTTAAAATACGTGAAAAACGTGTTTTAAAATGCTTATGTTTTGATAAGCTTAATCATAAATACAAACCGGAGTTCATTCCGAGCGTATCAAAAGTATTGCCTAAAATTGTATTTCCAGCACCTCGGGCAACAATCCGATCCAGTGGTCCACCATCAACGGTCTTAAACCGACGACTAAGTGATAGTATTTCATAGTCTTTCCTTAGACGAAATGCGCATATCACTAGTAGAGCAAATAACGATATCAAAATAATGAATAACATTAAAGAGCCGAATTTTAGTCAATTCAAATATATATATTTATTGTTGTGTGTATAATCTTGAAAATGAGATTTGACCACGTCCGCGTCTCTCAACCGAATGTTCCCAACTAAAACTTAGTGCTAAAACAAAAGATTGCGACTCTCGTCGCAAATATTAAGCACACACCCACATACACATAGTACTATTAGACGTATGTTGAGGCGGGAGTCGGACGTATCGATAGTCGGAGATGCCAACAGTCGGCTAGGTGGCAGCCCCCTGTTTGAGCTCGCGCGCTCAATAGAGGTACATAAGTGAATAGGAGTTTATTACTTATATTTATTCGTATATTATAAATTTCCACTTATATTTTTTAAAATTTATTTTTATTATTATTTGTTATGTTTCATTAATTTATACTTTTCCTACATTTTTTTGCGTAACTTTACATATTAATTATTTATTTGTGAACCGAAACTCCACGAGCGACGTTATATATTTTTTTGCGTAACGTTTATTTAAATTTTTCTTTGTAATTATTTGTTTTGTGGTTTTTGCTTACAATTTTTTGCATGCCTAATTTAATTTACTCAAAAGAGAAAAAAGCTGCTGAAGAACTTAGAAAACGTTTGAAATATAAGTTTAGTCTTGTTTGTTTTGCATTTTTAAGATTACCATTGTCCGTTAAATCAGCTGTTTTGTTAGTGGTGTGCAGATTTGAAGTATTGTGTGATTTGAATTTGGCGCCCTGCGCTGAATAATTTAAATAGCGTAATGTTAGTTGTTGATTGAATTTTAATTACATTTGCACACTATTAAGTGCACTTAAAATTCGGCTAAGCTAGAAAATTCATTTCACAAAATGCGTTTAACATGCGTTCAGATCTAAGCATTTTGTGTCAGTACATAAATTCATTCCACAATTCACTTTTCTTGTCATTTATTCCGAGAATACTTGTTAAAATTCAAACATTTTCTAAATTTCCAGTTCGATTAATAGAATGTTTCGGCATCTCAAATGCTTAAGGACAGTTCAGCGGCCACTTAACCGTCGATATTTTAAGGCTTTCACCGTTGATGTTGTCCTGAACGATGTGAAGCCGGTTGCAAAAGCGATGCCTTGCATAGAAATGCCACAGGTGATAGCAGATCGTGATTACAAGTATAAAGAGGGTCAGGTTTATCACGGCTTCCAGTGCGAGCACGTCGAGCATAACGCCGGTTATGATCTAATGTCGTGTCTTCTGAGACATATTGTCACTGGGACAGAATATTGGCATTTAGATTGCAATGACATCAATAATGCATTCTCAATTAGTTTCCGAACGCCACCGATTGACTCGACGGGTGTAGCACACATTTTGGAGCATATCACTCTGTGTGGCTCCAAGAAATTTCCAATTCACGATCCATTCTTCAAGATGCTTAACCGATCCGTTGCCACCTGTCTGAATGCCTTGACCATTTACGAATGGACCCTTTATCATTTCGCTTCTCGAAATGAGATCGATTTTAGGAATTTAATGCGCATCTATTGCGATTGTGTTTTTGAGTAAGATATCATTAACAAAAAAAAAAGAGCAAAAAAATACGTATTTTAAATGCTAACCAACAATCGTTCTTCAGGCCCAATATACTTTATTTGGACTTTCTGCATGAGGGTTGGCGGCTGGAGCACAAAGATGTGCACAATCCAAAATCTGAGCTAATGTTCAAGGGTGTCGTCTACAACGAAATGAAAGGATTTTTTTTTGAAAACCCCCGAATATGCCGACAATACGTTTCCAGATACCTATTGCCAAATAGTGCATACTATCATATGGCGGTCGGCGATCCAATCCACATACCATCTTTGACCCATGAGGATTTAATTGAATTCCATCGCAAATACTACCATCCGAGCAATGCACGACTCTATAGCTACGGATCTTTCGATCTCATGGAGACCCTGTCATTCCTCGACAAGGAATATCTGTCGAAGAGGGACTTCCAAGACACGTCCTATAGCATTATCCCACCCCAGCCCCGTTGGACAGAGCCCCGTCGAATGCATGTGTCCTGTCGCTTGGATGAGGAGGGCGCCTCGCCAGATTTGCGAAATCAAATAGCGATTGCGTTCCTGATGTGCGACAGAACCGATATACAGGAATGCTTTGAGCTGTTGTTTCTATCCAATCTATTGACACGGGGTCCGAATGCGGCCTTCTACAAAGCTCTGGTCGAGATGGACTCTTCGGGTTGCTTCCACAAGAACACCAGCTATGCAATCACCACCAGAGATACCCATTTGCGTGTCGGTCTGCAGGACCTCAGAGTCGAGGACTTCGGCAAATTTATCGAAATATTCGATAACACTGTGCACAAGACAATTGAGGAGGGCTTCGAAGCGCAGCACATTGAGAGCTGTCTCCACAATCTGGAATTGTCGGTGAAACATCAGGTGCCGAACTTTGGCAAAGTGATCCTCTACAACATGATGAGTGTTTGGACTCACGGGGGCGATGTTGTTGCTAATCTGCGCATTCACGAGCAGATTGCCAAGCTGAAGCGCAACTTGAGAGAAAATAAGAACTATTTTCAGGATAAGATCAAACAATATATATTAAACAATCCGCACAAGCTCACGATCACCATGTCGCCGGACGAAAAGTTCGACGAGAATTTTGAAAAGGCCCATAAAGCGGTGCTTCAGGAGAAAATCGATAGTCTGAGCGCTGAAGACCTGCAGCAAATCTATAAGACAGGACTCAAATTGGAAGCGGCGCGAAAAGCGCCCGTCGACTTGGAGATATTACCGTGTCTATCGCTGAAGGATGTAGAGGAGCCACTGAGGATACCAGATCTCATAGAGGAGCACATTCACGGTGTTCCAACTCAGTTGTGTAAGGTGAATACGAACGGAATAACCTACTTTAATTGCCTCTTCAATATGGCGGGTTTGAGTCAAGAAGATGCCAAACTTGTCCCACTATTATGCAACGTCATTCAAAATATGGGCACAGACGAGCATAGTTTTGCTGAATTCGATAAACTGGTCAATTTAAAGACAGCCGGCATTGAATTCCAGGTGAAAGTAGTGGAGAATGTTAAGGATTACGAGCAGTATCAAATGGGCCTGCAAATAAAAACATTTGCCCTCGATCAGAATGTGGCCGATATGTTTGCGCTATGCGAGGAATTGCTGTTGAGATTCACGTTAGTAGATATTGATCGACTAAAGATGCTTGTAGATACATATATCTCCAAATTATCGGCTGGCATAATTGATAATGGCCACCCGCTGTCCATGCTGCAAGCCGCATCCCTGGTCAGCAATGCAGCCCAATGGAAATCCCAGTTGACCGGTTTGGATCACATCGACTTTCTGCGAGAGTTTGCTCAAGTGCACAGCACCGAGGAAATTCGCGACAGACTGGTGAACATTGCTCCGAAGATTTTCAGCAAGAGCAATATGCGTGTTGCAATTAATACCTCGGAGAGTTTTGCAAATACAGCTCTGGAACACTATAGCACATTCCTGCAAAACTTGCCAACTGTCGAAAAGATGAAGGGCAGAAATAAATTGCTCTTGCTGGCACCCAGTTTTCAGCATTATGATGTGAAAATCTCTATAAATTTCTGTGTGAAAGCTTTCTATTCTGTGCCCTACTTGCATATGGATCACCCTGTATTGCGGGTAATTTCAAAGCTCGTCGCGGCCAAGTATCTGATGCCAGTTGTTCGCGAGCTGAATGGAGCATATGGAGCTGGGGCCAGAATCGGTTACGATGGCATCTTCTACTTCTACAGTGTCAGGGATGAATACTCGACTAAGACACTGGATACATTTGATAAGACGAACGAGTGGTTGTTGAGCAACAAAAACAAATTGGATGAACAAATGCTGTTCGAGGCAAAGCTGGGCGTATTGCAGCTGCTGGATTGGCCAACAGCGCCTGGTGAAAAGGGCTTGGACTATTTCATTACAAGAGTCTCGCAGGAGGAATACGTTAATTATCGGAAACGCATGCTGGCCGTGACTATCGATGAGGTTAGCGCTGCCATCAATAAGTACTTCACGCACGAACCAAAACACGTTGGCAAATGCATTCTAGGAGCAAAAGACAAATAGAGTATGTTATGAAAGAAATTATAACACTTTTTATGTTACGTTTGTAATGAGTCCGCAAAAAGATCAATTCAATTATGTTGAACTTTCAAATGTGTCACGCAAGTACATAGCCAAATAAATATATCGATAGAGTCGATAGCAATTGCATCCCTGGCTAATGAAACCAGTAGAGAGAAAAACAAACGACATTTTTATTTATTTACCTATCTACTAAATACGTAAATTAAGCAGAAATATAATTTGGAAGTTCACTATAAATCGTTCCGAGAGCTTTACGTATTTCGTGCATCGCGAAATCAATATCGATAACTGACACAGAAAATGCACTATCGATGCATCGATACAATATCAACAAAATGTGCTGCGGATAAATATATTTTAAGTTAGCAGCTGACTGCATTTTGAAAGACTTAATTTTAAGAGTCGGTGGGTATTATAGTAATATTTTGAATAGATCACTTATAAATATGATCTGCATATGTCATTCGAATCAGTCGTATGCCTAAACTAGTAAAATTACCATATGCATACATATATAAATACATACACCTATACAAATGAGCCAATTCAATGCCGGCTGATGTAACTTTGATTCGAGTTGTGTTTTTTGTGTTTTTGGCCAATTGAAATGTAAATGCTCCGCCTTGGATATCAACTGCAATTCTCCTGTATCTGTGTACCATTTATCATTTGTAGACTACGCGCACCTAGCACAAAACAAAAATGCTCACTCGCTTGCAATGGTTGAGGGCGCTGCCACGCCCTGCCGCCTCGCTCCGGCGAAATATCAAATCATTTCCGGGTGCCAAAGTGGAGTCCGAACAGGCGCTGCAGGGAGCCATGCCACATGTAATGGCCGAGCGCAAATACAAATATAGCGAGGGCAAAATCTATAATGGATTCGAGTGCGAACGCATTGAATATATTCCCGATTTTGAGCTAACTTCCTGCACCCTGCGACATCTTGGCACTGGGACGGAGTTCTGGTATATCGATCGCAACGATGCAAACAATGTGTTCTCCATTAATTTCCGCACGACGCCCTTCGACTCGACGGGCATGCCCCACATCCTGGAGCATCTGGCCCTATGCGGCTCCAAGAATTTCCCAATTCGTGATCCATTCTTCAAAATGCTCAATCGCTCTGTGGCGACATTTATGAATGCCATGACTGGACCCGATTACACCCTCTATCCATTTTCAACAATGAACGAGGTGGATTTCAGAAATCTACAGAAGATCTACTTGGATGCGGTGTTTAGGTGTGTAATGAAATTATGTAATGTGAATGATATTGATTAAAATGCTTAATTCTTATAGGCCAAACTTGGCGCATCTGGACTTTTTGCAAGAGGGCTGGCGCCTCGAGCACAAGGATTTGAGCAATCGGGAATCGGAGTTCATTATCAAGGGAGTCGTCTACAACGAAATGAAGGGCGTCTTTTCAGAAAACTCGCAAGTTTTTGTGCAGAATCTGTTGAATAATATGCTGCCGGATCACACATACGGCTACGTAGCGGGCGGCAATCCCTTAGAGATACCAAAATTAACCCACACAGATTTGGTTGAATTCCATCGCAAATACTATCATCCGAGCAATGCGAGGATCTTCTGCTACGGCTCCTTTGATCTAATGAAATCCCTGGCATATGTCGACAAGGAATACCTGAGCAAAGGGGAACGCATAGATAATTCCTATAGTCGCATACCGAAACAAGTACGTTGGTCACAGCCACGTAACGTCCACATTCCCAGCAGGCTGGATAGCATGGGCGCCAGTTTCGATCGACAGAATCAGATAGCTATTGGATTGCTGATGTGCGACGCAACAGATATACAAGAGAGCTTTGAGCTGAACGTACTTTCGGAGATATTGATACGGGGCCCCAACTCGGCCTTCTACAAGAGCATGATCGAGCCGAACTTCTCTGGGGGCTACAATCAAAGTACGGGCTATGCCGCCGACTGCAAGGATACATATTTCGTTGTGGGCCTGCAGGATCTCAAAGTTGAGGATTTCAAACAGTTTAACGAACTGTTTGACAGCACGGTGCATAAGACAATCGAAGATGGCTTCGAATCGCAACACATTGAGAGTGTATTGCACAATTTGGAATTGTCGCTCAAGCATCAGAGTCCGCACTTTGGCAATGCTCTGTTATTTAACTCAACCTCGTTGTGGAATCATGATGGGGACGTTGTCAGCAGTCTGCGTGTCTCCGAAATGATTGCCAAGCTGCGGCGCAACCTACAAAATAATTCCAATTATTTTCAGGAGAAAATGCAGAAATACTTTACAAACAACACACACAAGCTAACGTTAACAATGTCCCCCGATGAATGCTATGAGTTGAACTTCAAGCGCGCCGAATCCGATATGCTCAAGCAGAAGGTAAATGCGCTCGATGCAAATATGAAGACGGAAATCTATGAGAATGGCATCAGGCTGGAGACATCTCAGAAATCGAGAGAGAATTTGGACGTGTTGCCCTGTCTATCGCTCAGCGATGTCAAGGAGCCACCCAAGCTACCAACAATTGAAATGCAAACAATCCAAAATGTGTCCACACAGTTGTGTAAGGTGCCTACCAACGAGATCACATATCTGAAGTGCCTGTTCAATATCACGGGCCTGAGCACAGATGAGATCATGCTCGTGCCGCTCTTCTGTAACGTTATCAACGACATGGGCACCACCAATCACAATTTCCGCGAATTCGACAAACTCGTCCTATCGAAGACAGCCGGCATTGACTTTAAGCTGAATTTCGTTGAGAATGTCGAGGATGCGAAGTCTTATAAAATGGGTCTGATGATCACGACCCATGCTCTCGATAAGAATGTGCCCGATATGTTTGCACTGACCCAAGAACTTTTGCTCAACTTTAAGCTGGAGGATACAGATCGGCTGAAGATGCTGATTGAGAATTACATCTCCAACATATCCGTTGGAATAGCAAGTTCTGGTCACTTGTATGCTATGCTAAGCTCCGCTGCCCTGGTCAGCGATGCGGCCAAATTGAAATCACAATTATCCGGTATGGATCATATAGACTTCATGAAGAAATATGTGCAACAGAACAAAACGGAGCAGATTCGCGATAAATTGAAAAATATTGGCTCAAAGGTGTTCAACAAGACCAACTTGACTGTGGCGATTAACACCTCGGAAGCCTTTCAACCGACAGCCCTGGAACACTACGCTGCTTTCCTTGAAAAACTGCCCACACTGGAAAAGACCAAGGAGAACAGCAAATTAAGTTTGCTGGAGCCCAGTTGTCAGCATTATATAATGAATATACCGGTTAACTACTGCGCCAAAACCTTCTTTGCTGTGCCATATTTGCACAAGGATCATCCCGTATTGCGGGTACTGGCCAAACTCATCTCGTCCAAGTATCTGTTGCCCGTAGTTCGCGAGCAAAATGGTGCCTATGGCGCTGGTGCGAAAATCGGCTCGGATGGCCTCTTTGGCTTCTTCAGTTATCGCGATCCACACTCGACGAAGACCCTGGATGCCTTTGACAAGACGTATGAGTGGCTGCAGACGGAAAGCAATAAATTGGATCTGCAAACACTGTTCGAGGCAAAGTTGGGCGTACTGCAGCAGTTGGACTCACCAATTGCCCCAGGCAACATTGGCATCGATAATTTCCTCTATAATGTCTCGCAGGATATGTTTGTTAAATATCGTTCCCGTGTCCTTTCCGTGACTATCGATGAGCTGCGCTCGGTTATCGACAAGTACTTCAAGGAGGACCCAAAAAATTTTGGCAAATGCATCTTGGGACCGTCAAACGATAAATTAGAAGAGAAGACCAAACTAAAATGGAAGGTCATAACCTAAATGTAGTAGCATATTCGATTAAAAATCTGACTGTATATATACACATACACACACGCATTATCTCTATTTGTACGCTTTATGTTTCCCACCTGGCGGAAAACGTTTGATTACTTGTTAACGGCCATTAAAGTTGCCATATTTCACATAGCGAATGTAATCATTATAGGATTTCAAATTATTCAGAAAATGTGTAATCTTTAAACTGGTACAACATTAAAACAAAAAAAAAAGAGTATAGAATGTATCATGAAATTATTTCAAATATTCTCCGACTTATTTAGTCTTTAAAAAAAGAAAAACTATTTCCATCGCCCTGCTCGACTGTAGGAAACGGAGAATATTCTAACTAATAACTAATCGCTTATATTTAAAAGGTAATAGGCTAAGTTAAAAATACTTTGTTATATTTGCTTATCCCTTCTACCCTTTCAGCGATGTCCCTACCGAGCACTTTCACCTCTGAGGAAGCGTACTTTAAAGCTGCTGTGGATTTTTTACGTAGCTACGCTTGGATATACCGCGAGGCAAATACAGCCTGCATTAAATCTCTAGATGCTATGCCTGTTCAATTTAAGGACTATTTTCTGGAACTAACAAACAAAGAGCTCAACACATTCCCGTTTGTTCACGAACACTTAGATGGTTGCCCCACTGAGGTGTTACGCTTTCGTGAACAAGTCGCCCATTTAACACCCAGCATTCAAACAGCTCCGACAACTGCCTGCAAGGCATTAACGAATGATCAATCGAATCATTCTCGCAGAATGGCACCCAAAAAACAGCATGAAATTCAAGAATTGGCTGCCAACATTCACGAACACTGCGCAGACAGGACACAGCTCATCATCGACCTGGGCTCCGGTTTGGGCTACCTCAGCGAGGCACTGTTTAAGTTGAATGACAACTATATGATACTTGGCCTGGAGGCAGATGAGAAGAGAGTTCGATCTGCTCGCATACGTAGTCAGCAATTGCTTTCGCCGGAGACGCATTTGTCGATTAGCTACCAGCAGCTGTTTGTAACAGCAGCTGAAAACTGCCGTAGTCAAATCGAGCAATTCGCCACTGAGTTGGCCCGAAGCAAAGGACTAACAACAAAGACAGCAACAACAACAGAATTAAGCACAACGTTAATTGGCTTGCATGCGTGTGCGGATTTAAGCATCAACGCAATGCTATTATTCTTATCAATACCACAAGTGCAGTGTCTACACATCATGCCATGCTGTTATCACAAGCTCGCCTTGACGGAACGGGGCACATTTCAAAACTTTCCCCTCAGCCGCGCACTGAGGTCGGCAATGTCAGCTGATGAGGCACTCAGCTTTAATCGACCCTTCATGCGTTTGGCCTGCCAGCAAACAAATTCGCGTTGGCGTTGCGATGCTCTCAAACACACACAGCATGGAACTCAGATGTGGACGCGTGCCTTGGCCTCAGCTCTTTGCGATGCGAATGAGCTGGTAAAAGTGAAGCGCTACAACCTGGCTCAAAATGACTCTATCCAGAACAACCCTCTGTATGAATATGTTCAGCAGAGATTTCAGCTGCACTCCCAACAAACAGGAGATCCTTTGGACTGGCGAGCTGTTCATGAGCAACGTTTTGCCGAACTAACCGGGAGGTATTCAGACGGAAAGGGTGCTCGTCTAGCTGAGGCCTTGTGCTGCTTGCAGGCTACCATACAGGTAGGTCATATAGTCCTGTAAAGATCCTATTATGTACTGCTACAACCGGTCGAAATGGTAGCTGAATAATTGCTTAAGTAAAATTTCAAAGTTCATCTGTGCTGCAAGAAAGGCTAAATGTCATTTGATTACTCATCAACCAGGCCTTGGAAATGTGGGTGCTTGGATAACCTATCTCTAACTCTTAGTGAGTATATCAGGTAATTTAAAGCTGAGGTATGCGTGTGTGGTGGGCTACAACTTAAGGCGTACCATTCAGCTCAGACGTTTAGCCATGGCTTCCGACAGTCAAACAGCAGTAATTTCACACAGGAATTTCACAGAACAAGCAAGACGACACGGAACACACAATAGGCGTGTCTGGAGATGGAAAACGAATCGGCAAGAATGGGGACAGAGAGGCACCTGGGAAGACGAGAACTGTATTGATGCACACGAAAATCCACAATACAGCAACAAGCTGGGCAGAGGCACCAGGTCTTAGACAAGCAAAATGTTTCTATAATCAAAAACGATTTAAACAAGTAAGATGTCACTGTGCAAAATCAAGTGCGGAATCTGGCAATTTTGTAACAATGAGGGGGAAAACTCAAAGTACATCATTGTGGATTGTGTCGCCTTAGGCAGAGATTATGCAGTAACCTGGGAAACCGTGTTTTAATCTCTCAAGAATCAGAATTGATGAATGAGCTGTAGGCGATTTTCACTGTAATTTAACAACTATAAATCGAATTTATTTAGGCTTATGCATCCTGAAAATGCAATCAGAGAGATGTAAAAATTAATTAGCTAAAAGTAACAACAGACCAACAACCAACAATTTTATGAGCACTTAGTGGAATTATAAATGCTATCTGCTTTCAATATGATTGATTAATGATATGGCAAATCAGTCTTTAATTATATTTTTAAATGTTTTAAAAATCTAGGCTTTCGTTGTATAAGTCTAAAAAATAAATGACTTCTTTGTCACTTAGATTGAATGAAGCAAATGATTTAGTTTAACTTCTTGGCCATACATTAAAATTTGATAGTCATTTTGAAGTCAATGTGAAGAAAGGTATTCAAGTTGGTCAAAGGAATTCGATGACCCTTATACAACCAAAACTCCTCTCACACACCTCTTTTGTAGGTCAAATTCTGGAATACGGATCCTGTGTGGGCATTCGTTTTACCGGATTGGAATCTATTCAAAATAATTCCATACTTTTTGCTGTTAATCGCCATAATTGGAATGTATTATCTCCTCCTCTTAAATGTTGTACTAATAATTATTCATGCATGAACTTTTCGACTATTCAGTAATGATTACCATAGACATTATCAGGTTATCAATTCAGAGACCTCTGTTTGGCTCATTAAAATCTCAATTTTAAACGTCTTGTCTCCTAAATAAAATTTTCCAATGCATTTGTGGTTGGGCATCTTAACTAATTCACACTAACTTTTTTTTTGTTATTTTATAAATATTTCTTCTTTTTTTTTAATTTAAAATAAAGTATTAAATTTTTTTTTGTATATATATATTTATTTTTGTATTTTTCAGTGTCAACTGATATTGGAAAAAAGTAATGAATTAAATATAGAAAAGTTGGATTGTATATGTTTAAATTTGGCATTCACTCCAGACTCTCTTTCTCTCCCCCGTCCAGCAACTCTGCGAGAATGTGGTGCTTTATGACCGTTTGTGCTACCTTCAGGAATTGGCTGCAGTGCAGCATCTCTCTGTGGAAGTGCGCTACGAGAAACTGTTTGATGAAAAGCTATCGCCGCGCTGTCGAGTCCTGATTGCCGAAAAGTTGTGATGCGGGTGCCGGCCAGGCTGGCTCGAACGAGAGAACGTTCCTGTATGTCGTTAACACAATTAGCAAGCACTTCGCCAGTGGCTTAAAATGCTGTTTAGATACTTATACCGAGGCACCTTGGCATCCACCGCTATCCGTTGGCATCAATTAAAATCAATGCCAGCTAAGGGAAAAACTTTGTGTTGCGTCGAGAAAGAGAAGCTCTTTTTTCTTTCCATTTTACAATTTGCTGCTTAAGAAAAGCATTTTAGCTAGTAAGTGCTCTTTTTGCTCATTACTTGTTTATCAGTGCGGGCCTCGCTATTGTAATTAAATTTCTTCCATACACACATACATCTATCTACAAGCAATTGTTTTTGTCACCCCGCAGAAGAGAATTATATATGCAAGCGAAAATACCTTAGAAAAGCAGAAAAGCTAATTGCTTTATTGCGGCCAAGTAGTTTTCTGCAAACACAATTGGTTTATGGTACGCACTGTATTTTGAAGCATTTTAATACAATTTGTTTACGTGTGTGCTACGTGTATGTATAATAAGTAGGTAATTGTATTACTATAGGTATGCTGCCAGATATATATTTACAAACTTATTATGTGTGTTGTGTGGGTATTAAAACTTTTCCAGCCCCGTTAAAAATTTTAATACCAGTTGCATTCAAAAAAACATAACAGTAACTAGCAAAAAGCCGATGAATGAACAAGGATATTAATTGCCAGAGGGGATCCATATGCTACAACAGGTTGGTCAATCAATCAATCAATCAATCAGTGCTACGGCATCTTTTTAGTTGCTGTTGTTGTTGATGTTGGCATCTTCCGAGGCTATGCTATTGGAATCCAGTGGAACTTCTTCGTCTCTGTGTGCGCAGAATGAAAAATGTATAAATTATGAATATAGTAAAGACTTGGTTAAGGTTAATCTTACGTGTTCACATTGGTGCAACGGAAGAAGTTACTGAAGCCGGCATAAGTACAGGACATGGTCATCACTGGTGTTGTTCTTCCCCTACTGCTGGCCTTTCCCTCATTTCCGCCCTCGTTCTCCGCCTCTCGCAGGGAGGAGCTCTTGCCCAGGGCCAAGCCGAGACTGTCCTGCTCGTAGGGCGATAGGAATTCCTCGCTACGTTTGCCATATCGCGAGCCGAGGAAGAAACGATCGTTACGTGGCACTATGATTAGGCGTCGCGTCTTCGAGGTGCCCACACCGCCCACGGGGGCACCTCCGCTTCCGCTGGCAACTTTGCCGCTCGAGCGTCCATATCGACTGCCCACAAAGAATGCGGGACGCTTCACCAAATTGGGAAACTCTACAAATGGAAAAAATGAGAAGAGCGTAATAAAAAAATATTTTTGTACTGTAAATTACAAAAAAAAGGATGCATTCAAAATTCAAACTCACCGTTGTCCTTGTGCAGCTCACTTTCCGGATAAGATATTTCTGCCGCTGTAGCTGGCAAAACGCTTTGGGCCAAATATGCGGAAAAGGCAAGCAATAAAAGGCCTATATACGATTTGCGTGATTGTCTCTGAAATGCCCTCGAATGCAACATGCTGGCCAGCAGATTTGTGCTCTGCAATAAAATAAAACGAAACGCTTGTAAGTCATGGCAAGGTGGTAGAGCAGCCCAGAGGGGAGGGAGCATCTGTAATGCGATATGATTTTAATTTATAGCAGAAAACAGTATTGTCCTTACGCTTTTTCAAAACTAACTGCAACCTGTGGCTTTCAATAAGGCAAGCGTTTGTTTGCTCTATTCTTGAAAGTCAGAGTCAGCTTGTGCATTTTATTTTTATATAACCAACAATACAAAATACGTGTTAAGTTTCATGTTAGCTGAGTTCCTCGCGTGGCTTTATCTTTATCCTTTTCTTTAGAATCCTTGCAGACGGAGATGTCATTGAAATCAGAGCTTTATTTATATATATATATATGTCTTATATATTTATTTATTTAATGTCGACAGTCGACACAGGAAAATACAATAGGTAAAAAATAAATTAAATTAAAAGTAAAATTTAATACTTAAATTTAAATAAATAACAAAAATTGAAGGTTTCTGGTGGTATTTAAATACAAAATAGTCCAACATTTGTTGCGTGTATTATGGCAAAAACAGACAAAATGTTAAAATGAGTATGTATTTTATGTAATACATACATGTGTTGTATTTTTCATAAATTAATTTGTTGTCTTGTCACAGCTTAATGAAGGTAATGAAATGCCCACATAGGTGCGACACCTTTCAGTAACAACCCCCAGAATGCTAGCATCAGGTTGTCTTATTCAATTTGTATTCATTAATACGAGTGAAAGTACAAAATTTGAGTTTCTCCAGCCGCGGCGGCGGGAGGAGACGTTATGCATTAACGGTAATTACAATCGTTGGCTGCATGTCGCGTAATGTTCGGCAACTGAGCTGCATAATTTGTATCGGATGTCCGACCACCCACTTTCCACTTTCCCACTTTTCACATTCCACTTATCCAGAAGTAATACCTTTTGGACTCACAAATTGCGTGGCTCTCGCGTTATAATTACATTTCATTTTTTTATTGCATTAATAATGTTGACACACAAAGGTAGCCACTGTTTTAGTGTGTGCACGTGTGTGTGTGTGTGTGTGTGTGTTAATGTATCCTTTATCGATGTAAAGTTATGCATAATGTATAAATCTTTACTGCCAAATCGATGTGTCAATGCTAACCCAAAGCATATATTAAATGGATTCGTGTTTCCAAATTTAAATGTAACTTATTATTTATTTTATATATATTTTTAGTTGATAAGAAAATCGATTTATTTTTTTTTTACTGTTAAATGTTCCCTTATGAAATTAAGACTTTAAAATAATGATCGATCTAAAATCCTGTTTCTAAACTTAGATATACTTTTGATTCAGTTTTCATAAAGGCATCGGAATAATGATTGATTTCTTTTTGTTACTTAGCAGTCGTATTTACAAATTTAAATGCTATATTAATCTATGATCAAAAGTGCATTGCTTTTGCAAATCGTTACAGTTTTGACCAGTCCAGACTACCAGTCCCAATATGCCATATTTTGTTTATTAGATAACTAAGATAACTATAATGTTATCTTGCGTAATACATAAGGCTCAAAGTGCACAATTGGAAAATAAATAGTTTAGTTACGACGGCCAATTGATAAAAAGACGTGACGCTTCATCGCTCTAGTTTCGGTGGTAATTATCTGGCCAAACGGCAGTAAGAGCCTTTCATTTCCCTTTAAGCAGAGAAAGGGGGCCAATAAATTATCGATGGCCATGATGGCCTACGTGAGTGATTATGGATTATGATGCTCTTACACCATTCAGTATTCGATATTCAGTTAGGCTATAAATACTAAACCACTTTTGAGAGAAGAGTTCAGTAAGAGATCAGTTAGAGTAAAATGCACTTCACAAACCGAGCTAACAGACAAAGTTGCAGCTACCAAAAAATGTTGCACCTACTGCTGGTGTTGGTAGTCATTACTGTTAATGGATGCACTGCCTCAAACAGTGAGAAGACATTGCCTAAGCGCAGTCTGGATGTCTCATCTATTCCCTGGGCAACGACGAGCAGTGTTGGTAATCTTGGCGGTCCTTGGAATTCAGTTGGTGGCTGGGCAGGTCTTGGAGGAGGCAGCAGTGGGTTATGGAGTGGCAGCCAGAATCCTCTCAAGTCCTCGCCATCGCCAAACGAAGTGGCCAATGCCATCTCAGCAGCCAAGCAGGCATCCGCAAATGTACTGATTGCCCAGCAGCAAATGCAGGCAGCCAAGGAGAATGTGCTGAATCAGCAACGCATCGCCATGGAGAAGGAAACACATGCTGCGATCCTCACCCACAAATCGGAGGCAGCTGCCGCCATTCAACGCTCGGAAGCAGCTTCGGCTGCATCCGCTGTCGTCCTGGCCCAACAGAGACTGGCTGCCTCCAAGGCGGCAGTTGCATATCAGCAGAGGATTGCTGCTGCTCGTGAAGCTGAGGCAGCCTCGGCACTGCAGAGATCGGCGCATGCAGCTGCCGCCGAGATTCAGAGGACAGAGCATGAGGCGGCCAAGTTTGGTCAGTTTACGCGCAATGGCAACGCTGGAGCGGCTCATCATCTGACAATTATCAAGGATGATGCTCTATCGCCGATTACCGCCGGCACCAATCATGTTCCAAGTCTGGAGGGTCTTGCCCTTGGTCCCTGGTTGAGCGGGAACAATGTTGGCAAGGGGACCAGCCCGTCTGCTTGGGTGCAGTAAAATTGACACTCTTTGTACACAATTAAATATCTAATAATAAATTTAATAAGCGCATTGAAAATTTTGTGTTTTCTAATTTCGACGAGCTGCAGTTCGATATCGGTAATCTGAAGGCTCTAGCTATTATTATTCCCTAAAATAACGCAATTTGTCGCAAACGTAAAAAATCTGCATTTCAAAAAGATAACTTTTTAAATTTTATTTTATTTTACTTTTTAGAAATTCACATTTTTCTAGACATTTCCATCGGTCTGACGAAGTATATTTTAAAGTATTACTTTAAACATTGTCACTGTATTTTTCCAATCGGTTATACGATTCTTGGTTATTTATTTGTACCTTGATTTTTACGGTCCATAATGGTAGAATACAAAAGTTAAAAAAATAAGCAAGAACTTTCCAGTAATAATAATAATTATAACTTACAAAGAACCTTCTTGCACATGAGAAAAAAAAAAATATATATATATACAATTGGGTCGGTCCTCTAGATTGTTTTGACGATATGGTGTTTTTGGGACACACAATAAAAGTTTCGGAATTTTTTCTTAAATTTCATTCCCGATTTGACACCTTTTATTTAACACATTTGAAAGCAAAAAACCCCACAATTTTCTGCAAAACTAATTTAAAGTCCTGTCTTTTTTAATGTAACCTGTTGTCCCTAAAATATTTATTACAAATGTAACAAGTTCACTCATTAATATAGATTGTAGTATTATCTGACAACATATTGTACCCAAACACAACTGTTTTTTCTTAGTAATTTTCAAGATTGCTTATCAACTTAATTATATAAATATGTGGCTGCTGTGGTGATGAGGGAAATTTTTGCAAAATCAAAAAATCATATGATCCTGAGCCTATATTTGCTCTAATTTTTTAATTCCTTCTGGCAACGATTAAACCTTTTATGCTTACTTATCCGTCAGAGATTAAGTTGTTGAGTTTGTTACTTTCGTTTACATGACGCATACAAATGTCGTTTGGTTAAACTTTTAACCAAACAATTGCTTAGTTGACAGCCGGATGTCCTTTTAATAAATGCCTTTCGCACGTCTGCTTAACATTATTCTTTCCCTGGGCTGAATTCAGGCCAATTAATTACAGGCAATTGTTGGTTAAATAGATCAAAATGCCAGCACATTGTTGTTGGTCAAACTCTTTAAATGATGGTGGAATATATGTATATATGTGTAAAATATGTTTACTTTTTTTCATGCGACTAACGCATGTGGTTTTTGTCTCTGAGGGGCGTTGCCACGCCTCGTCCTGACCTCAAACTAAAGGCTTGTTGCTTCTGAAAATTTTGCGCACTTTTGGGACAAGTTTTGTCGGGCCCCACCCTGCCAGCTGTTGTTTTTTACGTTGCCCGGTTCGTCTCTAATTTGTAGCCAAGTGCACAACCAGAGTCCAATGTTAGATGTATGCGGTTACAAAGGATACAAAGGACATTGTTGGCAGGCTGCTGCTGCTGTTGCTTTTCGTGTACATTTCAGTTATTTACATCTCTTCAATTTGCACCCATTTTGTGCATCGCGAATACTGCAACCGCTAAACAGGTAATTAGACAGTAATTAGATTCAAGGTAGCGCTGTGTACTCTACTTAAAATGGATTTTTGCGTCAGCTCCTCCTGCTGTTTTCTCATGGGAGATGGAAGTACGTTTTGCGTGACACATATTAATAACTGACCCATTTTTTTTATTTAAAGAAGAAGAATTAGCTTGAATACCATATAGAACTATTGCCAACATTTGCAATAAATTATATAACTGATTCTAAGCAATGATCTGTGAAAGTTGAGCTCCATAAAGTTTAAAGTTATTCAAGAAGATCTTTATTAAACTCTCAAAATGAAAACTGAACATTTAGTTCAGTCTTAAGTGCAGTTTGATATTTCTGAAATTAAATTTGTCTCGTGTTTTTTTTTTTTTTTTGCTTTTGCGGATTATCATTTTATTGATATTTGTACGAATTGATCGTAACACACTTTTAATTAATATTCGATTATGTTTTTTTCTGTTCTTAAGTCGTCTTTATCTTTTTTTACCACCAGTTCTGTGGTTTTTCTTTTTACTAATCGTCACTCCAACACACTTATATATCAGATAATATATCTTTTCTTTCTATTAATTCTGTTTGTATTTGTTTTAATCAGAATAAGATATAACTTTTCTATTCATAGTAATCCTAATAAGTAATTTGAACTCTTTCCACTGCCTTCATGCTCAACTGATTACGATTTTCACAATACTGTTTGTGTCATCCGTATTAGTTACAAAACATTTTTTACAAAACTTAGAATGCGTAAAAAACTTTATTTTTCTTTACATGTTTTTTAAGAATTGTGGACTGTTTAAATAAATAAATTAATATAGCCATGATAAGAAATACTTTGAAATACCGTGTTGCTAGTCTTGCTGCTAAAAGTCACTCAGCTCATCTACTCCTTCCTCTATATCGCGACTTTGTCAGTGAAATGATGTTGCTGTCAAGCTTGCTGTTTCGCGGACCCAAAAACGGAGAGGCGGCGGACAGATAAAAATCTGGTCTGCTGTCCTCCAACCACCCAACTCCAGCTCCCATAAAGACCGCCAAGACAATGAAGTTGTGTGTGTGTCTAACTACACACGTAGATATATTATGCTGTATTACATTGAGTCAGAACAAAGACAAACAAATAAATTTTAATAGACGCCGCCAGGTGACAAACGCCGCATTAACTCGCCCTAAATTGCAATTAGGGAATATTTGGCTATTTGGTAATTTGGTAATTGACGCGCGTGCGTTGCCCAAAAAAAAAAAAATAAAAGAATTAGAAAAGATTCCAAGGGTCGTTTTCTAAGAACAAATCTAACTCGAACTTTGACTTGGACCGCCAAAAATGATGAAACTCAAAAGGTGACGTTAACTGTTGATTAAAAATACGTATTAGCTGCTATCGTTCCGCGACTGATAACGAGCAGCTAATGATAAGTGATAGACCTAATAGAGAAAGCCGTCTATGATGGTATTTTTTTGGAATTTCCAAAAGTAATTGATGGTTTCTGGTTTTTGGTTTTTTGTGACTACCACATTTTTCTATTTTTGTTATTTTTTTTATCAATTCGTTAGGCATGGTAGATAGATAGGTTATATATATATATATAGATATATATATATTTATATATATATATCTGAGGTTAGTATCGTTATGGCTATCACGTACATGTAACTGGGCCACATTTAATTGCATGCAATCATAAATTTGCTGCCTTATTTTTTGTTTTTTTTGTATTTTGGAGGGCTGGCATTTTGATCAAGGTATTTTGCAAACGGTTTTTTAAATCATCATTTATGGTTTTCGGTGAGTTCGCATGTATCGTAAATACCCTTATTACGCACACGCCCACCAGCCAAAATTACCCCCACAAAATAAAGGGCAACTTTTTGATTTGATTGCCAAAACCCACAATCGTTTAACAAAAGGCGGGCTGAACAACAATATCAGGTGAATGACGTCCTTAAACTGGACACGTACGAAATTTGATTTGAATTTTCAAGTCAGCAAGAAAAAGCAGATGGCCCCTTTTGTTATTGGCCCCAACTTAGTGAAGTTCGTCTAAGTAGATATACTTATTAAACCAGAAGACTTAATTAAGCCATGATGGCTGATTTTGGCGTGTTCTGCATTATTTTGATAGAATTTTAGATTTATCTCATGCCCATCCAACACGGTGAGTTTGAACTCTATTACAGATAATTGCAACAGAGACAGCCGGCTGCCTCTTAACCCCCCTCTTGAAATAAATTATTTGAAGTTCAATTAAGATTTCAACGTGACCACAAAGCCAGTTCCTACTGATGTTGACGTATTACAAATTTTATCCCACAGTTTTGACGGTTTTCACTCAAGTCGAGAACTTAGAGCCCCTCCCCTCACCATTTCTATGTGCATTTCCAATTTCTGTGCGCGGCATCATTAAATGAATTTAGCCAGGCATGTTTGTGACAAGTATTTAGATACATTAAGATGAAGGTATTATTTGTCTAACCGAAAGTGAAATTATTCTTCCATGTATTATAATTAATAATAAAAATATGTCACATTCCCCATTTTTATTGACCATTTTAAAAGCAATATCATCGCGTCCTTGGGCAGAAAATATGTAAAAGCTTTAAGTCTAAAACATTGCCAAGACTGGTAAAAACTCAATAGACACCGATAGGAAATTGGAATACAAAACAAATAATGCCCCTACCCCATACAATGTGTGTGTGTATTTATACACTATAAATATGAATATGTGGTTATGTAAATAGGAGAGGCATTTGATGTGTGTGTTTAGCTTGATGGGATTTTATATTGTCTTTCTTACTTTGCTCGCCTGCCGTTGGGAGGCGTCAAGCGCTGCATTTAAAAACTGATGTTGTCCTTGCTGGAACTTATGGGGAAAAATGCAGTCAATTTGGTTACACACTATCGCTATTATGATAGTCACCCAGCGTTGTTTTATTGTTAAATCAAGAAAACAATTCATGAATATTGGTGTTATGCCTACTGGAAAAAAATCCATGCGAAAACGATGTATTTCCCAACTTCGACGGACTGAAACTAACAAGTGCTTTATTTGTGCCAATTTCAGGCAAAAATATCAATCAAAAAAATATAGCATCCAATTTCAGTATTTGATTTTGTAAAGTTGTTGATTTTCTTACATGTTTATTTATCTATAATTTTGGATTTTATTTACTGAGAAGTCATTGCTAAACAGAAAAAGATGTGTTTATTTTTTATATATTTTTAGCTTTAAGTCTTGGATACCAATGCGCTTTGCAGGCTGACTAAAAGGGAAGCTCAGACGAATTAAAACCACCTAAGGGGTTGAAGAAAAAAAGGACGACTAATATTTTTGTCATTCCCAAAGGGGGCGGGAATTGCATGTTTAATCTGACACCTTGCCATGGACCGCTACTGAATTTCTTTCTGCTGGTTTTGTTTCACATTTGAAAATAAAAAACCTAGTATTGCGACTCGATACCTGAGGCATTGAGGAAAACTGTAACTATTGCGCAAAACTTGGCAGTGAACAAACCACAAACTCTAAGCAACTCCACGACCTCCTCAAACTGTTTGACTGGCAATTCATAAATATTGATTGAAAGACGCTGCTTGGACTTTGGAAAAAAGTTTTATGCTTATCATCCATTTTGTAAAAACAAAAATGCATATTTGTTATTCGCGAAAGGCATCCATTTTGCTCAATGGGCATTAATGTGTATGAGTTAATATTTATTCATTAGCCCTTTAGGCCTCAAGTGGACCGGACAATGTGGCCTTCATTATGAGCCAATGAAGTTTCAGAAAAAAGTTTTGTTAAGTACTCGCTGACAGCCTTTTATTTCATAAGCAACTTCATTACCTTAACTGAGGTCAACTAATAATAATTAATAATAAATATATAATGAAATGAGTTCAAGAAAATTTAACTGTTAGCGAGGTGAATTATACAAAAATTTTGGAAGTATACAGAATACGTTGTGGGTATTAAAACTAATAATAATTAATATATTGCGTACATTACTAAAATTCCTTAACCTGGCGGGTTTTCAATTCCACAACCATTTTGAAAGGAATTTTTCATTCAATTTTTTTGTTATTACTATATTACTATATTGTTACTGTTACTATATTACTATATCTATTTTTAGAGAAATTACAGCTAAGTTCAGGTTAGAAAATCTTCAAATTGATTTGCACTTTATTACAAAAAGAACTCAAGGTAAAACTGTTGTAATGTTTTTTTTTCCATTATCGACAATTTTTAGTAATTGAAATATGTTTTTTTTACTTCAATAAATTTGGAATCCCGTCGGATTTCGTAATGCGAAATTTGCTATTTAACTATAAGTATAAAGCTTTAATTTCAACTATAACTGGCTTCGAATTGTCATCGATTTGTTCGATTTCAATTCGATTTTGAATATTTATAAATTCTGCATTTTAAATATCAAAAGTACACAAATATTAGTACAAATTCTTGAAGTAAAATATTCCCTCTATTAAAACTAACTCACTCTTGTTTTAAACTTTCCTTGAAAATTTAAATCAACTTTTCTTATGTAAAATTTAAACCAGATCGAATTTATACCAGTTTTTTTAATGTTGTTATCTCGAAGTATTTTTGAACATAAAACTCAGTTTATTTCAAAAGGAATCTGTCTAAACACATATACAAAATAAAGGTTTAAAATTAATTATAACTGGGGTAGAATTGGCATTCAGTTGTTATTCAAATTTCAGCTCGCTTTTCAATATGTATAAATTCTGAATTTTAAAAATCAAAGTATACAAATAGAAGTACAAATTCTTGAAGTAAGTTATTTCCTATTTCAAAACTAATCACTCTTTTTTTAAACACTCTTTGACAAGAGCTTTTATCAGTTTTTTTTTATTTTAAATATAGAACTCAATTTTTTTTCGAAAGTAATGTTATCTCGAATTTGAATATATAACTCACTTTGGACAAAAACGTGAAAATTATCGAATTAAAAATGGACCGCACTTGGCTATTGGCTGCTGTTGCTGCCACAGGTAGAAGTCGCTGATTGTTGCCGATTTTAGATATTGGCACGAACGTTTGCACACAACTTAACCGAAGTGAATGAGCGCAGGTCCTTTGGCCGCCTTGGCTTTTATACCCTAACACACTGAGAACGGTGAACGGGTGACGTCGCGACAAGCGAATCAACAACAGGCTGGATGCCACACTGTATTGGTATTGGTATTGCTGTGTATACAGTGTGGGTGTGCATGTGTGTGTGTGTGTATGAGATAACACTTGCACGCACTGTGTGTGTCCCCACCCCACAACAACCCTCCCCGACCAGCTGATAATACTGGGCAGGTGGGATATTTTCTTATGTTTTGTTGTGGTTGTTGCTGTTGCCTGCGGCCTGCGGCATTTATGTATAAAGCATAAGCAACATGTTGCAAATCTCTCGAAGCCCATGTTTAATGCATAAATTGGAAGCTGTTAAGCTACAGATCGGCCTGACATATAACCATTCCATAGACACACATCTATATTCCCTTTTCTAGTTGAGTGTCCATGTAACGGACTTGATGCTGACTAGGCGATCTCGATTCATTTCATAGAATTTCGTATTCCGAAATGCGAAGGCAAATTAAACTTAATCAAATCCATTAATGTGTTCCCTTATCTAATCGCATGTTGAACCAGTTTGCTTTCAAAATTACCCAAAAATTGTGGAAAAGTGTATACACTTGAGGAAAATCCACTCCAATATATACAAGGAAGTATCCATTATTCTTAATTTAAATACAAAAATGGAATGACGTACAAAATACTCCTAATTTTTTAACTTATACACTTTAATTCAAGCTAGCAGTTAAGCAGTCAAGCAAGATAAAGTTAAAAATTAAAGTACCTCAAATAGAAGTAGTCAACTGGAAGTAGTCAAGTATTTAGCTTATGAGATATCTAAAAATTTTCTCATTGTAAGAAAGAGACAAATTAATCTTAACATATCGCGAAATAGACACGTACATTTGGGATTTCCGGGATTACAGAAAACCCTCAATATTTTTCTGAGTGTATGTATTTCATCAATTGCCTGACAGTATCAAGTACCAATTAGATAATAACAACAAAAATCCATTGTAATGCCCACCATCCAGAACACATAATGCTAACTCACTAATGTTAATTCCATATCGAAACCTATTGCCATGACTAATTACGCATATGGCGAAAACAATTTAGCGTTAAGCAAAGGTTGCTTTTTAAATGACTACGCCAAAGGAGTACTTTCAGCGTACATCCACTGGCAAGCTCAACAAGCAAACAAAGTTATTGAAACAATTAAAAAGTTATAAAAGACGACGCTCTTTACAGCTCTTCATATTTCCTTTCTATTTGCCAGCACAAAACAAAGAAAATCAACTGACTTTGTAAAGTTGACATTGTAAAGGGCTGACATGTGTGCGCTTAGAACTTATACTAATTTGAATATTTTGTGGAGATTCAATAAGTTAAGTGATATCTTAATTTTTCCTTTTAGTTATCAATATTATTTATAATAAATCCAATTATTTATGCACCAAAAACTATAAAATGAAAATAATTTTAAATAAATAATTTCCTTTCTTATTAAATCAACATATTAAAGAGTTTTCATCCAATAAAAATATTCTTTTTTATTCCATGATTTCTACTTTTTTCTTGGGGTTTGGTTGGTCCACATTTTAAACTTTAACAGTCGTTTAATCAACCAGAAATGCCAACTCATCAGTCGCACACGTGCAACTCGTCAATGTAGCGTTGCCACGTTGGCACAAAATTTGTAAGTGTCTCAATAAAAATTTAGAAAAATATGAGCATGCTAGTTTTATCATAAATCTCGAATATTAATGTAAATCAACAATAATGCTCGACAAGTCCCGTTAGAGTTTGGGCAAAGATAGATTTCTGAATTTCTCGAAATTGGTTTTAATGCGCGTTCGTGCTGAACGACCAGTGGAAACACATCAAACCACATTTTGGTGCTGCCAGACTTTCTGAGAATTTTATACCTAAATAACGCACGGCATCTTTTCATCACACTGTCGGTGTGTGCAGTGCAAAAATAATTTTTTTTTTACGGACAAATGAAATTCTGCAAAAGCATCATTTGAACAACCAGTCAATTGCAGAAGTATAGTTAAAGTCGGGTAAGTAAAATAAGCCATAGCTATTGCAATTTAAAAAAATTAAATTAATCGAGACATTGCCGAAATCGAGTGTTGTTGTAAAGCGGCATAAGAGATACACACGACAAAAAAAGAAGAAAAAATGAATATATAAAGAGACGCCAACGAAAAGAGAACGAATGAAATGCATTTCAGCTAATCGTCGATAAAAAAATTAAATAACAAGAATATAACAACGATTGTTGACTGAATAGCGACATTTTTGTGTGTGTAATTCCAACAGAATAAACAAAAAGAACAATTCTGACTGCGGCTTCACATTTTTGCCGGGTGGCGCGAAAAAAAAGTGTTTTTACGCGCGTGCGTTGGCTAAAAAAACAACATCGATTTTTCCGCAACGAGGATTCTATAGGAGGAGACTATAGCAATGGGTGCCTACCTATCGCATCCAAAGACGGAAAAGGCCTCCACAGACGAGCGCAGCGAGCTGCTCATTGTGGGAGCCAGTTCCATGCAAGGCTGGCGCAACAGTCAAGAGGTAATTTTCCCTTTGGTCTTTGTTTTTTTTTTTGTGTGTGTTAATTTGGTTGTGTCTTGTGTCTTTAAGGATGCACACAATTCTATATTGAATTTTGATACGAACACATCGTTCTTTGCCGTCTACGATGGCCACGGCGGTGCCGAGGTGGCCCAATACTGTGCCGACAAACTACCCGAGTTCCTCATGAGTTTGGACGCATACAAAAGTGGTAAATTAGAAAAGGCGCTTAAGGATGCCTTTTTGGGCTTTGATAAGACACTGCTCGAGCCGACAGTTGTGAACACATTGAAGATTTTGGCCGGGGAACACAATATTGTCGATGAGGATGCCGAGGGCTTTGAGGAGGAGGACGATGACGAAGATCTCGCCGAACTGCATGAAGAGAGCAATTTGCCATTAAACGAAGTGCTGGAGAAGTACAAGGGACTGCCCCAAACACACGATCTATCGCTACTCAGTGCAGATTCCGCTGCCGCAGCTGCTGCTGCTGGTGGTGCTGGTGGTGGTCTGCTGCAGCGTGGTCGTCGTGCTGCTGCCGTTGCTGCTGAGGCAGTCAATAAAGCGGTCATGGATCCAACAGCCAAGCCGACCGGTTCATCTACCTCAGCAGCCGCCGCAGCTGCATTCCATGAGATCGATGGACCCGGTCCCAGTGGCTCTCGTCCTGTGAAACGCGCCCTCGAGGATGAGTCGGCAGTGAGTAGTAGCTGCAGCAGCAGCAGCTCAAGCGCCAATTGCTCCAACACACATGCTACTAAAGTGGACGAAGAAGTAGTTGCTAGCAACAACAACAATGTCGTCGCTACTACTGCTCCTGCTCCTGGTGCTGCTTCTGCTCCTGCTGCCGCTGCAGCTGCTCCTGCTACAACTGAGCAGAATGGTAGTGTGACCTCCTCGGAGGCCAAAGCCGTCGTTACGACTGGCGCAGAGAGTGGTGCCAGCACAACGGAGGATTCAACTGTTTCCGGCTCCAGCGATGTGGCCGTCGATAAAAAGTCCAATGGGGCCATTGTGGAAAACAAATCGACAGTCGCCAGCAAAGCAGAGCCAGCTGACATTTCATCCACCAGCAAGGAGGCGGAGAAGGTGTTGAAAAAGGCAACGAGTGCCAACCAGGACGAGGACTCCACCGACGATGATGCCGACTACGATGAGAATGCTGTGGTGAAAGCCCAAGAAACTGCTGCCGCTGATAGTTCCTCCGAAGAGGACATGGAGGTGGAGAAAGATGGTGAAGGTGACGACGATGATGACGACGACGACGACGATGATGATGATGATGATGATGACGACGACGACGATGAAGTAAGTTAAAGATTTACATAATTAAACTGCTCAAATTATATATAAACGAATTTTGCAGGATGATAATGCCAGCGAGGATGCTGATGAGGATCAGCTGGCAAACGATCATTTCTGCGCCAACATGATTGAGGAGCCTGGCAAGGATAGTGGGTGCACAGCGGTTGTCTGTCTGCTGCACGGCCGTGACTTATATGTGGCCAATGCCGGAGATTCGCGCTGTGTCATTTCGCGCAATGGCAAAGCGATCGAGATGAGTCTGGATCACAAGCCCGAGGATGATGAGGAGTCGACACGCATTGTGAAGGCTGGCGGCCGAGTCACACTCGACGGTCGCGTCAATGGAGGCCTCAATTTGTCGCGCGCCCTGGGCGATCATGCCTACAAGACGAACTTGGAGTTGCCGGCCGAAGCACAGATGATCTCCGCCCTGCCGGACATCAAGAAACTGATCATTACACCGGACGACGAGTTCATGGTGCTCGCCTGCGATGGCATCTGGAATTATATGTCCAGCGAGGAAGTTGTCGCCTTTGTGCGTGTGCGTCTGACTGACGAGGGCAAGAAGTTGTCGGTCATTTGTGAAGAGGTGAGTTGCATGGAAACAATTAAATCAATCAATACTTATTTATATATTTGTATGTTTGTCTTAGCTATTTGATAACTGCTTGGCGCCAAATACGATGGGCGATGGCACTGGATGCGACAACATGACCGCTGTCATTGTAAAATTCGAGAGAAAACTACAGGAACTGCCAGCCACACTGAATCCAGCTGAGACGGCCGATGCGCTCCTCCAAGCAGCATCCCAAAAGCAACAACAACATGCCAACGATACTGCGAATGCGGAGCAGAACGCTCTCAAGCGTTGCGCCTCGCCAGATGCCGGTGCTGATGATGATGATGGCGCCAATCGTGCCGAGAACACCAGTAAATCGAAACGCTTGAAGATCGAAAGCGAATCGTTGGAGTCGGCGGAGGGGGGCAGTGCCAAGAAATCCGCCGATGCTATCAGCAGCTGCACACAATCACCAGCCGTTGATCAAAAGAAGATTGAAGATAGGAAGGAATCCGCAGTAGTCGTATCATCCACATAAATTATATATATTATTATTGAACCCGTAAGAATGAATGGAAAGTGCATCTGCATTTTGATCTTTATACTATTCTGATCCTTATTTCAACTTCAACTTCAACTTGAGCTCTTAGAGCTGAAAACACAAAAGAGAAAACATTGAAACAAATTTCCAAATTAATTTAGTAATATATGTGGACACAGAATCAGAACTCCAATTTGTTGTACGCATCTAAGTTTTAGATATTCATGCAAAAAATATGTCGGTTTTTTTTTTAGATCTGTTCTATTTTTTAACACTAAAATGAAAATCATTTAATACTTTGCAGCAACTCAAATCATTCAACTTCGAACACCATACATATATTCATAATGCATACATACGTACAAATATATAAACTCTTGATTAGATCTTATTTTTCGCATGCATGCAACGGAAAGATGTTTTCATCTATATTTTAAACTTAATGTATAATGTGACGAGTTAATAAATAAAAGCCAGTAAGTACGACAACTGCCTCTGCTATAAAAATTTAGAAATACGCATACCACACAGATATTTCCACAGATTTACATTAATTTTCAATAAATTGGAACATAATTCAGCTCAAAAAGTTAGAAGTGGTTATTTGAGCCACCCTAATGCGCAACGGTCGAGCTATATCTCAAAAATATTTTTTTTTATAATATATTATTATCCCACTGAAAAAATCTGAAATTTTATCAGCACCAGCAACTATTTATGAGCATAATAATTAATGAAATGCATCATACTTTCAATATGCAAATAATTCGACAATGCCAATCGAAAAAATACGTCTTTCTTTTTAGTATTTTATCGACTGTTTTATCGTTTTGTTTAAATTTAGTACATTTCGTTTGCAGTCACACTCATAATTTTGGTATGTTTGCATGCATGTGTGTGTGTGTGTATGTGTGCATATTTGTAAGCGGAATACGATTGAAAGCAAATTAACATTCTGTTACAATTCCCGTTGAGAGATTAAAAGATTCGCCAAAATTGATCCGCTAACGCCGACGGCGAGCGCAAGCAACGCAAAAGAAGGCGTTTGCAGAGGCTCCAAACCAAAGGGCGTCGACGCAGCGAACGCGAATAACGGTACAGTGGCATTGCTGCCACTGCCTGCTGCCACAAATCCAACAACAGCAACCACAACAACAGCAGCAGCAACAACAGCAACAACATCGAACAGCTTTGATATCATTGATGAATTGGGTCGCTCGCTCAATGGCAAAGTGCAATTGACAGCAGCCAGCAGCAAACAGCTTGTGTTGCACGCCAAGGAGCCCGACACGATGTCCGGGGATCAGAAAGTGCTGCTCAAAGGACACGCCTCCCAGTATGTCAAACTGAATGTGGGCGGTCGCTTGTATTACACGACAATTGGCACTCTGACCAAGCACAATGACACCATGCTCAGTGCCATGTTCAGCGGTCGCATGGAGGTGCTAACCGACTCAGAAGGTATGTCATCATACCCATCATTCCCTCTCAAACTAATAGTCGTTTCATGCTAGGTATATGTTTGTTATTAGATGCTGCGCTGTTGAGTCAAATTAATATTTCTGTTAATGAAGCCCATAGAATTTATAATTCATTCAGAGTACTCTGTTTCTATCATTAAGTATTCAAATTTAAACGAGTTGTCTCAACTCGTGATTAATTAGTTGAGCATCTTAACTAACATACACTAACTATTTAATTGACCTGATTGGGTTTTTATTTTTGCATTCAAATTCCCCAGAAATATTTAAATTGAATATTAAATTTTATTTTTAATTTATTTCGTTTTTTACCTTATATTTTTTCTGAGTCGACTGACATTAAATAAATATATATATTAAATGCGCCACTCCCCTTTGCAGGTTGGATATTAATCGATCGTTGTGGCAATCATTTTGGCATCATATTAAACTTTTTGCGCGATGGAAGTGTGCCGCTGCCCGAGACGAACAAGGAGATTGCCGAGCTGCTCGCCGAGGCTAAATACTATTGCATCACGGAGCTGGCAATGTCCTGCGAGCGTGCCTTGTACACGCACCAGGAGCCAAAGCCGATTTGCCGGATACCATTGATAACATCGCAGAAGGAGGAACAACTCTTGATTAGTTCATCGTCAAAGCCGGCGGTGATTTTGGTGGTGCAGCGACAGAACAATAAATACTCCTACACAAGCACCTCGGATGATAATCTGCTGAAGAATATCGAACTGTTCGACAAGCTCTCGTTGCGTTTTAACGAACGCATACTCTTCATTAAGGATGTGATTGGACCGAGTGAGATATGTTGTTGGTCGTTCTACGGGCATGGCAAGAAAGTCGCCGAGGTCTGCTGCACATCGATTGTGTACGCCACGGATCGGAAGCACACGAAAGTGGAGTTTCCTGAGGCACGCATCTATGAGGAGACACTGCAGGTGCTGCTCTATGAGAATCGCAATGCACCTGACCAGGAGCTGCTGCAGGCAACCTCATCGGTTCGCGCCGGCGGCGTCAGTGGCGCCAGCATGCATCAGTATACCAGCGACGAGGAGGAGGAGCGCACTGGACTCGCCCGGCTGCGCTCGAACAAGCGGAATAATCCCACTTGACTTATGCCCAAGTTGGAATTACCACAGATTTGATGGCAAAATTGCGGTGCTTTCAGCCATTGCTGGTTCGCTTGATCCGGGTCCTTGGCACGAGTATCGCAACAGAAACTCTATATATATATAGTTAAAACATACCATATAAACAACTGCCGAGATTTGCTGAAAAAAAAAAAAGAAAAAAAAACAAACATGCAAAAACAATCGGACTAATTTGGATATTATTGAAACCTCGTGAGGTTAACCTGTTTGCTTTCTATCTTTAATCCCCCGATAGGCCCAAGCAAAGGGCAAAAGTATTAGGTCTTAAATATATATTTAAAGCAAGCCAATCTAGATACAAGTATAAATATATTAAATATATATCCATCTTTCTCTCTCTCTATATATATATATATATATATATGTATGTAAATGTATATGTAGGCAAGTAAATACAATTGTGAAGCGATTAAAGAGCTCAATAGGCAAAATTTCTAATGGTAGATATATTAGTTACAGTTGATCCTTCAAATATCGCATGAAATATATATATATATATCACTTACATAGTTGGATGCGTTTGCTTTTAAGGGTGGATTTTGGCAACCATAGCAACAAGCAGGAAAGCGAACAACAAAAAGGAAAACTTTAAAATGGAAGAGCTACAAAAGGCCGGACTCTATATTGATGAAATCTATAGATTGCGTGTCCAAGATCCCCGGATTGCCAATCAGACGATTGAACTGCGGCAGGAGTGCCTGGAATATTCACGCAACTTGCAGGTTTTCAAGAAATTCGGCGAGGACTTTTACAAAATCTCTTCGAACTTCGCCAAGGATGTGGAGAGTGAGAAACTGCGTGCAATCGGCACCCAGAACCAACTAAAGACAATGGCCAAGCAACGCCAGACGGAGCAGCAAGTCTACCAGAGCCAGATTCTCGAGCAGACCGTCGAACTGGAGCGCATGAAGAGTGAATATCAGTATTTGCAACGCATCGAATCGGAACAGCAGGAGATTATCAACAACTTCCTAATGAATCAATAAAATCGCTTAATTATTTATTGGAGCTGCATCCATTCTGCATAATCCTGGCTAGACAACAGTCCGATTCAATCAATAATTTTCTAATGAATCAATAAAAGCACATACGTAATTATTTGCAGTCCATCATACCTAATCTTTGCTAGACAACAGCCAGATTCTTCCTGCAATCGGAACAGTAGGAGATCAACAACAATTTTCTTATGAATCATATCGCACATCCTAACAGATTGCGTCGTCTTAGTTAGAAAAACATGTAGTCTCCTGGGGAAACATGTTTTAAAGTCGGAGGACATGGCAACCTTTGACCCGACAAAACGTCTTGTATTCGTGCAGGAATTTGGGTTTATGGAAGAGCTTTAGGATAATAATAATTATAATTATATTAATAAAATCACATACTTATTTATTCGAACTTCAGCAGACCTAATCCTGGCTAGACAACGGACAGATTCTTCTTGTAACAGGCTAGACTACATAGGGGCATATTTGTTTTGGAGCAACTGTAGATCTTGCGATTGCCACAGCCGGCAATGCCGCACAGCTGTCGCGGAGGCGGCTTAATTGCCGATTGTGCCTGCAATGGAAATGCTTGTCCAGGTGGCACCAGAATGTAGCTCCCATCGTGGGTATTCATGTAGGTGAGGGAGGGCAGGGCATGCTTCTGATTGAGCCTGTTCCGTGCTGCCGCCGAACGCTGTTTGCCTGTTTCTTGCTTCTTGAGCAGACGCTCCATGGTCTTCTGCTTGTCCTTTTCGCGCCGCTCGTCGGCTTGTTGTTTGCGCTTCTGCGACTTGAGGGCCGCCTTCTGAATCTCCTCGGCCGTTTGAGGTTTCTCCTTCTCCCTGTACCCGCTGGGCAGTGCGATTAGTTCCTCCACGAATCCCGCTAGCGCCGGCTCCGCTTCTTGCGTTCGTTCATACATCGCTCGCTGGCGCGCTGTCATTAACTTGGGATCCTTGATCTTCTTCAGCTCATCATCGACATCCTCTAGTTTGCCAGTTTCGATGGCATTCAACCAACGCTCCTCGTCGCTCGACGTGTCCGTGTTGCGACGTTTCCTCGAAGGCGCCTTCTTGCCGGCACTGCTTGGCGGAGTCGTTGACGCCAATCCTCCCTTTGTGCTGGATGCGGGTCGTGTCCTTAAACCGGTCAATTCATTTGTCTTTCCACTGTGCCCGGTTGGGGTTGCCACCTGGTCAAGTGCTGCTGCTGCTGTGTTGCCGAGTGGCTCAGTGTTGGTCTCAACCACAACCATAACTGCTTCAGCATCACAAGTCTCAGTTGTTGGCGACGGCGATGCAGCTGTGGGTGATGCAAACCTGGCAGGCTTTTGGCGTTTGCTTCGCTTTGAGCGGCGATCTTAAATGATTATTATTTATATTAAATGATTACTATCACTGAGAATAATGCATATACCTTCAGTTTTTCCCATGTTTTGTCGTAATGTTTACTAGCAGTTTGCTTCTTTTTTTGTTGTGCTATATTCGGATTCTCTGGCAACTCTGTCACACTAACGACAGCCCTGCCAATCTGCTTAGAATAAATTAATAATTTGATTTTAAACATTATTAGACAAATTCATAGAATATACAAATTACCAGAATCTCTACTTTTGCAAATAAATAATAATTGTTTTTTAAGCAAAACGAAATTTATCTGTCTTTCATTTCATTCAGCCTAATTGCGTGTGTGTGTTTATATAGCGCTCGATAGACGTTCCATTTTCGCTCAAAATTTATTCAAGTCCTTGGGTTCTTAGACTTCTTGGAACGCAGTCATAGATTTAGAAATATTGCAATAATTCTGTAAATAATTTTAAGTTATTCTGCTTTATTCACAACCCCAAAAGTAAGCTACTTGTTTTGGGAAATGGTATTTTTGTGTCCTGCCTAAAAGTATGTAATAATTCGCCAATCGATCGAAGCTCGTGAGAGGATAAATCTTTACATTTTTTTTTTTAAGTACCAGTAGTTTATAATCGAATTTAAGTACCAGTAGCAAGGATTTGTTGTATTTATTTTGTATTTTGTTTTGTAGAATTTTTAAACAATATATATTTTGACAGCAGTTTCATTTAAATGTCGCATCGCCGACAAACATTATTTTGTCTTAAATAAATTGCAGTTCTTAAACTCGAATACAATGCAAGGCAAATAATTGCCACATGTTGAGAAATCATTCTGAAGCAGCTACAACTATTTGTATAAAAATTACATCATTCTAGCCTTGTCGACAAATATTGACTACTTAATGTAGTATTTATCGCTGTATTAAAGTATTTAATTATTAGTTATTTTATTATTTATTAATTGACGATAAGGAAAAGATTGGAAATCAAATTGCTTAATGTCTAAACGATAAATAATAGACCTTAGTGCTATAGCTTAGTTGCTACTTATGAGAATTGCTTAAGTCTCATTACCATGAGCTACTGGGAGCTGTTATGGGTGGCAGATGATTACCACATCGTGGAAAGTTTGGCGGCACTGGCGGTAGATCCTTGGGCGTGCCAATTTGAAAGACCAAATTCATTCCAATCACGATGTGATATTGGAAGTGACAGTGGAACAACCAGAACCCGGGATTGTCGGCACGAAATCGCAGGACAGTATATCCATTATTTGGCACAGCCACCGTGTCCTTCAGGGCCGGCTTCACATAATGCCGCTCCAGCATACCGCGCTGATCGAGATCTAGAGCGTGCTTCAGATTCATTCGCTTGACACTCGTGTCCGGGGAGCGACCCATTCCTATAACGTAGAACGACGTGCCATGCAAATGGAACGGATGACTGATGTTCACCTGCTGCACTTCATCAACAAGGACGACCTCAACGACCGCATTTAGTGGTATATCGATCTTGTGGACACATTGACAATTCTCGCCACAATTCGCTGGTCGATTATCACCATTGCAGTAATACTCCTCAGGGATTTCATCGTACTGGGAGAGCATTGGAGATGGCGGGGCTATGTAGGAAACCTCATCGATCAGGGAAATCAGGTGATCCGCATCCGAGGCGACTATATAGAATAAAAGGATTAGTGCTATGACGGCTTGGGATCATTTGATGTGACACTGGCCTTAGTAAAGTTTTTCACATCGGTAATTTATTATAAACATACAAAATTTACTCACTTAAGCTAATAACATGCGCACAATGCAAACATCAACGTAATTATAAGCATTATCATTAACATTAAGATACATATAAACATAAGCCTACACATAAAAATAAACATATTAATATACCTATGCCCAATGTCAGGCGATATCACCACTCCATTCAATTCAATTCAATTCAATTAATTTCGATTAAAATCGATACATTTTGAGCTATTTCACATGGGCGTGTACAAGATCTTGGCCAGGGGTGTTAAGAAATCGCTTCACAATCGAAATTTACAACACTGAACAAGGCTAATCACATAGAGCCACATCATGCGCGAATTTTCAAAGTTGTGAAACACTGTTCAGATAGGCAACATCAGCATCAGTCACAGCTGTTGGTTGACATACAAATTGTTGGGCACATAAATGAATTGAGGAGAAATTTTATGTTGTAGTTGCTATTTTTAATACTCTGCAAGAAAATGGTAGGGATGGGTCAAAAAGATATTTGGAGAAACGAACAATTGTCAAAATTGCATTCAAACATATGGCTTCTTCTCAATGCAAATAAAAAATAATTAATCACATTTTAAGTCATTCGCTTATGGGTTTTATTTAAAAAATTGAGTGAATGTATTTCATTTATAAACTTAAGCAATCTGCTTTGAAAACCTTCTACGTTAGATGAAATTCTTTTCTTTTTTTTTTTTAGAAAAATCGCCAACTGATGCAGAAATTCGGCACGTGAAAACCTTGCGATAAAAATTAGCAAAACTATTGATTGATGCTATGTGAATCCAGAATAAGTTGCAATTAAAAAAACTAGACCTGCAATTTTTTTTTAATACTTAGCACACTTCAAAAGCCTTTGCCTTAATATTCTTCGTACCCCTCCCAACTCTGGCAACGCCCATGTTATTGCACATTTCTAATATATGAATAGGGTTAATATGTTATACGTTAAGCTAAAGCGTGGTGGCTAATAAATAAATGAAGCTGTAACAGTAGTAGTCGAAGAAATAGCACATTGTTATTGATCGATGCAGAGATACAGAAATACAGTATATTACTTAGTACCAGGTAACGGGCGGTACGTGATCTCCGCAAGTGGGGAAACGGGGCGGCACTGGCGGCAGGTCGGCTTGTGTGCCGATGTGGAGGACCAGATTCATGCCGATGACAATGTGGAAGAGGAAATGACAGTGGAAGAGCCAGTAGCCGGGATTATCGGCTCGAAATCGCATCACAACATATCCATTGTTGGGCACCGCAATTGTATCCTTCAGCGGTGGCTTGGAGAAATCACGCTCCAGCATTCCCATGCGATCCAGTTCCAGAGCGTGCTTCAGATTAATTTTCTTGATCGACTTATCAGGCGATCGTCCCAGTCCGACGACATAGAAGGCAGTGCCATGCAAATGGAAGGGATGACTGATGTTCACTTGCTGTACCTCATCCACGAGAACGACCTCAACAATGGCTCCGAGTGGTATATCGATCATGTGAGTGCACTCACAGTTGGGTCCACAATTGGGGGGACGATTGTCCCCATTGCAAAAGTACTCGGGCGGAATATCGTCGATTTGCGAGAGGGGCGGAGACGGTGGCGATATGTAGGAGATTTCATCGACGAGAGAAGTTAGATGGTCACCGCTAGGCACAACTAAGCATGTGTGTGTTTTTGTAGCGTACAATTTGTTGTTGTTTTGACCCGATTGTTAAGTTTAGTACATAAGAAATTAAGTGTTATGTGTTAAACAGCAAATGTTGGGGTTAATAAACAATAGAAAAGCAATTTGTAATATTTTTTAAGAACATACCCAAAAATCTGTTGTACGTATTTGGTATGAAGAGCGTCTTGGGATCGTACACATAAAATCTGAAAGGTAAAAAGATTTTCACATCGGGCCTCTCGACTAGAACGCTCTTATCGACTTTTTTCGCATTCTTCAAATTGGAGACACATATGGCATCGGCCCGTTTACGATCACAAATCGCATCTAGCGGGTTGAGAATCTGTGAAGAAATTCAAAATTGTAAATGCAAATTTTTAAGTTAGATTTGAATTATTTTTGAGAGTAATTTTTTTGAAAATCTGTAAAAATTTTTATTATTAGTTAGCTAAATTGATAGACATAAGATATACATCTATTGCATTTGAAAAGAATTTGTGCAAAATTTTAATTTTTCATATTTTATTAAAATTGATTTAAGAAATAAATATAAATTTAACGGCAGTTAATTGGGTTGTGTTTTACAAATCTCTAGGTTGTCCAGTTTATACATATATATATATGAATATATATATAGAGAGTATATGTATATTGCATTATATTTTGGAAATTTACAAGTTTCGTGTCTGGCATACATATTCTGTTTATGATTTTGCTTAATTTGCAGCTATTAAATATGACTGTGACAAGCCAATCAGAGTATATTTCATTTAATAGACCCTAGGCATATTACATAAGTAAGTAGTTTAAGCATTATACATATTTGAATTGTTTTTGTTTTTTGTTTTTTGTTTTTACATTTTATGTACATTAATAATTATTTATAGATTTATATTCATTTAATTGATTTGTTTACATGTATTTATATGTATAACTTACACAAAGGCTAACTTTATACAGGTTCAAACCATTGGTACAAGTTGAAGCTTTTGCATAAAAACTAGGCACCAGCATGGATTTTATTGGTCCTATACACATTAGTTTAAATATACATACATCAATTGTTGTTTCTTTATATATATACATACGTACACATATGCATATTACAAAAACTGAGTCCAAGTTTCAGGGTTGAAGAGCGTGAAAATGTTGCAGAAACGGATCGTCACAGTTTAAATGTTTAAGTCGTTAAAAAAAAGAAACATAAAGTATAGATAAATCCAAAGCTGCTGGAAATAATTATATGGCTGCACCAAATATCATAGATGTTTTTCTTTTTCTTTTTTTTACATATTTATACAAAATAACAGATTACCGCTTTTGCTCTTAGGAAGTGCGTCTGGGAAGGAAGTATAGGATTTTGATTGCTTTAGGCAATTTTTGGTAGAGGTGCAAGCTAAAGTGCACCCAAGAGGCAAGCTTATGCAGATGGGGCTGGGGAAATAGTAATATCATACAGATAGGCAGTGATATCATTGTTGTTCTCGTTGGCAAGGATTCTCTTGTGCATTTTGGGGGGGTATATATATTACAACAAATACATACATACATACTTATTGTGCTGTGTCTCTAAAACTTTGTACAAACTGTTGCGTTCAGAGTAGACAGGGTCTTATATTCGCTTTCTCTTTCTCTTCCTTTTGTTGTTGTTGTTTTTGTTTAAGTGTGTGTGTGTGTGTGTGTGTGTGTGTGTGCGTGTGTGTTGTTTTCTTCTTCTAGTCGACGATTTAAAAGCCTAGCTTAATTAATGGGTATGGGTGGAGTGTGATCGCCACAAGTCGGAAAACCTGGTGGCACTGGCGGTAGATCGGCATTGGTGCCGACTTGCAGTATCAAATTCATACCGATCACAATGTGGAATAGGAAATGACAGTGGAAGAGCCAGAAACCTGTGAATGACACGAACAGCGTGTAAGTGTACAAATAATTACTACACTCAATCTACATCACATTACTTACCGGGATTATCAGCTCTAAAGCGCAACACTACGTATCCATTATTGGGCACGGCAATCGTATCTTTTGTGGGTGGCAGATTGTACTGTCGATGCAGGAGACCGCGTCTATCCAGATCTAACGCATGCTTCAAATTGATCTTTTTCACCGAAGAATCGGGCGATCGGCCAATACCAATCACACTAAAGCCGTAGCCGTGCAAATGGAATGGATGCGACAAGTTGGGTTGTTGAACTGTAAATTAGTTGCAATATATGCACATGATTAATATAACTTATATATATGTAAAGAAAGTGTAGCGAACATTTTTTACAATCAGAATCAGATTGTTTGAATACAATCTAAAATGCTGCACTGAAGTTGTAATAATGATTTTCATAATTTAAATATTTTCTTTGGTCGCGTTGATCTAAAATTTTTACTAATTATTATATCTATGAAAGGCATTTCAAATCTGTCTCACAAAAATGTTCTTTTTACTTAGTATACATAATTATATGATAATATGACGTATGTATATCCCACAAACCAATAACTCACCCTCGTCGACCAAAACGACCTCAACAATCGCATTGAGTGGAATATCGATCTTATGGGTGCACATACAGTTGGGTCCACAATCGGCTGGACGATTATCACCATTACAGAACTGCTCAGGATTGATTTCATCGTACTGCGAGGTCAGTGGTGCTGGCGCTGATAGATAGGAGATCTCATCGATAAGGGAAATCACATGATCGCCAGTAGGAGCCACTGAAGTAATAATACATTATTAATATCTTCGAATTGAGGTTGGAATTGGTGTTGGTGTGCTGATGCCTACCCAAGAATCTGTTGTAGGTGTTCGGCTGGAAGAGATCCTCAGCGCGGTAGACGAAGAAACGGAATGGCAGGAAAATCTTCACGTCCGGTTTCTCAGCAAGGATTCCACGATCGATATCGAGTGCATTTTTCAATTGACTTACACAGATGGCGTCGTTTCGCTGACGATTACATTGCGCGTCCAAGGGGTTCATGACCTTTTGTTTTGGTTTTTGTTTATGTTTTTTTTTTTGGTTTGGTTTGGTTGCAGTTTAGTTTAGTTTAGTTTAAGGTTTCGGTAAAGAGTCAGTCGTCAGAATGCAAAAGAAGTTCATTTGTGTTCAGATTTATATACATGTGCAGGAAAAGCCACATTCGTTTTGCATAGGTGGTGGAATATTACATTTTTGTGTAGGTTTTATTTTTTATTTTTTGGGATCATATTTTGTAAGGGTATTTGAAAAAGATAGAGAAATATATTTAGTTATGCAGTTTATTCGCGATGTCTTTTGTAGCATTTTCACAACGCTAAATTCATGCATTTATTTATATATGTACAAATATTACAATCCCACCAAAAATACATTCGTATTTTCACATAATACATTGTACTTACTTACGTTGAAGACTAGGATGGTATTTAGGATGCTCGCTCAAGTTAAGGGGAATATATCAAAATATATGAACTCTCACTTTATTTTCTTGGATTAATAGGAAATTTCTACATATAGAGCTGTATTTAGGGATTTTAGTAGTTTCTCTTTTGGATTTCTACATTATCGAAGGAGCTTTTTATACTAATCTTTTTTTAAGATATACAAAAAAAATGAAATAGCATATAGAAAAATATTCTTTCAGGGACTACATATTAAATATGTATTAAGTAACTCATAATAATTCAAATACTGCTTTGTGGAGGTTGATATTATGTCTTTAAATTGATGGCAAGATGAATACATAAAAATGGGATAATCCTTAGATATCAGAAGAGTTGACAAACTAGCAGCGATTGTTTATAAGTTTTACTGAGCTCTGCGAATCTTCTTGGGTCTAAAAAAAAGACGAAAATATATGCGAACTGTGAATATGAGAACTTACCACACCCTGAGGAATGCCGACATCATATGTGGGTGGCGCCGAGGCGGGCTGATAAGGACCTCGAGCATAGCGCAGAATACCCAATTGTTGGGCACGTCGAATTCCGCACTCACCTAGACCACGCAGCTGGATCCAATAAGCACCCACGGGCTGATCGGCAGTGATGATGAAATCGTAACGCTCGCCTGTAATTAAATCAATATAATGTAGTTTATACTTCCAACTAAAAAATATTTCCCATATTTTTAGAAATATACGAAGAAATATTAATAAAAATGTAATCTGCCCTGGCGATTTTTACTGTACTGTTACTGATAATGGTAATGAAGACGCACCTGAGAAGGAGATGATTGTGTTGACATTCACAGGATGCACGGCCTCTCCATCAGTAGAAATCACGGTCATGCCATGTCCCTCGATCGTCACTTGAGCCGGGCATACAGAGGCGAAGGCGTTTATCATGCGGAAACGGTAGCGACGACCGGGTGTAATCGTGAATATCTCGAGTGGTGTGTTTGTCATGAAGCCGGTGTTCGGGTCACGGAACTGACCTTTGCCGTTAATCAACATGGACTCGGGATCTTGGCCAGTGTTAACGGCCAAACGACCGGGATACCGTTCGGCAGCATCCTCATGCAACCAATCGCTGATCAACATTATGTGGGTAGTCAAATCGAAGTCGTACAGATGAGAGTTGGGATCACGCGAAGGCGGTTGTCGCACCACAATACTGCCGTACAGTCCGTCCAGTTTCTGCAGACCCGTATGCGCATGCCAGAAATGAGTGCCGGCATTGCCCGTCCATTGGTAGCGGAAGGTGTTACCCTGCTGAATGGGGCACTGGGTGACGAAGGGTACACCATCGTAGTACTGTGAGCCACGTTGGAAGATTCCGTGCCAGTGAATGGTGACCTCCATGCCTTCCATATGGTTCTCCACATCGATGACAACCTTATCGTTTTCGCACACCTGAATACTCGGTCCGGGAATCATACGGTTCGCTGTCAATATGCCACGCTCAACGCCATCGGCCAAAACGCACTGACAGTGACTCCAAACAGTGTTGGTAGCATTTGGTGTGCACACCTGGCAGGCACTGTAAAAATAATAATGTTAGTGCATTTTTAAATAGATTGATTTCCCTGTAAGATAAATTATATTACAACTAACAACAACTTAATTAGCCTTCAGCTATTTTTACTCGATGAGCCTTAATAAAAAAGCGGCTTATTATTTATATTACATAAAAAATAAAATTTTTTTCCTTTATATAAAAAATCGGCTTATAGCTTAAAAAGCGACAACATTGGAAATACACATATTTCCCCTTCTCTGGGAGTAATATATTCTAATCGAATAATAATTGCTTTTTATAAATTTACATGCACAACTAATCTCGAACTATTTATGATCCTTTTGCAAAATAAGACATATTTAATTCTAACCGCTCGATAGTTGCCCATATTTAAATATATCGTTTGCTTCCTGGTATGTGATTCCAACCGGACTACATAGTTATATAAGAAAAGTGATGAAAACTCGTCGTCTACTCGATTATTTGTGCAGCATTTGCCTTGTTTTTATGTGCAGCGTGCTTGACACTCGCTTTAAATTAATCATGAAATTACGGCGCTTATGGCGTGGGAATTATATGTATGCATATATATATATATATATATATATATACATACATATATGTACACATTAAGTCTGTGCCTCGACGATGCAGTGACAGCTTTTTTAATTTTTGTTTTTGGTGGTGTGAAGTTGCTTTTTTCCTGATACTTAAAATTGATTTGGATTTTTAATTGTATTTATGCACGTAGTATATTTGTCTTAGTTTGAACTTCCATTGAATGACATTTTCTTACTTTCTACTGGTTTTTTACATGTGAATGACTCCGAAACTCCTATGAACCAGGGGTTATGTTATGGCTTTTATGATAGGATTTCTGGTTTATGGTCTGTCACTCAGGCGATCGTCAGACTTTCAAATTTTATTTATTTTATACATGCACAAAGACTTACATACATAGACTTACTTATGTATGTGCTACTTATGTATGCATTTCTGATTTTGTTGTTTTAATTTGCGAATGAGTTGTGCTGTTTAACCAAGATTTTTGTGTACACAAATATAAAAATGCAAGTTCAAAAGGAAGCTAAGATCAAATCGTAAAAGTTGTTTTGCTACTATTTTGACTCATTTTATTTATTAGGACATAAAATTGAATTGAAAAATAAACTCATTAATTGAAGTCAGACTATACTAACTTTTTTTTACAGTCCGAATGAGTGTTTCAATAAGATTTAATTTTTTCATGCAAGATAAAAACTGAATAAAATACAAAACAATATCTTTGATATGTCCTTCTACAATTCTGACGTATATTGCCTATTGGGACTTAAAACCATATAATCGTTTATTAAAAATTAAACGAAATTAAAAGCTATTTTTTTAATTATCTAAAATAAAATTAGATTTATTTACTCAACTTGTCTACCTATTCTAAGTTGTAAGCTCATTAATTTAAGTCAACCTTAAATTATTATTACTTTTTTTTAAATTTTCGAATGAGTTGTACTGTTAGAATAGGAATATTTATTTTTGTGCAAGATCTAAATTATTTACTTGACTTTCTGGCTATTCAAATAAATGAATAAATAAAGTCAGACAAATCTTGATTATAATGGTAAAAAGCAGGTTGTATTAAAATTGTTAATTTCTTCGGGAGGTTGTACTTACGCTCCCAGAACTGTGTAGTACTCCAGAGTAAAGTGGTAGTAGCATATCCTGGGCGGCTCTCCTTCGCGGCAGGCACGTGCGCACTCATCGGGGGCCGACAGGGCTGGATTGCGACGGAGTTCGGCTGTGGCGCTTGTTGAGAAATCCAAATGGCGGAAGGGAGATTTGGGGTTGGGATTGACAACGGTGCCGCTAATCTTGGGCGGATAACGCGCCGAGCTGGGCAGACTGCCGCGTGAGTTCAAATAGCCGCTGCCAGCTGTTAGAGATGGATTGACGATGGCGGGGGGTGTGCCGCTGCCCAGGCTGTTGCTATTCAAAGGCACTGGGGGGCGTGGAATGCCGGCGCCCAGTGAAGGGTGCGTCTGGACGAGGCCATGCGTCGCCGAAAAGAAGGGCGAGTCGAAGGGCGTCGAGCTGCTGGGTGTGGCCACGTGCTGTTGCCAGTAGGAGCCAGCCGATGTTTGATCCGGCTGTTTACCTGCAAACAAAACAAGCAAAAAACGCAAAACAAAGCAAAATTTGTTAGTAAATATTTCTTTCGTTGTTTTTCTTCGTTTTTTTGTTCATTTGTGAACTTGGAGCTTTTCAATTAATTTGTTCAAAAACTCGGTCTGGGGCACCAGTACTTCATAAAGATCGTGCGCAACTACGTTTTAAATTAAGTGCAAATTGGCCACAGTTTCAGTTACCGTATATATGTATGTGTGTGTGTGTGTTGAAGTGGATATTTGTGTGTGTGTGTATGTACTTTGCATTGTTGTTGCTCTTTTTTCGCTGTGTTTGGCTTTATGCAATCGCAAGAGTTCAATCAGCTCAAACGATGACGCAATGCCGCCAAAGGTGCGCGTTGCGAGTAACTAATTAAGTGCAAAAATCTTGTATTTGTTCAGACTAGAAGCACAAAAAGCCATTGGCAAAAAGTTTTAATTTTATTTTTTGTTAATGACAATAAGCGCTTGTGATTTCCATTTTATTATTATTATTATTTTATTTTACGACTATACAAGTGTGTTTATGTATGTGTAATTTTCTCAGATAAGTTTATTAACGCTCATTTTGCACTCGTATTTGCATATATTAAATATATTCAGTATGAATAAAGTGGCAATTCCAAAAAGTACAAAAAGAGAAATTTGCATTATAATTAATTAAAATGCATTGCTTGCAAATTTCTATTGTCCACACCTATTCGCTATCACTTAATGGAATTGCATATGGATGAGAAAACAAAAGATTGAGGACACGAACTTGCTTGTTTCGTACGTTGCTCGCATTTTTAGTAAAGAATCAATTGTTGGATTGTAAGTGCTGTGCTCAAAAGCTTATCTGTTTTCACTATATTAATTATGACTAATTATATTTGTATATATATTACAATTTATATATTGTGGAATTTTGATTTATTTTTATAATTTCGTAATTAAATGCATTGATTTTTTTAAAATAATTTCTTAAGTTCCTATATAATACAAAATAATAATGTAAAATAAATAAATATATAAAGCAAATAAACTCTTATTATTAGTTCCATAAGTATTTGAAACTGCAGCACAATTATTCTCTGGCTCATTTATTTAAAATTTAACTTTTGCTATCTTGGTAGTTAGATCCGGATCATTTGCTAAATGCCTGGCTAGCTTGGGTATTGTGTCAATCTATTTACATATATACGCTTTTTACATGCATTGCACGAAACCAAAGTTTGTTGAGCATGTCCAATTGATACATTGAAAAAGATAAATTACTGCAAATTTGTCCCACGCTTTATATTCGCTTGACCAGCTGTTGACCATTTACAGTTGTCAACGTGAAGAATTTTGTTAGTCTCTTGGGTTTTTGAGAGCTAATAATTGTGGCCTTTCAATTTCGTAGCTGCACCTATTCAACTGAGTATTTGTATCTTGTAATTATTGTGTTAATTAGTTGTCCACAAAGGAAAATACATTTTCGTACAATTCAACTAGGAATGCCTAAGATCAAAAACACTGGCAGACCGGAGTAAACCCGATGACTTTCACTATGACAAGATGATATAGTATTCGGATATTGATGGATCTTTTTCTAAATTAGATGAAAAACCAAATTCGTAAAGATTTTGGAAACATACATTTTCACTAAGTTTGGTCTAAAATGTTTTTAAGCAAAATAGTTTTCCATACAAGGAAATTCTACTACGCATTCAGTTCAATGTTATTTAGAAAATTAAAAACGTTGACCTCAGATGTTGACTACCCGACTGCCCCTTACTCTGTTCACAGTACGAAATAGAAAACTATGGTATATATTTATAAAATGTACAAAATACAATTGTTTTGTGTTTTTCGTGTCGAAAGTCAAAAGCCTATATACTCTTTATTTAAAAAAAAACAGAGTGCATAGACTGAATTAATTTCAGCCACCGTTAACAAGACGCATTTAGATTATGTATGGTCATTTATAAATGGGCAAATCGAAGACAAAATTAGCAATAGCCAGAGAATGGGTGATAAATAATTACAAGCATACATATAATGCCAAATTTGGATAAAAAATATTTCGAGAATTCTCAGGTGCCACGAACATTATTAACATAGAACTTTGGTGCCGAAATGGTGTGAAGTTCTTAAATGGAAGGTCATATTGCCGTACAAACTGTGCGCTTAATGACTTTTCCGGTCGCAAGTAGCTGACTAGAGCTCGAAGCAATGTTGATTTTAGGCAGCATTGGGTTTTGTTCAGCTTTTGGCATTGGCCAAATGTGGCAGATATATAAACTAACGTGGGTGAATAAACAAAACAACTGTTCCATGACCCACATATTGCCTCAAAATGTACATTACTTCAACTGATGGGAACATTTTAAGAATGAGTTCAGTAAACAAAATGCTGATTATTAATTGATATTAATCTCGATCATGAATTGGCCCATAAATCCGGTTGAGTTTTCAAAAAATAATGGCAGCTAAAAGCTGTGACCCACGATTTATTTGTTTATAATTTTTACATGAGTTTTGAACTAAAATCGTGTTTCCAGACTTCAATTAAGAATTGTGCTATATTATTTTTAAACATTAATTCTTTTTACCCGTCGGGGGGTACAGGTACAGAGTATACAGATTGAATTGGAATTTACAAATCGATTGTAGCGGCAACCTTGACTTGGGTTACATTTGTACCAACCACCAAGCAGCAATCGACTATTTTATGATTATGTACTTTGTTACCGTGAAAATTGCCATTAATCGCTGGTCTGACAAGAAGTTAAATAAAAATCTGAATGTTTGTGTATGCAAAACGTGTGTTGCTCCATATTTCGAATTGAGAACTTTCGAAAAAATATAAATATATTAAATAACATAAGAAAAAATAGAAAGCATGCCAAGTGTTCAATTTAAGTAGTTATCATATTTTATGCCATGGAATACTATCACTTTTACTTCATATATTCATGTTTAACCTTTAAAACACTTTTATTATTGTAATTTAAATTTTTTTTTTGTCAGTTCATTTCTTAAAGAAGTTTGCAATCTAATTAAATATGCATTTGTGGTTTTGGCCTCTCAGCTGATTCATACTACCTATTGTCATTATTATTTTGGTCTGATTTGGGTTTTTTTTTTGGGTTTCCCCGTACCATGCAACAAATGTTGAACCAGTTCTTGTAATAAAAGCACCCCCGGAAATTTTAAATTTAAGTTTTTTTTCATTTATTCTTTTTTTTGTATTAATTATTGTATTCTTATATGTCCACTGACTTTTAGCCGACATCAAATTAATAGATAAATCAAAAATTAATTTATTTTTTTTAAATAAAACTGCCAAAATAAATAAATAAATAAATCTGATGTTGAATTAATTATTATATCATATATAAATTCACACCTGTAAAAAATATACATAAGTATTTATATTTCCATAACATTTCACTTAATGAGAGAAAAAAAAACGCCATTAAGAGGGAGAGAGTTGTGGTTTGGATAGCATTGGCAAATAAAAGCGAAAATTGGTCAGTATTTTGCATAAAAGGGCATTTAACCGATCAAAAGCTGAGCCAAGTGCGCGAACAAAATGTTGCGGACTTAATGCTCGTAATAACGAGCTCTATTTATGCACTGTAAGCCACCTGTCAATTGATTAACGATTTGCAATTGCAGCTGTGCTGATTTGACGTTAGTTGATGCTAGTTGCCGTCAGGTGGCAATAACCAGCAGAAACAGGCAACACTTACACATACATTGTTGTATGCACGCGTTGGCAATCAGATTTGCTAGTGAGTTGCCTATTGTGTTAAACTGTAAACTGTTTTTGCTTCACTTTCACAATGAAACCAAAAACTCAATTGTTGGACAATTAGCGACACTAAAACAGCACCAGCACCAGAGACGTGTGTGCTCAGGCAATTGGGCAATAAATTAATTATCTCAACTTGCCGACTTGCAGCAATTACACAAAATCACAACTAAACAAGTCGTTAGTGCAATTGTGTGTGCGACTAGAAGTTTCCCTGTACGTGGAATTTGAAGTGCTATAAAAAGGAATGCATTTTTAAACATAAATTTCTACACGAAAAAGATTCAACAGATTTGGTTTTTCCCCTTTCTAATTAATATCAACTATCGAATTTGAGCTGAGTGAAATATTTTGTTGGCAAACAAATTAAAAACAAAATCGCCACTAGCCCCCCTTTAAGAGCTGTCCACGGCTACAGGGTATGTTTGGTGCTAACAACCTCCATGGAAGTGCACTGAAACTAGTATTTTGTTCAAATTATTTCAGCAGGTTTATTAGAGTATTAATTAAAACAGCTGCATTCGGCAGGTCTTTGATATATTCTAATACTCTAAAACATTTCTTTTAATCTCGTTTTACACAAATCAATAATAGATACAAATCATTTAGACAAAATAAGTAGGCTATGTTGAACTGAGCTCTTTCAAGTCAAACTTGTCGATTTTATAATTATTACCATAAATTAGTTGGTTAACTTGCTGTTGACTTATAAACTTGCAACTTTCATAGCTTGTTGTATGCAATTTCGGTTGCAAGTACAATGTTTCATCTTTTACTAGTTTTTTTTTTTTTTTTTCTGTTGACGCTCTAATGTGGACACATTAAAATTAATTATTGTTTATGTTTTTAGCAATGTGCCATTATTTTTATTTTTGACTGTTGCAAGTTTTGCTGTTGCTGTTGCTGTGGCTATGGCTGGTTGTGGTAACTAGTGTGGAAAGTACTTTGTGTATCCGTTTCACATTTCATTTTCATATTCGTAGTCGAACACATGAGTGAAGAGTGTGATAATGTAAAATGAATCGAGAGAATTGTGTTGTCGTAGTACTTAAATGCTACATCCACTGACTGCCTGTCTGTCTGTGCCGGCCCTGTCATATCCACTACTCGATGGCTCAGTGCCTTACATTTAAATACACTTTACATTATGAGTGGCAACAAAGGCATTCAAGCCGGACATTCAAGCTCAAGAAATACAGCGTGGGCTTG